TTATCCTTAAGTCTCGTTATCAGTGCTATTATTTTTAGATTTATTTTTACTTTCAAGCTGCTCATCTAAAAGTTTTGAATTGGAAACATACAAATTATGCCTTTTTTTAATATATTAGACAAAATCCGCTGTGTTGGATTTGCTACTCAGACGCATTAATTTTATCTTATGACGATAAATTTTCTGTTAGCTTGGAATCAAATATTCAATTACAATAGTTGGAGGATTTAATTGTAATCCAACTCTTTAGGGAATATAATCTTTATTATTAAATACCTGCATTTAATTATTGTGTAAATGTTATATTTAACTTGTAAAAATTTTTTATTTATGTAATTAAGCATAGACTACTCATTAATCTATTTAAAGTATAAATTTTATAGGTTATGAAATCAAAAAATATCCTTTTTATTGATCGTCTTTTTAAATTTTTTAAAGAATCAAAAACGAATATTTTATATATTATCAAGTCATCAAAAGCTAATGGCAAAAGACACAGTCTCTTTATTTTTGTGCTTATTATTGTTGATAAACCATTGTCAACCAAAAGATATTGTTGATAACAGTCAATAAAATATGGAAAGAAGAAAAAAGTTGTGATAATTGTATTATTTTAGCAATTTACGATAAAATATGAATAGAGAGAGTCTATTGTAAATTGATTAATAGATAAGAAGCTTTTTAATTTCAGAGAATGTTCTTAGCAATAATAAATAGAAAGTATAGATTACTAAAGAAAAACTATTTGCTAATGAAGAGATTAGAAAGTAATTAGAAAATACAGGTGAAATTATTGATAATGGACAATAGTTAATTGATAATGTTTTGGACAATTAGGATGAATAATTTTAAAAATAAATAGAAAATAATTTAGTGAATAAATTTAATTAAAAATTTGTTTAAGATGACAATGAAAATTAAGAGAAATAAAATGTTTAGAGTAAAAAGTAAGGTATGAGTAAATAGGATAATTTAAGCAGTTTTAAGAAAATAAATAAAAATTATTTACTGTCAGATTAATTACAGGGAGAATTTAATCTAATAATTGAAGAATGGTAATAGTAAGAACATGACTAAGAAATTTAGGATGAACATATTGTTGAAGTAACTTAAGAGAATCCTCCAGCCGAAGAAACTAAAGAAGAACCACAAGCTGAAAAAACTAAAGAAGAACCACCAGGTGAAGAAACAAAAGAAGAACCACCAGGTGAAGAAACAAAAGAAGATCCTCCAGCAGAAGAAACAAAAGAAGAACCACTAGCTGAAGAAACAAAAGAAGAACCACCAGCTGAAGAAACAAAAGAAGAACCACTAGCTGAAGAAAGTTAAGAGGATCCTCCAGCTGAAGAAACTAAAGAAAAGCCACCAGCTGAAGAAACTAAAGAGGATCCTCCAGCCGAAGAAAGTAAAGAAGAACCACCAGCTAAAGAAACAAAAGAAGATCCTCCAGCAGAAGAAACAAAAGAAGAACCACTAGCTGAAGAAACAAAAGAAGAACCACCAGGTGAAGAAACAAAAGAAGATCCTCCAGCAGAAGAAACAAAAGAAGAACCACTAGCTGAAGAAACTAAAGAGGATCCTCCAGCTGAAGAAACTAAAGAAAAGCCACCAGCTGAAGAAACAAAAGAAGATCCTCCTGCAGAAGAAACAAAAGAAGAACCACCAGCAGAAGAAACAAAAGAAGAACCACTAGCTGAAGAAAGTTAAGAGGATCCTCCAGCTGAAGAAACTAAAGAAAAGCCACCAGCTGAAGAAACTAAAGAGGATCCTCCAGCCGAAGAAAGTAAAGAAGAACCACCAGCTGAAGAAACAAAAGAAGAACCACCAGGTGAAGAAACAAAAGAAGATCCTCCTGCAGAAGAAACAAAAGAAGAACCACCAGCTGAAGAAACAAAAGAAGAACCACCAGCTGAAGAAACTAAAGAAGAACCACCAGCTGAAGAAACTAAAGAAGAACCACCAGCTGAAGAAACTAAAGAAGAACCACCAGCTGAAGAAACTAAAGAAGAACCACCAGCTGAAGAAACTAAAGAAGAACCACCAGCTGAAGAAACTAAAGAAGAACCACCAGCTGAAGAAACTAAAGAAGAACCACCAGCTGAAGAAACTAAAGAAGAACCACCAGCTGAAGAAACTAAAGAAGAACCACCAGCTGAAGAAACTAAAGAAGAACCACCAGCTGAAGAAACTAAAGAAGAACCACCAGCTGAAGAAACTAAAGAAGAACCACCAGCTGAAGAAACTAAAGAAGAACCACCAGCTGAAGAAACTAAAGAAGAACCACCAGCTGAAGAAACTAAAGAAGAACCACCAGCTGAAGAAACTAAAGAAGAACCACCAGCTGAAGAAACTAAAGAAGAACCACCAGCTGAAGAAACTAAAGAAGAACCACCAGCTGAAGAAACTAAAGAAGAACCACCAGCTGAAGAAACTAAAGAAGAACCACCAGCTGAAGAAACTAAAGAAGAACCACCAGCTGAAGAAACTAAAGAAGAACCACCAGCTGAAGAAACTAAAGAAGAACCACCAGCTGAAGAAACTAAAGAAGAACCACCAGCTGAAGAAACTAAAGAAGAACCACCAGCTGAAGAAACTAAAGAAGAACCACCAGCTGAAGAAACTAAAGAAGAACCACCAGCTGAAGAAACTAAAGAAGAACCACCAGCTGAAGAAACTAAAGAAGAACCACCAGCTGAAGAAACTAAAGAAGAACCACCAGCTGAAGAAACTAAAGAAGAACCACCAGCTGAAGAAACTAAAGAAGAACCACCAGCTGAAGAAACTAAAGAAGAACCACCAGCTGAAGAAACTAAGGAAGAAAAACCATCTGCTGATAGTTCAAATGATGAACTACAGGCTGAACAAAACCCAAAGGTAGAAGAATAAATAATGCCAGAAGAAGAAATTACAACAGAAGAAGTTATATCAGAAGAATCTAAACTAGAAGAAGATGCTTAAGACCAAAAAAAAACATAAACCTAAAAGGAAGCTGAAGCTGAAGAATAGAATGAAGAAGAAACTGCTTAATAGGAAACATAAGCCCAGCAAGATACAAAACCTGAATAAAAAGGTGAAGAGGAAGAAACCTAAGCAGAAGAGGAAACATAAGCCTAGCAAGAAACAAAACCTGAAGAAGAAGAAGAAGAAGCTCAAGCAGAAGAGGAAACATAAGCCAAGCAAGAAACAAAACCTGAAGAAGAAGAAGAAGCTCAAGCAGAAGAGGAAACATAAGCCCAACATGAAAAAAAACCTCAAGAGGAAACTTAAGCTGAAGAAGAAGGTGAAGAAGAATCTTAAGCTGAAGAAAAAACAATAGTCAAAGAGGAAACATAAGCCAAGCAAGAAACAAAACCTGAAGAAGAAGAAGAAGCTCAAGCAGAAGAGGAAACATAAGCCCAACATGAAAAAAAACCTCAAGAGGAAACTTAAGCTGAAGAAGAAGGTGAAGAAGAATCTTAAGCTGAAGAAAAAACAATAGTCAAAGAGGAAACATAAGCCAAGCAAGAAACAAAACCTGAAGAAGAAGAAGAAGCTCAAGCAGAAGAGGAAACATAAGCCCAACATGAAAAAAAACCTCAAGAGGAAACTTAAGCTGAAGAAGAAGGTGAAGAAGAATCTTAAGCTGAAGAAAAAACAATAGTCAAAGAGGAAACATAAGCCAAGCAAGAAACAAAACCTGAAGAAGAAGAAGAAGCTCAAGCAGAAGAGGAAACATAAGCCCAACATGAAAAAAAACCTCAAGAGGAAACTTAAGCTGAAGAAGAAGGTGAAGAAGAATCTTAAGCTGAAGAAAAAACAATAGTCAAAGAGGAAACATAAGCCAAGCAAGAAACAAAACCTGAAGAAGAAGAAGAAGCTCAAGCAGAAGAGGAAACATAAGCCCAACATGAAAAAAAACCTCAAGAGGAAACTTAAGCTGAAGAAGAAGGTGAAGAAGAATCTTAAGCTGAAGAAAAAACAATAGTCAAAGAGGAAACATAAGCCAAGCAAGAAACAAAACCTGAAGAAGAAGAAGAAGCTCAAGCAGAAGAGGAAACATAAGCCCAACATGAAAAAAAACCTCAAGAGGAAACTTAAGCTGAAGAAGAAGGTGAAGAAGAATTTTAAGCTGATGAAGAAGCTCAAGCAGAAGAGGAAACATAAGCCCAACATGAAAAAAAACCTCAAGATGAAACTTAAGCTGAAGAAGAAGGTGAAGAAGAATTTTAAGCTGATGAAGAAGCTCAAGCAGAAGAGGAAACTTAAGTCCAACAGGAAAAAATACCTCAAGAGGAAACTTAAGCTTAAGAAGTAGGTGAAGAAGAATCTTAAGCTGAAGAAGAAACAAAAGTCAAAGAGGAAACATAAGCCTAGCAAGAAACAAAACCTGAAGAAGAAGAAGAAGAAGCTCAAGCAGAAGAGGAAACATAAGCCAAGCAAGAAACAAAACCTGAAGAAGAAGAAGAAGCTCAAACAGAAGAGGAAACTTAAGTCCAACAAGAAAAAAAACCTTAAGAGGAAACTTAAGCTGAAGAAGAAGGTGAAGAAGAATTTTAAGCTGATGAAGAAGCTCAAGCAGAAGAGGAAACATAAGCCCAACAGGAAAAAAAACCTCCAGAGGAAACTTAAGCTTAAGAAGTAGGTGAAGAAGAATCTTAAGCTGAAGAAGAAACAAAAGCCAAAGAGTAAACGCAAGCTCAACAGGCTGAATAAGAAGTACAAATTGAAGAGGAAACATAAGCCCAACAATAAACAGAACCTGAAGAAGAAACTAAAGCTGAGAAAGATCCTGAAGTTGAATCAGAAATTAAAAAAGAAGAGGAAGCTTAAAAACCAGAGGAAGAGCAACCAAAGCCTGAAAATGAGTTAAAAGATGACAATTAAGAAAATTAATAAAGGGAACCTGATTCTGAACCTGAGATAAATAGTGACCCTGTATCTGAAGCTGAAAAAGAAAATGAAACTGCTTCTTAAGATGATTAGCAAAATGAAGTAGAATAAAATAATGAACCTTAAGAGAGTTAAACATAAGTTGATACTGTTAATAAGTAAGATGACGAGCCAACTGATTCGAAACCTTCCGATGGTGAAAAAGAAAAAAAGGGTGATGAAGATGATAATGATTTTGATTAATTAGCCTTGGCTCCAGAAGTTGATTTGGCAAAATAAAAAGCAGATGCATTCGAAGGGGATAAGCAAATATTAAAATATGGTTATCAATTAGGAATATTGATTACAGTAATATTCTATTTGGCTTTATGATTTATAAGTTCAAGAAAGAATAAATACAATCACTAAACAATAATATATTTCTTTTTATTTTATTTTCATAAGTATGTGTAAAAAGCTAATCAAACCAATCAGAAATCTCAAGTTAATTCTCATCATTCTGAATTTCTGGAATGAGGACTAAAAGCATAAGATAAACCTAAAAAAGTTACAGGATTAGAAAAATTAAATTTTATAGTAGAGAAATCTATTTTAGGATAATTTTTTAAAAAGAGAGCGATTTTATTCTGAAAGAATACGTGATAATCCTTATAATTAAAAATAGAGAACTAAAGAAAGTTAGAGAATTTCTTAAAAGTTTAGCCAAAATAAACAGATTTATAATTGATATATTTTTCAAAAATTACCTAAAAAAATGAAATTAATAAGAATTAAATAATTAATTAAATAGAGCTAAAGAATTATAAAGAGGAAAAAATAGAATTATTCTTAAATTTCTAAAAAATATTTTGAAATGATTAAAATCTTTAAATATAACTACTGATAAGTAAAGAAGAGGAGAAAGTTCAAGAAGTTAAAATCAATTTAAAAATCACTCTACTATTAATTCAATGAAAAAATAAAATAAGTAGCACATCCTCAAATATTTAAGGATGATGATTCAAAATTGGTTTCATTTTGTGATTCATTTCAAAAATTCTTTGTGCCGACCTCATCCAATGATTTGAGATTATATAATTTAATATGATAGGTTTATGAAAATCAAATTATATTAATTAGTCTTTTAGTAGAAATTTAAACAGGTATAATATTTCTTATTTTAAATTAATTTAAATTATTACTTCACACATGATTTCTGTATATGTAAATAATGATTTCTAATAGTCAGAATATCCATTAACGTTAAACAAACTAAATATTTCTTAGATAACCAAATCCTAGAAAGCATTCTCCTATTAATCATTTAATTTAGAAAGGTTATTCGAGAATAAATTAGTAAATTAAAGAGAAATCAAGCTCTCTATCTACTACATTAACAACTCACTATCAGCATCCTAGGATTATATAATCAACTGAATAGATTAAAAGATTCTCAACAGAAATTAATTCACAATCTATGAAAGGATCAACTATTTAAAATTTAAGTGCTCTAAAAATGTTTTCCTCTAAACCAATTTCTGATTAATAGTAGAACACAATTAAATTTTCTTCTTTTATCTAAGAAAGAGTTAATGATTAATCAATTTATTTAAAGACATTTATTAGAGAGAACTAAGAGAATGAAAAGGAGTTTAACCAATCTGTTATAGCCTATAAAAATATTTTGTTTGACAAAGATTAAGAAATTCGAAAATTGTAGGAAGAATTAAAATAACTAAAATAAGATTACGTATATTATTTATTAAAATTTAGATAAAATATGAATATTTAGAAAAAAGATTTCTAAGTATTTTGAAGTAGAATGAAAAATTAAAATTATAAATATTAGCTTAATAAACAGAAATAAACATATTAAATCATTCTTAACCATTTACATAGTCTCGAGAATAATCAGATTATGTGAGCGCTTTGAGTGATTAAGATAAATTAAAATTAAAGACTTTACTTGAATGCTAATGATATTAATAATTTTGAAAATATACTATATTATTATAAATTAATATTCATTTCCATTCAGGCTTGTTTCCAGCCCAATTTTTTGGATCATGAATATAATAAGACATAACAAAATTTTTAAATTTTAGATATCCTTTAAAGTCTTGCTTTTTGCTTAACAAGATGTGTTTAGTAGCAAGTTTATCAAAATACCAAACAAGTATATTCTTAAATGCTTTCTTACGATTCTAAATAAGAATATCATCTTTATCATAAATCAATTCTTTTTTTAAAGCTTAGTAGCCCATAATTAAGATTCTTTATTGTTTATAGTAATCTTTAAAATCGTCGTATTTTATTTAGTGCCTACAACAAATATCTCTAATAATTTCAGCATATAGTGGATTTTCTATAGTGCGAAACACATATAAAAGGATATATCTACAGAAACTTTTTTCTGGAAAGAGTATTTTTGATTTAGATATAGGTTATGGTTGTGGTTTTGGTTGATGACATATAGAGCAAAAATGAAAACCATGTTGTTGGCAAATTTAAGTGAAATCGATATCAGAAGATAAGTCTGTGTTTGATTTTCTACCACCTTCAGAATACCATGAATCTAATTTTACTAGTGAATTCTTCTTAAAACATTAATTGTCAATGAAAATTCCTTAAAGCTCTTCGAAATTTCTTTAAAATTCTTATTAATCTTCTTCAATTTCTTTCATGTCAGCCTCTTCATCATAAAAAATTTCAAATGAATTTTTTTTCATCATGTGAATTTCTGGGTATTTTTAAAATTATGGATTTGTATTTTCTTAAGAAATGTTTGGTTCAGACATCTCATAAAATAAGTGTGAAGCTTTAAAATTTAGTCTTTTTAATAATAAATAAAAAATTTATTATATTCACAATTTATATATTGTGAGCATCTAATGAATTCTGAAATAATTCTTTCAATTCTATTAATTAAGAAAATTATATCCATCTATTCTTCTTCGTTGACTACTTTATTACTCAGCTTCTAATCTAACTAAGGTTTCCTACTACAAGTGGAATTATTTATTCAATTTGAGGAATCTACTTTTCCATTCTTAAGCTTCAAATTCATATTAAGGTTATTATTCAATATATTTCTTTTGTTATTCACATTATTTTTCTAGGTTTTAAATTCTATTTAATAACGATAATATTTACTTTAGGAGAAGTTCTTTTTTTTCTTAACTATGTTGTCTAATTTACTATTAATGTCTAATTTATTGTTATTCAATTTATGTTTTCATTTATTAAATTAGAGTAGTTTTATTCTAAAGATCCATATAAAGATCTAAATTCTTAGATTCCAATTCAAACATACTAGAAATGAGATTGAAACTACTGATTTTATTCTCTACTGCCACACAATCATAACTCTTTCGCTGTGTTTGAAATCCTAATGGTAGGTTTTTGTTTTCGTCAATTTCAGTTTTGAAAACAACTCGATTAATCTTCTTTTTTTTTGTTTGATCATCCTTGCCTTTTTATATCGGAGATTCTTGTAATTTCACTGACTAAAGGGATTTTGTAATCATAAAATAACTAACTTATAAATACCTAATTACATATTTAATGGTCTTATAATGGCAATTCTTTCTTCAGAATTCCTTATTTTTGAGATGTATTGTAATTGAATATTTTAGCTATATAGCTTTCATGCTTTGGAGATGGTTTTGAGCCTCCTTAAGATTCTTTTTTTATCGTCTAGAATTACATTTTGAAATTAATTATTAAACAACTCAAATTCAAATTTTTTTTTATTCCTAATATACTTATGTTTATATATTTATAATTAAATACATAATTCGATCAATAGTCATTTATAAATTCAAGTATTAATGATTAATATTTTAGATTCATCCAAGAAATCAAATAAATTTCGAAGTTTCACTCTTTTGAAATATCAACTACATAACCAATTACAATTTTAATATTTAATAAAGCAGTATTACAGAAATAAATCAATAGTTGCTTTCTAAATCTAGAAAATATTTTATTTATATAATAATTGATATAATGAAGTTCTGCTGAGTTAGCTACATGATTTACTAATCTATTGAAATGAATAAATATACTTTTAGTTTTAATTTTTCTCATCATATCAAACTTGATACTAGTTTATCTCTTAGCTTATACTAATGAGCATAATTATAAATTAGAAGACTATCTAAATTAATCTCTTATTGAAAATGTTGTTGGAATTAATTTATCAATCAACGATTTAATATCAAAACAATCAATAATATACTAAATACTGAGTTAATCTACTTATATTCTTAAGCTAATAAAAATTTGTAATTTTATATTTGATATAATAATGTTGTACAAATCCTTAATATCACAAAAAAAAAGTAGACTAATCTTTATCAAGTTTTATTAAATTATGATAAAAAGTAAACTTCATTTGAAAAGGGAGGTTTTTTTTTGATTATTTAAATTTTAAGGTTATTTATTTAAGTAGAATATTTTTTTCTATTTTTTATTCTATTAATTACATGTTAAAAAATTAGTTTTGAAGTGATAAAAAATTTAAAAAGCATAATTCAATTTAAAGCCATCACTATTTGGAGGTTCTTTTAGTCTAAATTTATTAATGAAAGTTTCTAGTTTTCTTTCATGATGTCAAATACATTTTTTTCATCTTTTAATTTAATGATGCTTTCTACATAGTTATTAATTATCAGTAAACTTGCTAGTGATCTTATTTGGAAATACTTGGGTCATCAAAACTTTTTCATAATCAATGTTACCTTCTATCTATTAGTTAATTCAATCATTTATTTAGATACTCTAAAAATCTTTAGATTTCTTAAAAAAAATCGATTTTATCCTATCATTATGCCTTAAAAAACATTTATACAATTTTTGATAATTGAAACAAATTTTATTGTTGCGTTTTGGCATAATTTATTTTGTTAGATTCTATTAATTATTAGATATACTATTTAACAATTTATTTATTCAATAGATTTATAGGCGATATAGGTACCAATTCAATAGATTTCTTTATCTAATCTGATCAGTGTTTATTAATAAATACATGAAGATAATTTAATTAAGAATTCTTTTTTTGGATAAAAAAACGAATTTTCTTTTTTTCCTTTAATTTGAGGGAGCTTATTTAATAAATTAACACAATAGCTGAACATATTGTTAAGCATAAAATATTTAACTTCAATAATTTTATATCTTTTTCATATTTTTTCTGTATTTTATTTTGAGTTTCTTGATTAAAATCATTCTAAATAAATTGAAATAACAAAAATGTACACAAAGTTTGTAATGTTTGAATACTAGTAGATTTTTAAGATAATATCTCATAAGATAGAAGACTTATATTTTTTTTTAGCAAACATAATTAATCTACAAAAATTTTTGATGAAAAATTTGGTTATGTATATTCATAAGAGATATTTAAATGGAATAAAGGATTGGATGATTTAAGTAATCTGTATTTGAATATTTTGATTCTAATTTAAGATATAAGTTTTCTAAATAAAATTAACGATTGGGAATAAAAGATTAATGAGATATGTTAAATATAAAAAATTTGATTTTAATAATAATGTTAAAAAGGGGTAAAATCAATTTCCTTAATAATAAATCAAATTCCAAATTCAGTGGGTAATTTATATGTTCCAGGTCCAGGTGATCGATCACGATATTCAGACATAGTCCGATGTGCTCTTGGAAATTTGTTGCATTTACTTGCAGTAAATTTTGAGCAGAAGTATGTCCCTTTTGGATCAATACTACCAATTTCTTTGTATTAACCAGGGCCAGGTGTATTATCTCTGATTTTTCTCTCTGAATTAGTTTTTGGAGGAGATAATACAACAGCTCCAGAGCTTGGAGTTATATTTAATTATGATTATACTTTCTATATTAACTAAGAGCATATATCCCTCTACTATTAATGCTGGTTGGTAAATTGTAATGACCACTAAAATATATGAGTACCCATACGGTCCAGGTTTATTCTCTACATCTTTACGAGTTGAAAATCTTTATCTCATACTGTAACGAACTGGAGATATGGAATCTTTGAATTTATAGGTTCCTGGCCCTGGTGTGTTTTATACTAGTCCTTAAAAGATACTCTCATATTTGTTTGCATGCTATTTTCAAATAGATAAGACTAATCTACTTCCCTTCCTAATCCCATTGTCCATCCATGTTATTGGATTTTTTGAATTGTATAAAAATTAGGAGCAGGTGTAATGGTTTCATGAGTCAAATTGGTTTTCTTTCCATATCCAATCCCTGCCCCTCTTTTACTTAAAGTGGTTGGTAATTAATATATGGGTGGACAACTATAATTAATTTATTTCTTACAGATTATCTTTCACTTCTAACCAACGTTTAGCTTTTGGAAAAGTATACATTTGCTTGCTCTTACTAGTGTTTAAAGGAGAACGATTAATGACTGATTTGTCCATTATAATATAATATTATTTTTATCAATTAATTATAATCTGCGTTATTATCTTTGTATCTCTTTCATTATCTTCACTTTTATAAAATCTATATCTATCCATAAACATCTTGATGTCAAAATATAGGCTATTGTAATTTTAATAAAACTCTCCCATTTTAGGTTCAACAATTTCATATACTATTCTATTACAAAATATTTACATTTTGATAGATCAGATGGAAATCTTTATTCTTTGAAAATTTTCATTTGAGTTATCAAGGCTTAAATACGTGTGAATGTAAATTTTCTCATATACCTAAAATAAATTTGTATTCTTACATCATATTTCTTTATAATGGATTTTCAGGCACATCAAAATTTTCTATTTTCTTTTCACTCATAATTTTCATTTAATTTAAATGTTTTATCATCTAATCAATCTGGGAATTGATTTAATCTATTTCTTAGTCCAATTGCTTGTTTCTGAAAATGAAACTCTCATTCTTAACATCATCTTCGCTTTTCTCAAAATTTGAAATATCTGTTTATTAAGTTTCACTTGGTTTTCCAGATTAAATAATTTAATCTACGTCAAAATCGATTAAGTCTACTATTTAGTTAGAATTTTATGTCATCGTGGTCATTCTAATTTAGATAATTATATTATAAATATATAAAACAAATCTAAATGAATAATAATTGCACTCATATTACTTTGTTGTTAGATTTGTCACCTTCATTAGCTAAATTTGAAATGTTAACTTCATTAGACTTCAAATACGAATTTTTAATCGAGGCTTTAACATCTCTAATAAAAATGTTGTCTAATTAATTATTGAGCATATTCATAATTAAAGAGGAGAGTGTTATTACATTTCTTAGAAATCATCCAGCAACAAATTTGCCACTTTTAATTTAGCTATTAGCTGAATATATTCGAAATCATTATTCCAATTAGAATATCACAATTAAGAAAACTATTTAATAAGCAATCGATATGACTATTTCATAATTAAGAAGCTATCAGTAACCATATAACAATAAGAAATATATAATATTTAGTGATTTTACTAATTTTAGTTATGGAGGATTCCTATCTTTTGATTTATGGGACACACAAGGATATAATTTTTCATTTAATGGGGTTTTGATAGGATCATAGAAATTGAATGGTTATGAGTCATTCAAATTAGTCATAGATCCTTAAGTAATTTCAGATTATATGGAAAACCTTAATGGAGAATTGTATGATATCAATCTGAGAAATAAAAATGGAATTCCTTTTGAAGTAGATTAATTTATAATACCAATTAATAATAATAAACAAAATTATAATACTAGATAATAAATAGGAGAGTATATTAATAAATACCCAAAGGAAATGTATGAAATGAGAAAGAAGGAAGGATTCAAAGAAGAAAATTCACAGACTTTAAGTATTAGAGTAAATGATTAAATGAGGTTGCTTTATTTGATAGGGGAAGAAAAGGTTGCTATATTATTAGAAAGAAATTAATTGATGGATAGACCATAGAGTCCATAAAAGAAATAAACAGAATAGGATAATGAAATTAATAGTAATTGTAGAACGCTATTTGAAATGTACAAAGAAAGAGATCATTTATAAGAGATAGTTTTGGATATGCAATTATAGAAAATATCTATAGAAGAAGGGATGGGTATATTGGTGAAGTTAAAAGCATTTGAGAGTCAAAAATTTATAAATAGAAATTTTAAACAAATTTCTTTAGTTTATTTGATTCGTCCTATAGATTTTCGATAATTTCAAGAAGAAGGAGAGGAATTTAACAAAGCATAATTTTATCTTTACATTCGTTAAAAATTGCAGGAGGTTTCAACTAAATAATTACAGAATTGTTTATTGTATTAATAAGAATAAGATTTTGTGATGATTAGAATTCTTTGGCATTCTCATACAATTATTAGATTGATTTGTATTTATAATGATTCAAAAATGCTTCCAATCATTTAAAATAGAATAAAGGAGGTTTTCAAAAGTAATTAGATTTTAAGAAACTCACTCATTGAATTTGATCATTCTCTCAAAAACCTACTAATAAAAAGTGAGACTCATGTATTAAAAAAGAATCCAGATTTATATGTTTTGGAGAGATGTTGGGAATGGAAAAAGGAATTGATTTGGGATTTGTAATAAATGTATCGAATATTGACAAGTGTGAGGATTAAATCAAATTATTGGAGAATACCTTCTTTGAACGATAGAACAAATAAATTTTTTGTTGCTCAACTGGAATTAGGATAAAAGGTTGTAATAGTTCAAAATTTGATATTTCAGGAAGATCGAATTGTATGCAATATTTTTACTGAAAATATAATTTCAGAAGAAAGGAATGTTCTGATTGAGTATTTTGATAAAATAAAAGAATTTGAGAAGTAAATAATCATAACTCTTCATACTGCTCATAGCATGTATAGATAAACACTAATAAAGAAATAAAACGAAAGTCAAGTAGACTTTTTCACATTATAATTTTTCACAAGACAAGGAAAGCTATTCTAAACAAAAAAATAAGTTAATAATTAATTCCGAGATTATGCTTAAGCATAAGCAACTTATTATCCACCTCCAACTAGTTAATTAGATTACAATTCTTTATTTTAGAAGGGTTATTTGTATTATGAAATAAAATAAAAGTAAATAGATGCAGAATGCAAGAATAGATTGAATACAGGATATCTTTAGGTTTTAAAGTCTATAGCTAATTATGCTGTTTTAAGAAAATAGAGTCAAATAAATTATGATTTGATGTTTATTGTTGTTGGTCCATAGAGATTAATAATGATTGCATTTACTTTTGAAAATACATCATTTTATTTGATATCTTTGGAGCAGATAGAAAGAAATCATACATCTCATCCTTTTTTGAATGCTAATCAAGAAAAAAAGGTGGATGCTTTGATAAATTATGTATAATAAGAATATCATTCTGTGTTTGCTAAAGAGATACATTAATAATTTATGAATAACATTTTTACATGTTCAATTTAAGAGGCTATTGAAGGATGTTAATTAGAAACATTGGATATTGATTTGAATTAAGCTTAATAAGATCTTAGAGCATTATTTGATTAATCAACAAGAAAAATTTAGAAAAAATCTTAAATTGTTGAAGAGAGTCCAAGTCCAAATAAATAGTTTAGAAGATCAACAAATTAGCAGAGATTGAATGACATAAAATAAAACTTTGTTTAGAAATAATGTTAAAAATGGGACGAGAGATTATAGAAATTAATGAATGATCATAAGATTAATATGAAATAGATAGAGAATTCTTTGTAATGTTATTATTATGATAATAAACAAGAAAAGAATGAAAATATATTATTTTTAAGTTTGAAATTCAGAGATGGAGAAGCAGAATATTCAAGCATATAATAATTGATTGAAAATTTTAGATTAAAATAAAAGAGAATGAAATTAACTATATCATATTTGATTTATTATTATGAATAAAGAAGTCTAATAAAGATATTGAATGAAGGTTTGGATTATCTATAAGTAGGTTATGGAGATGAGGTGACATCAGTTAAATTAAAGATTTAGAAATGGTCAGATCCTTTTAGAAAATATAATCATTTGTATTTGAAGAAGTTTTAATTGGAGATATAAAGGTTGTTGCCAATAAGTGAAGAGAATATAAAATTCATATATAATTTGATTGAAGGAATGGAGTGTAAAATTATAGAAGAAAAGGAGATGGATAAAAAATATGATAAGCATTTTGCAGCTTAATTTTCTGAAGAAATTAGAAATACTTCTGAATAAAATCAATTATTAAAATACTTAAATCTATCTGGTGAATATTATGTCTTTGTTTTAACAGTTGAAAATTGTAATATGCCTTAATTTGACGAGTTTGAAGTAGAGAAAGAATATTTAGCAGATGAATAATCAGTAATTCCATTTTGGTTTATACTAAGAATTTGTGATTAAAGTCTTTAGATCTAATGTTATTCAGAATATTACTTTGAATCAATTAAAGAAACAGCACAGGAATTAAAAAAGTTAATCTAAGAAACTATTGATACAACATTATTGTATTTGATGATAAGAAAAGCAACTGAATCAACAAATAAAGTGAAACTAATATTAACTCCTTATTTTTAAATAGATGAAGACCTTCCTGCTTAAGAATAGATTAAATAGAATTAGAATCCTACTCCTGTTCCTCCTCCTTAATAAAAGGGAAGATAAATGTGGAAGAATAAAACTGTAGTTGAAACTAAAGTGCCAGAAAGTAAGGAATAAAATGTACCATTTGTTGGTTGGAAAGTGTTTCATCCATATTAACCAAAAAAACCATTTATTTAATGTCTTATCAATAATACTATATTGATGAATCATCAAATAGATTCTAATTAATATTATGGACAACTTGATAAATAATATTATTTATTCAGCTTCTAAACTGTGAAGAATTTAAATAATTATGCTGAAAAATATCCTGAGTTATGTTCTGATATTATTCAAGGTCAAATTTCTATAATTATGAATGTTTATTCCACTAATAAGAATCTCAAAAAGATTAGATAAGATATTGATTATTATTATGAGCATATTAAGAGAAATATGGATGAAGATACTATTAATGCTTTATCTTAAGGAGTTATACGTAATCCAAGATTGAAAGACTAGGAATTCAATCTGATCCAAAAGGGAGAACATAATTATATTGAAATTTTATTGAATAATAATATTCAGGATATGCTTGCATTTTCTACTTTTATGAGACACAATCTAGAAAAAACCTTTTGTAAATATGAAGTACAATAATAGGAGAAATAAAAAAATGATTTACTAAAGGATGATCTTAAATTTATAGTTGATCAACATGAGAACTCTTTCATCTTTTCAAAATATAAGGTAGTCTATTCTCCTAATGTAAATATGTCAAATTTTTTTGGTTAAGGATTATGTTTGTTAAATTTTTTATACTAAGTAGATGGAGGAATTATTACGTCATACTAATTTCCTAAATAACCTAAATCTGTTTAATAGGATGATCTGTTGGTTATTCCTGGTTCTTTGCCTCTTCTTTAATTTTTTTAAGGGCCTCGTCCAGTCAAAGGTGAAATTTGTTATGATATTACAAAAAGTTATAATGAAAAGTTCTTAATAGTTGATGTGATTTCAAGAGGATAATTAGAATGGAATGCTTTTAAGGAGTATTTCTCAGCTTTAGTAAGGTAGGTTGAATTAGAATATTAAATTGAAATTATTTAATAGAAAGGAAAAATTAAAGATTAACTTTAAGAAATATAACAAACTTTTAAAAAATTGAAACATTATAGTTTTAAGATGCATCATTTTGTTTATCCATTACATTTTGATGAGATATTATGGGTAAATGTAATGAATTATCTAAAAAATAAAATTGTTGTTGAATTCGATAAGAAAGGTATCAATTTTCAAACTCTTTAAGCATTTGAATAGTAATTTTCAATTCAACCATAGGAGTAATTAGATTATGGTTCTTTGGTTTATATAATAAATGATAGTCAAGATAATGAATAAGAGACACTTTTGGATGGTGCTAAACATTTTGCTTCATAAAAATAAAAGAAAAATGATCCTATAGATTTATATCAAAGAAGTTTATTAGTATATTTGCATATATAGAATTAAACTTTAGAAGTGTTTTTGTATAATTTGAATTGTGATATAGCTGCAAATTTAAATCATTATTTTGGAATATTGTCAAGATGGTCAATAATAAGAAATTTAGTGGCATAGAAAATGAAAAATGATCTTTGTGGATGTTATAATATAAGATTATCGCCATTGTATGAGGAGATATTTATGAGAAAGCATAATATTTATGAACATTCAATAGTAAATGATTTATTGAGATTAAGAAGTTAGGATTAAGCAAATAAGAAAGCAAAAAAAGAGGATTAACCAGATTAATTTGCAACAGTTACAAAAGCAATAGAGACAATAGTGATGAATGAATATCCTCCTTAAGATATTTAATTATTTGAGTTTGTAAAGCATCTTGAGAAGTTTTTGAAAATAAATTTTAGTGTAGTAAAACCGAAGAAGTTGAATGTTGATTATAATTGTAAAGGTGATTTTTTATAGAGGGAAGGGAAGGCGTTTTTAGAATTGATAAAGGATTTTTACAAGAATTATATATAGACTCAATTGATAAAGTATGTAAAGAAGATGAAGGTATCAGGAGATTAATAGGTGACATAGTGTAAACCAATATTGGATAAGATATTGAATTAAAGTAAGTGTCGATTATAATCGTTTCCTTTATATATATTTAGAATGAAGGAGAAATCAGAATTAAAGGGGAGTTTGGATTTGGAATAAGAATATTAGCATTTGATAAATAAGGGGTATAAGAAGGTGTTAAGATAAGAGAATTATGAGATATTTTTGGGAGATGATATAAAGAAGGATGAGAATGAAGATCATTTATAGGATGATGAAATGAAGAAGAATATTTAATTATTGAATGAAGAGGAGGCTAAGAGTCTTATGTTATCAGTTGATTTACATTTATATAATAATGAAAGTATGCAAAGACATATGAATGTTCATGTTTAAAGTTCTGAGATGATTAGGAGAGTGAATTATTTGAGAAGAAAGGATAATCCATCAATAATAAAAATGGTTGCTTTAATTTCATTTAAATGTCCATTTGTATTTGAAAAGATGTATTGTTTACCAGGAGAAGAATTACCATAAGAAGAGAAAGGAATTGAGAATGTAACATATTAAAAATTAGAGTAATTTCATTCTTTATTAATTGAATAATAGTGGAAGAGAAATGAATTATAAATAGATTTATTTATGTTAATAAGTGGTTATTCAAAGGTGTATGAAAAATATAATAAATAATATCCAAAGATAGAGAGAATATTGTATCGGATTTCAGTAGGATTTGTATTAGATTGGATAAAGATTGAGGGATTTGTAAAGTTTATTTTATAAAATAGTAAAATATATTATTTGAATAAAATACATGGATTTTATTCATATGAGAATTCGTATGTTTAATAGAAATCAGAATAACATTAAGTTTGTTTGTATTTAAACTTACTTGGACCTAATGAATTATTAGATTATGAAAATATAATAGAATTAGAATTAGATGAATAATAATAAGGATCAAAGTAATTATCATTAGTAGCTAATTTATTAATCAATAGTTCTAATAATGAATAGTTTTTACGTATTTTTGAAGGAAGTTTGTTAGAAACTTTAAAGAGAGCACACAAAAACTTTATGGCTTAAGAATGGTGGTATAAAATAAAGATAAATAATTAACTTAATGGATAAGATTTAGCATTTTTGATTCCATATTGTTAATAGATTTAAACAAAAGTATTAAATATAAATATAAATTAGAAATTGGCAAAAGAAATACGTTTTGAATAATTAGATAATTCATATAAATAGAAACGTTTACCAATAGAATAATTGTTATATAAATTTTCACAAATTTGTTATGTAGTAGATAATTAGAAATCAATAGTAATAGTTAACAGTAGCTAAGATGTACTATATTTGATTGATCTGATGAATGGTATGATAGATAATATTCGAATCCTATATTTAATGATGGACAATCCACATTATGACTAAGAGAAGATGATCAAGCCACATTATGATTGGTGTACTTAGCTAATAAAGTAATGTATGGATGAAATGATTTGAAAATTTATTTAAAATTTTAATGTTCGAAAAAGAAATCGTAATCGATGGCAAAGGACATTTGCTAGGTCGTTTAGCTTCGTATATTGCTAAAGAATTGTAAAGAGGCTAAAGAATCGTTGTAGTGAGAACTGAGTTAATTTAGTAATCTGGTATAAAGTTCTTACTAAAAGAGGTTCACTCTTTAGAAATAGAGTCATCTTTGAAGAATATCTTAATAAAAGAATGGCATTCAATCCAAGAAGAGGATATAAACATTATAGAACACCTTCAAGATGTTTTTGGAAAGTTGTTAGAGGCATGCTTCAATATAAATCAAAAAGAGGAGCAGCAGCATTAGAAAGATTAAAAGTATTTGAAGGAGTACCATCTCCATATGATACAAAAAAGAGATAAGTCATTCCAGATGCACTTAAATTGATTAGACTTAAAAATCATAGACCATTTTGTACTTTGGGTGATTTATGTGCATCTGTTGGATGGAATTCATAATCTGTTATTAACAGACTTGAAGAAAAGAGAAAGCAAAGGTATCGTCCATTTTAACACTTCCATTTAGAGGTGCTACCTATTATAAGAGAAAGATTGCCAGACAAAATCTTAGAAGAAAAGCCATCGGTGCTAAAGAACTTACTACAATCAATCAAGAATTGGAGAAGTTAGGCTATTGATATAATATTATTTAATCATGTACATTTAATCTTTTCAATTTTATTTACAATCGATATTTTCTATTCATTTTTATTTCTACTCAAATTTCTCTATTCCTATTTATTTTATTATATTTAATCTAATCTAAGGTATCTAAATTATATATCACTTCATATTAAAATAAAACTAAAAACTTATTTAAAATAATATAGATGTTATCAATAAACAATATAAACAAAAACAATCTAATCTCAATTCATTTTTATTAAATGGCTCTACTTTTATTTCAATCTTTGTCTAATATTTAAAACATTATAATCAAATTTATTCTATTAAATATAGAAATTATTATTTTTCTTTACAAATAGGTATTCAAAATTGAAGATTTTCCAAAAAGTTTTTTTTCTTCTAAAGAATAGTTGAATAACACTACTATTTACAATTTTAATTTCCTCTAGAACTTTGCTAAAATATCAGATTAGATGTATTAACTATCCTTAAAAGAATGGGAAAAATAATGGATAAATCTCTTATTGATATAGAAGAAAATAAATATCCCCTTAAACCTAAATTTAAACTTCATACATATTTCATAGGAACTCAATATAAATTAATCTTATTAAGATTATGAAATTGATATCTTTAAATAACTTTCACTATATCTATTACTTTAAATCATCAATGATTAAAAGAACGATTCTCAATTTCTTGAAATTACATAAATATACCACAATACTTTTATATCAAGAATTGGTATGAGATATTTTAAAACATTTTTACATTTCAATACATGATGTTTATATAATTTCTTATTAAAAATATGTAATTACATTTATTTCTTATATGAATTAACTCATTTTATTCATAAGCATATTTGGAATCGTAACAGCCATTCCAAAGAAATTAATGCAGATTGATGAATCCATTTCAAATCTAGACTAAAATCACATCATCAATTAGAAAGATTATTAAAATAAAATCACATCTTAATAAAATGAAATCATATTAATAGATTAGATTACTGATTGGGAACTAGCAAAATAAGCTTTTGTTAACCAACTTTAAGAAGTTTATGATCATTGTTAAGTTATCCTATTAAATTAGGAATTGGTTGGACTGATTCTAATATTGATTATATGCTACTCGTTTTATTTGATGATTAAATAAGAAGACATGAAATTAAAGTAAAAAAACAAAAACAAATAATAAAAATAATAAAAGATGAAAAAAAATAGCAATCCATTAACTATTCAAATTCTTAGTGATTCATTAGAACATAATAATTAAGGATTACCTTAAATTTCTACTATAAATGGTTCAATTTAATATGCAGAAAGAGTGTTTATATTTTTAAAATATTATTTTTAGAAATAAGACCATAGAAGACTTAATTGTAAATGAAAAAGGAATCTTGTAAAGGTCGAGCTCTCATCCATTATTGAATAAGTAAGATTAGTCAATAGAAGAACTTAATTGCTTATTAAGAGAGATATGAATTGAATGACAATAATAAAAAAAATTCAATTATAATACATTTCCAAACACATCTCATGTTTTATTTCATAATCCTCCAAAGTTATATGATCTTTAAATATACTATGCTACTTTTAGAGTCTGATCTTTTCAGGCCTTACTCCAATCTTAGCAGCAATCAATTTTTTAAGATCTCCTATTTTATCTTGAGGACAACATTTGATTCTCTCCTTTTTACCTAATCTATCATTAACCAAAATTTCAATCATTCTAGGTGCTTAAGGATTATTTAATAAAGATGGATTTACTGGTTTTACAGGAGCTACTATATTTTTTTTCATTATCTAAACAATATTAAAATATTTTTCATACTTCTTCATATATATTTAAAGGAGCTTTAACTTTCAATCCTGTGTAACCTACTTTCTTCTTCCATTATTCTAATTTTTCTTCATCTTCTTTCCTTTCCTTTTTAATTATTTCTAAGACATCTAATCCTGCTTATACAGACTTTTATCCTTAATCTATTTTATCTTTTCTCCAATCTTTTGATTCTGCTTCTGCATCTTTCGATTTTTATTTCTCTTTTTAATGTTTCTTTTTTTCATGTGATCTTGATCTACTTCTACTTTTATGTTTTCCCATTTTTAAATATTAATAATAATATAAAAATAGAAAAATTATTAAAAAATATTATCATTCCAAATTTAATGCAATTTTTTTCAAATTTATCATCTATGATTATTCTTTTTCATATTCTTCCATTCTTTTTAATTTATTTTACCCCTCAATAAGTCGTTCATGCATATCTTAAATTTTCTAATTTTCCTTTTGTAATTTCATTCTTATTTATGACTTTAATGAAGTGATCTCTTCCAATGCTAACTATAATTCATTTATATCTATTTTCTATCTAAATATTTCACGAATGATCTTTAATTCTCTACAATTATGAACCTAACAAAATCCTTAAGCATTTTTTTCTGAATGTTCAATAATCTCTTGGATTGTTTCTGAATTGCTACTTGTCAAAGATGCAAATGATATATCAGAAAAATCATCCTCTTTTAATATTTATATTTATTAAGGAGTTGAATTTTATTCTTGTCCATTATGATATTTCAATTTTGTTTAACTACTACATTCATTTTCACTAGAACGTTTGCTTGATTTCTTTATCGTATTTCTTGATCTTGATAAATCAGCTGTTTTCAATATTGAATTTTTATGCATCCCTATTAATTATTATAATCTCTCCTTGTATAAACCATAATCTCTTAGAGAATAACCTTTCCTCCAAAGTTCAATTACTTCTTGTGAAAATTCTATTAATCTCTTATTTAATTAATTTAAATCGATCTTAAACTCTGCTAACTATATAGTTCTCTCATTATTTATACCTTTTCAGCCTCAATTTATGCGTTATGAAGTTAATCGACAACCTTATTAATAAGAGTTTTTCTTAAATTGTTATCAAAAAGCATCTTGAAATAATAAATAAATTTATTTCAAAAATAATTACAAAAGTTCATTTATTTAGATTTCACTTTTCAATATCAAAAATTTAAATACACAACTGTAGAATTTCTATATTAATATATATATTATAATCCTTATTTCTCCTCAAATGACAATAGAATCATTTATTTCAATACTATAATATCAATAATTCAAATGCATAACCAAATACACAATTCTAAGATTAATAAGAGGATAACAAAGATTAATTCTAAATAAATAATAAATGGAATATGTTTAAATAAGTTAGTATTAATTTGATGATAAAATAATTAATAAATAATTAGTCAGAACATAAATAAAAATGTCATGATCCTGAATTTGTAAACTGGCATGAACTTTATAGAAATGACAAAATTATTCAAAAGAATATTACGTATCTAAAATTGAATTTAATATTATTAATAAACCTAAAATAACCATTCCAAAAATGATTAAAATTAAATTTTCATTAGCTGTAAATTAAGATAGACAAAGGAAATTTAGCTATTGAAATGTTATAAACTTTGATTATAATTAAGAATTTAAAATAATAAGAATGATATAGTTTTTAAATTAAAATTATGATCAAGATTCAAAAAAGTTCTTAAAAAATTATATCAATAAATAATTAATGATTGATTATAAATACTTATTTATGTATAAAAATGATATAAAATAGTAAGAAAATAGTAATTAAATTGATTGATATTTGGAAACAATATACAATTTGATTGAATCATTTACAGAAATTCGAATAGACTCTTTGCATCCTTCTGTCTATTTGAAATAAAGGTGGCAATTTATTGTTTTTGCTATGTTATTAATTAATTTTTAATGGAGAATCTGCATTTGAAGTACGAACACTATTATTACGAATTCTCAACAATCTGCAAATTCTTGCTTCATTATATTTGAATGATTAATAAACTGGGCTTTTCTTAAATTTATCATCATCTGCTCTTTTAGTTTTAGATTCTTGTTTATCTTACACATCAATATATTCTGCAAATGTAGATAATTTAAACTAACTATCAGCATTTCTTCTTCTTTTTTTTGTTGCATCCATATGAATCTTAGGAGTTCCTTATTAAAGATTTCTAATTTAAAGATTTAATTTGAATTGCTCTAATTGCTGTTTTTAGTACCTCAATATAAATATAACAAGGAAAATATATCTTCTCCATAGTTTTGTAATTCCTTACCTTTAATGCATTTTAATAGAATGGAAAGGTAATGATAGAAGAATTTGTTAATCTCTTTAATTTAGGAATCCTTCCAAAGTAGTTTAGGAACTTCTTGATCTTTTATAATACTTGATTCTAAATATATCTATATGAATACTTTTAGTATTAGGTTATTTTATCATTACATTCAGATAACTCATTTAATTGAGATTATAATCCAATATTAATCTTAGACAATTATTTTTTGATCACAAAAGGAGATTGCTTGTTTTTGCATCTTAAATTGATAGAGGATTTATTAAATTGTTTCATAAAATGGTAATCAAGATCTTTTTGATACTATTGTCTAAGATTTCTGAACATATTAATTATAAAAAATCATATGAAAGTAATTTATTATTAATTTAGTAATTTTTAAGCATATCTGATAAGTCCTTTTTTTTAGTGTTCCAAACTTTGAGTAATACTGTTCTTTTCATGAGTTAATCTAATTTATTCTAAATTGTTAGCAAATTTTCTATTTCTTACTTTATCTTGACGTGTATATGGAATATCAAATTTCATTTCTAAGCGTTACTGAATTATTTAATCAAGTGGAAGTTTCTTCTAAAATTAATCCAATCTAATTGCTGAAGATTTGTTTATAGCAGAACCTTTCTAGGAATGTAATTTAATTATTGTAGCTAATTATGTTTATTTTAATCTCTATGTTGAAGACATTTAATTGTATTCAGCTATACTTTCATATTCTTCAGTTACTGATATTGGAATTGGAATTTCAAAAGAAAAATTCATACCTTTCAAAAACTATTGTAACATATCTTCAAGTGTTAAATCTATTTCAATTATTCTTTGATTAGGTATACATTCAAAATCATTTGAAATTAAATACTAATTTTTTACTGATCTTTTGGAATAATATTATTAGTTTTAGCATTCGATAAATTTTAATGGAAAATTAACAGCTTTAGAAAATATACGTAAACCTAATTTCTTTTCTTATTGAGGAAACATATTTAAGATTTGTTCCATTCCTTTTTTGGATACTTATCTTAATGAAGATTATTCTTTTTCAATAGTTCCCTTCATGCTTTTTTCATGTAATGATTTTGCTGTTTATAATTCATAATTAAGAAAACATAATTTGCCTAATTCTTCATAACAAATAATTTCTTGATCTAAATCTCTAATTAACCATGAGTATTCTAATGACTATGATTAATAATTATTTTAAATTACTTTTTTTATGAATATTTTTCCAATATCATATTTTTTGATATACTTACATAGAATACCTATTTAAAGAAAGGTCCATTAAATTACGTCTAATTATCGAGTGAATTCACTAAGAAACTTACAATGTTGAAAAAATAACAATGCTTTAGTCCATTATTGAAATGAAATAAAGGTTAAAGCACATAAACGCATAAAAGTGATCAGTAATTCAATGTTATCTTGTTCAACTGCTATGACCATCAAATTAAATAAACCTTATGAAACATGGTTTAATACTTTCAATAACACCTATTTAATCATTGGATTTGAGATATTCTGCAAGTTATTTTTCAAAATGATACAACATTGCTGACTGTGAATTACTGGGCAAGGCTGTTAATATTGATTTTCTTGAATAAACGTAGTTATTTTTTGGACTTAAAGAATTGATATGAAATTTTGATAGAGATCTTTAAGTAGATATTCTCGGAGATTAGATTTAATCATTTTCTAAGATAAAAAAGTTAGAATGATTTTTAGGTGATTCGATTCCCTGAACTCTTGCAGTTGATAATTGACTATCCTAGACTTCAGAGAGCACTCTTGAATTGTTTTTCATTTGAAAAGAAAAGGCTCTGTTTTTCTTATTTTGATTCATATAAATTATTAATAATAGTGAATTTATCACATTTTTATTAAATTTAATACAAATAAAGAACTAATAAATTTATTATTATTTCTTGTACTAAACATTTAAAATATTGCTAATCTAATATGAAATAGTTAAATTATTCTAATTCACATTCAATTATTTTATCGGCTAATTAAAATGATATCTGTTTTGAAAGAGTTATCAATTTGATAAATAATTTAACATTAAATTTACGAATTATTGCTTTAGTTTGATGTATGATTATTTATACCGAAAATATCAAATTAGTTATTTTATTTTCAGCACTGTTTTTCTACTTTTCTTTATAGATGATAAATTTTATATTTTATAGAATTTTTTTTGCACTGATCACCAAAAAGCAAAATTTATATTTATTTATGAAGTATCTCATGCTTACATGAAAGAATTTTAATAATACTTTAATTTTTACAGTTTATCCATAAAATTTATTTCCCTTAAAACAGTTCTATAATATAGTTAAAATTTGCTTAATGTAATTTATATATAACTAAAAAATTAAAGTATTTTTTTAGATTATTTGTATAGCTATAAAATATAAAACTAAAAAATATAGAGGTCTGCTTTCTAATGAAAAACTTAAAACTTTTGATGATAGAATTTATGAATTTGTAAAGACTGTTAGAAAATCAAATAATAACCATTGGAAATTTTATAGAATTTTTTCATAGATTGTTTATAAAATATCAATTATAATGATTTCTTGATTACTTGAAGTTTGTTTTGCTCACCTATTTCCTATGAGATTAAAGAATCTTATTTTCAGATTTCAAGACGCCATATTGTACAATGAGAAATTTTTTCAATTATATTATCTTTTTATAAAAATATGTTATATATTTCATGTGATATTAGAGCTAAGAATCAAAATTTGATTAGTAATTAGTTAAACCACATTTATTATCGTTTTCAAACTTCTGAGAAAAATAGTAAATTGAAACTGTTTTGATTTTTATTTTTAATTTCATAAATCTAAAGTTTTTTATTAAGTGAGAATCTAAAAAATAATCAATAAAATTTGAATTCTTATTATATAATATAACCAATATTTCATTTATCTAGTTATTAGTCTTTATCAATTTAGTGCAACATGAAAAATAACTAAAAAGTATTATTAAATTTATTTGATGCAAATATAAATTAATTAAAATTAAATAGTTCGTCATAATTTTAAATAAAAAGGATTATCTAATACTAAAAAAAACAAACTCTACAAATTATACAATGTTTTCTACAGTTTAAAAGATGTAAAAAATAATTCAAATTAATGAATTTTTTATATTTTCATATCATTAATTTTATTCCATATTTTTTAGACTTCAAAGATTAAACTTGAAAACCCATTAATTAATTAATAATTAAGAATCAATTTAATATTATTCTTTATTTAATCAGAATATTAAATTAAAGTATCTTTTTGTTATATAAAAATTCAATAATCCATATAAATATTTCATTAATTTTTAAATAAATATAAATCTATAAGATGTAAGAAGTCATTGAAACAGAACCTGCTTAAACACCATTTGTGGTTACAGAGAAAGACATAAATGAATAAGGGATATTTAGCCAAACTTCTAAAGCATTGGGTTGGTATTAATATTTTCCTGAATCTCCAATTGTTGCAAGCCAATAACTTTCACATCATGATCAACAAATGTTATTTATTGTTAAGCTATATGCATTTCTAGCTTTTTTATTCATCATCCAATATTTGATGGTCATAATTTTTTATTACTCATTTAATTTCAGAGAATCTTTAATTGAGTATTAGAAGTTTGGACATTATTAAGAATATAACTATACTACTTTATATTGGGTTTTTCTAGCACTTACAATTATTTTAGGATTAGTGGCTTATATTATAAAATAAACAAGAAGAGTATTTTATTTAAATATTATATATTTTCTAGTATCCCACAAATTTGATTCTATATTTCTTATATACCTTTGGAATAGGATGTGTTTTGGGAGCACCATATGCTGCATAATTATATTATAATAATCACAGTTTGATGATAATCTTATATTAATTTTGTATGACTATATGTACATTTGGATCACTTATTGCATATAAATTTAAGGATTCTGAATTCATGAATGCATCATGTAAATATTAATCATATCTTTAGACTTTTTATTAATTGCAATTATATTAGATGTATTCATTGTATTTATTTTTATAATAATATATATTGACTATGTTTGGTTAATAATTGTCAGTATAATCCTTCATGTAATATATGCAGCACTTCTATTATTTGAAATAAGATTAATATAAAGAGGAAAAGTATTAAATATAATCATTTTAGTTTAACCTTCGTTAAGATGAGTATATTTCAGGTGCACTCTTAATTTACTTAGAGGTTACAATTTTTCTTTTTTTTCTGGTCCTATTCTTTTTTATATTTCTTTGTGTAGCTTTCTTAGTGATGATTGGATTTCTTATTGTTAACAGAAAATGATTATATAATTAATTTATCAATTTTATAATATCAAAAATTAATTTAACAATTTCCAAAATATTATGAATAAATAAATTTAATTAAATTATTTATTCTGGATAGAGTAATAAAATAGAATGATTCTTATTTGAAAATCCCATTTTACTTAGAATAATTTACATATATTTATAGATAAAAATCAAGTGGAGTAAGATGAATTTAAATATTATAAATAATAAATATTATTTATTATTAATACATTTTTCTATTTTGTATTAAGATGGAAAATAACACATAATACATTGTTCAATTCTATGAATTATAATAATTTAAGTATGTAATTCAAATTAAAAATCAAGTTTATTGATTTAAGAGACTTATGTAAATTATTTAATAAAATATAGATTATTTATTGGAAATTTAAAAGAATGTGATTTAAATAGCATTGCAAATGTTAAATCAATCAAAAACCATATAATTACTATAAAAAATTTAGAAAGTAATTATAAATTATTAAACTAAAATAATTATTGATTATCAAATTTAGAAAGCAAAGTTTAAAATATATATTGAGTAAATTAATATTTACATAATCTTTGCTCATTTTTCTAAAAGGATTATGCTCTTCCTTATCTAATTTAAGCATAAATTAAATTGTAATCTTGAAATATAATTAAAATAAATAGATTTTTATATAGAAGCTAATCTTTAGTATAACTTAAACATATTTTAGAATCAATTAATTCAATAAGTAATAATTATATTCTCATTTTTCTATCTATTTTTTAAAGTCCTTAATTTATTATTCGATATGAGATATCATTTTTTTTTTGTCCTTTCTTCGAAAAAAAGTCAAGATTCCCAAAAGCAATGATTGCTCTTAATCAAGAAAATAAATATGGAACAAGCTTTAAATTCCTGATTACATTTCAACGTAATGAGCTTGAGATACAAATAATCCAATCATGAATCCCATAGCTAAACCTGGATACATTGAAAATAATTAATCCCAATATAGTAATCTCTGTATAGCATAAATTATCATTGTTGCTAATAAACTCACAAAATATTGATTCAAATATCCATATACTTGGGACATTTAAATCATTTTCTTTTAATGAATAGGTGATATCATTCCATTTAATTATTCAACTATTTCTAAAGCATTTTAAAAATTGCAATTCTTTAGTGATAGCTAAGTATTAAATATATAATTTTACAATAGTAGACATTTAATTCAATGAAGAATAATGATTATAGTCTTGTATGAATAATTTTAGTTTTAATTTTTTACTTATTATTCCAAAAATATTCCAAAGATTTACAAAATAATCTGTAAAGAATATGATTGAACTTTAAGCTATGACACTACCAATATTATAAATAAGAGTTTTCTTTTGAGCAATATTGAAATTTTATGTTTTGTCTAGTTCATTCTATTGAATTAATTCTAATCCATACCATTCCAAAAATAATGAACTTGTAAAAATATTCAATACATTATCTAATAAAAAATAATAGTATCTAAGAGAAAAATATAAAAATATGCCTAAACAATATTATGTATAGGATAAACCAGTTTAATATATTTTTCTATTTGTTTCAATATTAGGCTAGGCTAAAGTAGTCATTAGAGTATAAAAGTATGTAATGAATATTAGAAATTTTAATAAATTAAAAAATATTAAAATTTTGAGCATTTTTTAAGATTTTTGAAATTTTCTCATAAGTTTTAAACCAATAAATAATAATTTAATCTAATTATGTAATTTGTAAAACAAGAAAGCCATAACATAAAAAACTATAACCAAAATAATAGACATCATTAATGCTAAATATGGATTTGGTTATGAAGTATGTTCTAAAACAAAGGCATAACCAACTTTCATTGTTGCTATTTGTCTATAAATTTAATAAATATTGAGAGATTACGTATTAAATGAATCAATGTTTATCAATTTGATAAACTAATGAAAAAAATAGACTCCTGCAATTCCAATTAAAAAGATGAGAACAATGCATGATAAATATATTTTTTGTACTCTAATCTTTATCAATTTATCTAAAATAATCTTTAGAAAAATGATCACAAAAAAAGTAAGAAATATAGGATATCTCATAACCCACAAATCTGAGAGGCATGATTAAATTAAATCAAATTTATATACTTCTTGAGATTGATAAAAGTAATTCATGGTTTTAGGAATACAAATACTATTTTGATCTAAATTATATAATTTATTCTACATCTAAAAGTTGAATAAATAATGAAATCCTTATTTGGATCTTATATATTGATCTATGGATTACAATTAATAATTTAGTGATTACTCAAACAATTAATTTGTTTCTACTCTTCATTTGGACATTCAGAAATACATACTCTTTAATATAAATAATCTTTCATTGGATTATTCAAATAAATAAATGGATAATTTTCTGCTCTTCCATAACCACAAATTACACCTAATTAAAATTGAATAAGTACCATCATTATCAATCCCCTTGTTCCATCTTCCAAGATAATAAAATCCTTAGTTATTTAGTATATATGTGAAGTATATGACAATTTAGATAACACTTATCAGAATCAAGAAATAAACCCATGAGATATCTCTTTTTTAAAGTTAGTTAGATTTGTATTAATTGAGTAAGTTATTCCTATAATCTTGATATAGCTTACTAAAAATTAGTTTAAGATCTATCTGAAATATGAAACTCTCCATTATAGACTGCTTATTGATATAATCTCTGCTGAAGATATGTTTTACCTGCAGAGTCATGGATTTAAGGAACGCTTTGATTTTATAATGTTATTTGAGGTTCCAAAATGTGAATAGATGGTGGTGTGGAACGATCCAAATTATTTTTATATTATCTTAACTCTCCTTTATTCTTTTGATCAGATTCCATCACCTTTATTAAATCAATTTTAGTTTGTTTGCTGTCTTTTATTTCAATAAATAAATTATTTCCTGATGGAGTTTATTATATTACTGTTTTTTCTTGAAAGAGATATTATGAAGAATTTTCGAATACTCTATTAAATATTTCTTAATCTACTATTTATTCAGGTTGCATTCAAAAATTAATCTCCTCTGAAAATTCAATAATTTAAATTATTGACAATATATGTTTTATTCAAAAATACTTAATTACTAAATTCATGTTTATACTTATTCAAAATTAGAGTTATTTCTTAAGTATTAAGTCTAGGAATAAAAACATATTGAATATTTGGATAGCTTAATAAATTAGAAATACATTTTAACTTAATCTAATTTTGTAGATGTTAAAAATTTTCAATTATAGATTTAATTTGTTTATATAAATATATAAATTAATAAAAGATATACAACAATAAGAATCAGTTTATATTAGGATAAGTTTAGAAAAAAGAGTATTTTAGTTTTTAAATAAGTTTGATAATATAATATTAAATACATATTAAAAATATAAGCACATTTAGTGCTTTGGATGTTACCAATAAGCAATATTAATTAAGAAGAAACATAGTTTCTATAAAGAAAACTTGAAAGATAATAATAAAACACAATTGAGGTTAAAGATAATCAGATTAAACACGGATTAGATGGTTTTGATCATTTAGGGATTTAAATGAAAAATGAAAATTAAAATGAGGAGAAAATATAATAGAACTTTAATGATTAGGAGGATTAATAGAAAGAAGTTATAAGGAGAAATTAAAATGAGAATTAAAGATGGGATTTGAATTCATCAAGCATTAATGAATCATAGATAGCTGATGAGGCAAATAATTAGATTATATAGATTTAAATATTATAATTACCTAATCCTATAAATCATAGAGATGTTGAAATCTAGATAGATGATAGAAAAAATGCAGATAATTAGATAGTAAAATTGGGTGAAAATAAATAAGTATCAATAGTAAATGTTGATAATAATGAAGAATAATAATAATAAGCTATTTGTCTAATTTGTAGTTTAAATCAATATTAAATTATGAAAGCATTAGAATGTGAACATTAATTTTGTAGGTAATAATATAATCTAATTTTATAAGAAATTGTTACTAGGAATATTTAGAAGATAAAATTAAGATTGCAAAAATAAATAATATACCATGTTTATAGGAAGGATGTAAAATGATATTTTCTGAAGAAATAATATAATAATTTGTACATGAATAGAAATTCTAATAATACTTAGTTTTTAAGAAGAAACTTGAAATAGAAAATGATCCTAATAAAAAGTGGTGTCCAGCAAAAGGGTGTAACCTTTTTATTGAAAAAGATCCTAAAACTAATTTAATAAATTGTTAATGTGGTTAAATAGTTTGTTTTAATTGTGGTCAAATTGCCCATAATGGAATTTAGTGTGAGGTAGTTTTTTTGTATTTGATGATATTAGGATGCAATACAGATAGATTTTAAAAATGCTTTAGTAAAATATTAAATAAAATATTGTCCTAAATGCAAATCACACATTTAAAAGAATTCTGGATGTAATCATATGACTTGTATTTAATGTTAATTTGAATTTTGTTGGGTCTGTTTATAACCATATCATCAGTATCATTATAAATATTGGTCAATAAGGGGATGTGCAAGTATTTTATATCATTTATGTTTCTATAAGTTTGGTCAAATGGTCGTTTTAAAATATTTACTGTAATTTAAAATCCTGATAAAATGAGAAAATTTTTCTTTATTCCTCGTCTAATTCTGTATATTTTCAGATGTCCTCTTTTAATTATTAAATTAATTTTAAAATCAATTTCTAAATCATTCGTTAAACCTTTAGTGGGATTAAACAAAAAATTATGCAAATCAAAATCACCTAAATTATGGTATTTGTTATTTTTTAAAATATTAGTCTATTAAAATGCATTTATTATGTATTAGCAGAATTATTAATATTGTTAATAGTAATACTATTCTTTCCTTTTTATTTTGTATTCTATCGACTTGGATTTGAGATATAAAAGTTTTCAGCAAAAGGATGTGGGTATTGAACATTTATCATTTTTAATTAATATACTAACAATTATATTTATATAAAAATTGATGGGTAATTGTTGTGGAGGTTAAAACTTAACAAATGCAAATTTTTAAATAGCAACTTATGATTTGTAATATTAAGATGGATCGAAATTAGATTTAGGTCTTATGAATAGAAAAGCATTGCAAATATAGAGTATGTTTAAAAAACAAATCAATATAAGAATATTATCGAGGTTATGCAGTAAGAAAGAAAATATAGAAATAATAAAGAAAGGCATTAGGATAAACATCAGATGAAAGTTTTATTTATGAATATAGATCGAATAAAAAGGAGAATGTAAAGAATAAGTAAAATGCTTTAAAATTTAATATTGATGGTTAATAACATATTCCAGTATTTAATGTAAAAGAAGTAAACATAAGTTTAAAGTACAGTGATAAAATAAAAAGTGTAAGAAATTAAGTTAAGATGAAAGATTCTCTAAAAATTAGATCCATTCAATTTTGATTAAGATGGATAGTTTGTAGATTATCCATTTTCGAAGGGATTATTGATAGGTGATGTCATATATGAAGGTTAATGGAATAATTGGTATGAATATTGAAATTACGAGAGTCAAAAGCATGGTCGAGGAAAATAGTTTTGGTTAGATGGTTCATATTATGAAGGTTATTGGTTAAATAATTGTTAACATGGTAAAGGTAGATTATTATTGGCATAAGGAGATATATATGAAGGAGATTGGAGAAATGATAAAGTTCATGGTTTTGTAACATTGTAAAGCATTAATAGTAGGGTACTTATATTCATCAGAATGGAGCAAAATACATAGGGTATTGGGAGAATGATAAATAGCATGGTAAAGGTAAGGAGTGTTGGCCAGATGGAGCAACTTTTGAAGGAGATTATAAGAATGGATAGAAAAATGGAATTGGAACTTTGAGAGAGGCAGATGGATCAACTTATGAAGGGGAATTTTAAGAGAATAGATTTGAAGGTCATGGAGATTATAAGATTGTAGGTGGAAAGAGATATGTTGGTTAATATAAGAATAATAAGATGCATGGAAAAGGGGTGATTTAATGATTATATATGATAGACATTTTATTGGAATGATGGGAAGAAATATGAAGGAGATTATATTAATGGTGTAAAATAAGGATATGGAATATTATGTTATCCGGATGGAAGGGTATTAATTAAATAAATATAAGATTTTTAAAGGATATTGGTAGAATGGAAAATAACATGGTATTGGAATTTATATAGGTAAATCAAAGATTGAAAAGGAAGGAGAATGGATTGATGGAAAAAGAATTAGATGGATTAGAAAAGGTGGAGAATCTAACAATATTGAATCTTGATTAATTATTTTTTCTTTATTTTTTAAGTTATTTTATTATAAAGGGATTTTGATTAATTTTTAAATCAAAAAGATTAAATTTATTTAATTTATCTTAAAATTAGACAACCAAGTTAATGTGAAGTAACAATGATTTAGTTGCAATATTAATATAATTTAATATAATTATTTTATATTTATTACTTATAACAGATTATGGGCAGTTGTTGTGGTGGATAATAAGGATGGTGTGGTGATTAAAAAACACAAATTAATTTATAAGGAGGTTAATAATAGGAACTAGATAAAAAAATGGAGGAATAGTTGGATGAAAATTTAGTTAAGCAAAAAGCTACAAAAATATAAGGTAATTATTCAGTTTGGATTAATAATTAGCACATATAAGAGGACATAAAGCAAGAGAAGAGGTAAAGAAAATAAAAGAGAGTTAAAAGAGTTCTGAACAAATTTCAGATAAGTGTATTAAATAAAGTATTGAACCTAAAAAANTTATTGGTTAAATAATTGTTAACATGGTAAAGGTAGATTATTATTGGCATAAGGAGATATATATGAAGGAGATTGGAGAAATGATAAAGTTCATGGTTTTGTAACATTGTAAAGCATTAATAGTAGGGTACTTATATTCATCAGAATGGAGCAAAATACATAGGGTATTGGGAGAATGATAAATAGCATGGTAAAGGTAAGGAGTGTTGGCCAGATGGAGCAACTTTTGAAGGAGATTATAAGAATGGATAGAAAAATGGAATTGGAACTTTGAGAGAGGCAGATGGATCAACTTATGAAGGGGAATTTTAAGAGAATAGATTTGAAGGTCATGGAGATTATAAGATTGTAGGTGGAAAGAGATATGTTGGTTAATATAAGAATAATAAGATGCATGGAAAAGGGGTGATTTAATGATTATATATGATAGACATTTTATTGGAATGATGGGAAGAAATATGAAGGAGATTATATTAATGGTGTAAAATAAGGATATGGAATATTATGTTATCCGGATGGAAGGGTATTAATTAAATAAATATAAGATTTTTAAAGGATATTGGTAGAATGGAAAATAACATGGTATTGGAATTTATATAGGTAAATCAAAGATTGAAAAGGAAGGAGAATGGATTGATGGAAAAAGAATTAGATGGATTAGAAAAGGTGGAGAATCTAACAATATTGAATCTTGATTAATTATTTTTTCTTTATTTTTTAAGTTATTTTATTATAAAGGGATTTTGATTAATTTTTAAATCAAAAAGATTAAATTTATTTAATTTATCTTAAAATTAGACAACCAAGTTAATGTGAAGTAACAATGATTTAGTTGCAATATTAATATAATTTAATATAATTATTTTATATTTATTACTTATAACAGATTATGGGCAGTTGTTGTGGTGGATAATAAGGATGGTGTGGTGATTAAAAAACACAAATTAATTTATAAGGAGGTTAATAATAGGAACTAGATAAAAAAATGGAGGAATAGTTGGATGAAAATTTAGTTAAGCAAAAAGCTACAAAAATATAAGGTAATTATTCAGTTTGGATTAATAATTAGCACATATAAGAGGACATAAAGCAAGAGAAGAGGTAAAGAAAATAAAAGAGAGTTAAAAGAGTTCTGAACAAATTTCAGATAAGTGTATTAAATAAAGTATTGAACCTAAAAAAATGGAAAGTCATCATCAATAATAAGAAGATAAATCATCATTAACAGCAAAAGAAGCATCTTATACAAAAGGTCCAGAGTAAAATGCTGGAGCTAATTAACATGCTCCAAATGATAGAGTAAAGAAAATAGATTAAGTTCCTGATTTTCTGACAGGTCGAACTAGATAAGTATATAGTTTTAATACAAAGGTTTTGGAGAAATTAGAAGATTTTGTTTATGATTAAGATTAAGAGGAATACAAAGATTTACCTAATTTGGGACCATATGAGTTTGAAAATGGAAGTGTTTATATGGGTTAATGGAAGAATGGGTATATTATTTATATTATATAAATTAATTAGATAAAGACATGGTAGAGGAAGATAAATATGGTAGGATGGTTCATTATATGAGGGTTATTGGTATTAAAATGTAGCATGTGGAAAAGGAAGATTAATACATTCTGATGGAGATATATATGAAGGAGAATGGAGAAATGATAAAGCACATGGTTAAGTAATTATTTATATATATTTTAAGGGAAAATATGTTCATATGGATGGAGCTAAGTATATAGGTTAATGGGAAGATGATAGATAAAATGGAGAAGGCAAAGAAATTTGGCCTGATGGTGCTAGTTATGAAGGATAATATAAAAATGGTAAAAAAGATGGAAGAGGTACATTTAAATGGGCTGATGGTTCTATTTATGTTGGAGATTTCTTTTAAAATAATATTTAAGGATAAGGAGAATATAGTTGGGAAGATGGAAGAAAATATGTTGGAGAATGGAAAAATAATAAAATGGATGGAAAAGGAGTAATATTAAATATAAATATGTTTATAGGTTTTTACATGGTTAGATGGAAGAAGATATGAAGGTTAATATAAAGATGATAAAAAACATGGTTATGGAGAATTTAAATGGCCTGATGGTAGAGTATGAATTTTCTAAGATTTTCAGGTTTATAAAGGAGAATGGTCTAATGGAAAATAACATGGTAGAGGAATCTATATAGGTTCATCCAAAGTTGAAAAAGAAGGAGAATGGTAAGATGGTAAAAGAATAAGATGGATTAGAAGAGGAGGTTAACCAATCGAAGAAGGAAATTGAATTTCACTTTTATAATAATTTCTTACATTATTTTTTATTCTTTATTTCATTATTTTTCTTTCATTACATTTTACTTATTTTTCTTATTGTTATTTATTATTTTCAAATAGTATACAATTTTATTTTTCTTCAAAATTTTCAAATTTTCTTTTCAATATAATGAATTTTCTCTCTTTTTTTTTATTTCAAATTCTTAACCAATCTGATCTTTCATTAATTTTTTGTCTTCTTCAATCTTTATTTTTTATTCTTAAAACTTCTTAATTTCTCTTAAAACTCAAAGTCATTATTATTGTAACATTTTTCTTCTTATAAAATTAATTCCAAAAATCTCTTCATAAACATTTTTTAATTTATATCTAATATTTTCAAAATTAATAGAGTATAATATTATTATAAATATTCTAAATCTAAAAAAAACTTAATCACTAAATAAATTTTTGTGTTGTAAAAATATTTTTATTGAGATGAAATATTTATATAATGTCTAAATGATTATCGCATAATAGAATTGATTAAGATTTTACTTTAATAAAATAAAATAATAACTTTATATATAGGTCCACTATAGTATAGATTGATTTAATAATAATTAGTTTTTAAAAATTCTAATGGTTTCTCTTTTTAGATTTTAAAAATAATTTTTGATGTTAATGAAATAATTTTAAAATTCTTTACACGTAAATAATTTATTCTAGAATTTTATTAATAATTATGTTAAAAATCATTTTCATAGCTATCCTGTGTTCATTAAGTGTAGGATTATTTGAGAATTCTTATTTAATTAAGCATGCAAATAAATTACAAGATTTTAGAGATATTTTGGAATCTGAATTTGTTTCACTTGTATATTTTTATTCAGATTCATGTGAAAATTGTCAAAAAGCAGCCTCATTAATAGAAAAAGTAGCTGAAGATTAAGAAGGTTTAATAAATGTATATGGAACAAATTGTGATGAAATAATCAAAGATCCTTAATCAAAGTAGATATATAATATTAAATCTAGCAATTAATTACCTTATTGTAGTCCTGATGTTATATAACATTTGCCATAAATTACATTCTTTGAACCTCCAAGTCAAAAAATAAATCCTTATACAAAAGAAAAAATGATAGCCACAGAACACAGATTTTAAGGAGAAGCCAATCCTTAAAGTTTAGGATAATACGGATATAAATTTATACCGAATCATGTTATTAGGATTAATAATATGGAGGAATTCAAAAATTTTGAGACAACAGATTCAAAATTGAATAAAGTGATTCTTTTTACAAAAAGAAAAGAAACTTCTGCTTTACTTAAAGCATTGAATTTACATTATTATGAAAGAGTAAAATTTGGAGAGATTGTAGCAAGTCCAGAAACATAATCTTTAATTGATGAATTTGATATAAAAGATCTACCATAAATAGTTGGATTAGAAAATAATGGAGATAATACTTATAATAGAGAATTATTTGATGGTGATCTATTATTTAAACCAATAAAGAAATTTGTAAGGGGTTTAGCTACTAAAGATAGAATCCCATATGAATAAGTAAATGAATAATCTAAGAAATAAGAAGAAAGAAAAAATAGAAGACATAAACAAGATGATTAAGAAAAAAACAATGAAAAATAAAATTTAATTATACCTACTAAACTAGATCAAAATATTTTAAATAAATAGCTTTTAAGAAATGATAAACCTGCATTTGTACATGTTTATAAAGATATTCCACATAAAGCATGGGAAGAAACAATGAAGAAATATAAATCTTTATTTGATTATTATGAATTCTAAGTTAAAACACAAGAGGATGAAGAATTAATTAAAGAATTACATATTAAAAGTTATCCTAGTATTAGATTTTTTTAAGTTGGCAATAGTGAAAAAAAAAGAGCATCAAAAATTACATTTACAAAAGAATATACATTAGATGAAATGAATAAAGATATTTTAGAATTAGTTGATGATAAAACCATCAATACTAATGAATAATCATTGTAAATGTAATTAAGTTAATATCTTACTGATAATAATATTATTGTCATTTATTTTTATTAAACTTAATAAGTTGGATTAACATATAGAGTTTTAAGTCAATTGTAAGAATATTATGGTAAATATAAATTCTTGTCTTTTAAAAATGCATCTTAAAAGGTTATTGAACAATTTTAAATATAAAATTAACCATCTATAACAATTATATTTAGGGATGTGAAGGACAAGAAAGAATTGGATGAAGAACTTAAACCTGATTAAGTAAGACAAGCATTATTTACAGGAAAACATGGCTATGATGAAATTAAATCATTTTTAGATTCGGTAAATTAATATTCTATATTTAGTTTGATGAATCAAAAAAAACATCAAGTAAAAAAGTTTAAGAAATAACTAATTAAGAATAATTTGAAGAATTTTGTTAAAATAGATAAACTTTATGTTATATTGCATTATTAAATGGTGAACATAAATAAACAAAACATGATGATATTTTGACTAAATGGGAATATTAATTGGAAGTATTAGATAAAATAAAAAATATTCATGGATCTAAATAAGCATCTTTTGTTTTCATAGATGCTTCATGTCATGATGAATTGTTATTGAAGTTTGATATTTCTGATGATGCATTGCCTAATTTTGTTGCTTATTCTAGTAGTAAAAAGATGTAATAATTTTAAGTATTTTAGTTATTCTAAATTAATTGGAAGATTTGATTATGATTCAATTAGTAAATTTATTGATAAATAATACAAGGGATAATCTAGCAATATTAATATTAATTCTATTTAGATTATTGAAAAAAATTGTGAAGAAATATTTTAAAAAAGAAAAGAAGCAAGTTAATAATCAGGACTTTCTGATTTTGATGAAGAAATATTGAAAGAAATTTTAGAAGAAGAAAGATAAAAAAAGAAAGAATTAGAGAAAGAATTAAAAAAAGGAAAGAAAAAGAATAAAAAATCTAAAGATGAATTATGATTTTTTTTAATTTAATTTTATATTTTGTTTTTGGTATTGTGTCTAATTTACAAATAAATCATAATTTTGCAAAAGAAATCATTTTTTCAATTTATCTTCATATTACATAAATTTTTAATTTAACCAATCATAAAATTCTGAACTTTCATTTTTTTTTTGTTCCCAAAGTGATCCTTTATATTTTTTAGAATTAGAAACTAATTTATCAAACATTACACCCTTTATAATATTATTGATAAATAATTACTGCAAATTTTCTTAGCATATAATTAGGTAGGAAATCTGGTATATATTTTAATTTTAAATCAATACAAATAACCAAAGTAACAATATGATGATCAAATGAAATAGGTTTAACTTTAGTACAAAATACATTTAAATCAGCTCTAACATGTTTAGGTTCTTGTGGAAAAGAAACTCAAAAGAAAATAAATTTTAAATGTTTACCCATATCTTTTTAATAATTTAGTTCTCTAGTCAATTGAATGACTTAAAATAAGAACACTTCCATCATATTCTAGATTGTTTACTCCCCATCCTTTTACACATAGTTCTCGATCAGATATAACAGGTGGTGATGAATGTATATGTAGAATCTTTGTTGCTTTATCTGGTTATAAAATAGTCTTAGAATCTCTGCAAAATGGAAACCATTATGGATATAATTCTGTCTCATATATTAGACTAATAAATATGTCTAAAGGAATTTTGATTTCTGTGTCAATTCTAGCTACTACTCTTGGTGAATTAGGTAATTATTAATATCTAATTTACATTCTATTATCCTATTATTAAATGGACCAACCATCTGGATAAAATTAATATCATAAATACCTTATAAATCAAACCATCTAGTAAGTTCTTTTATTTCTTCTATATCATCATCAATCAACTCAAAAAATTCTTTTGTGTAATCTATATATTCATTATCATTTGAATAGTTAAGTAAAAGTTATTACTTCATTTAATATGCAGAAAAGTATTATTTGTCCTCCATAAAATATTTAAGTTGTTCTAATTCTGCTAGTTATTATTTATTTGGAGAGACTTCAATTTAAATTAATTTGATAACTGATGGAGCATCACTACTATAGTCTGGTTCCTCTTCTTCCTCAATAACACATTATGCTAATTATATCAAGTGTCTAATTAAAACCCATTTTTTACTTTTTTATAGACATATATTTTATTAACAAAGATGTATAATTTTCACAATAACAAATTTAATTTCTCATTATAATACTTTAATAACTACTACATCAATCCTAATTAAGTAATTGAACAAATTATATAGATTTTAACTATTCAAATTCTTTGAAATTATCTAAAATAGATAAAGCTATTTTTATTAGCAAATTTATATATGATTATTATAACCTTCCAAATTTGCATTAATCTAATTATTTAATATTATGGATTCTTTTTTTAAAAAGTATTTTTTATACTAATTTATGATTATAATGAAGTTAATTAAAATCTTTTTTATTTAATTAAGATTAATAAGCTTATTTTTCAAAATTATTGATCAAATTTAATAAATTAAAGAGATTAATTCTCAATTAAATTAATAAATATGATAATTTAAATACATTTATTATTGAAAAAAAAGAAAGAAATTTAATGTTTTGTTAATATTTATAAATATATATATATAAATGAAATTGAAAGAATGAAAAAAGTAGATTTATTTTATTTAATAACTCATTTTTTTTTTTTTTTCGGTCCTAAAGATTCTCTTAATTTTCTATCTTACCTTTGAAATATTTCAAGCCTTTCTTTCCATTATTATGCTTAATCAAAATCTCTTAATTTCCACATTAAAACATCCATTCTAAAATTAGCATCAGATGGTAATGGATATTAAGCCAATTCTAATTTGATTGGGAAATCATACATAATAGAAATCAATCTTTAATTATCAAACTAGATATAGAATAATAATTACTTTTAATTCTTGATTCCAAACTCCTTTAATAACACTTTTGATGGATTTAACTTCAGTTTTGAAATCTAAACCTTTATATTTTCTATAACCTTCTCTTAAATATCTACCAATAGCTTAATCAGTAACTTCAAATACACCTCCAGCAACATAATCTGAATATGGAAGATACTCTATATTAAAATATTAACAATATTTTTTTTCTGGTTTAAATGCACATTCCATTACCCATTTGTTATCTAAATCAAAAAGAAATTATTTTTCTAAAAAGTCCATAGATTTATCACCAAATGTAGTTCCATATATACAACCTGGAGCTAGAAGAATAATAATTTCTTAAGGAGGATTTTCAAATATTACTTTGACTTCACCAACATTTCTTCCAACAACAGAATTAGAATGAAAATTAGCTACTAATTCTAAACGTGCATCAATTCTAATTATAAAATATAAAATAAATACTTATATTTTCGACCATAATATTAAATTATACATATTGGAGGATGATGACTGATTTATTCACAATATATAGGACAATTATCAAAATATCCTTAAAATGTTTCTCCTAAAATAGGATTGAATGGCTTATAAATAGTATTTATTAATATTACTTTCTCCATTGATAAATATGAAAATATAAAACCAAATGAAAATGCTGCACATTATTTAATTCTATGAAATTTATCTTTAGATATTGCAGCATCATCCAGAAATACAGGAGCAAAAGCTAAAGAACTACAAGCTCTTTCAGTATTTGATCTAGATTCAAAAATAGTTACTGGCATAGAAATACTTGTTAGTGATCTTCCCATTAATAACGAAGTTCCTTTATAATTTATATCAATTTATACCTATTCTAGCCAATAAAAATTTAACTACACTCTTTTATGCATTTACTTTTACTTCATTTATACACTTAAGTCCACCATTCTTTTCATCTCTTTAAAAATCTTTTCTAAATATATAATGTCCTCCTTCTTACTCTCTCATATATTTTCTATTCTTATTTTAATTTATAACAAATTATATATACATTTATATCTGATTCTAATGGATTCAAAATATGTTATATATCAATTGCTATTTGACAATATTTCCCACTAAAATAAGCCTACATCTTTTTTTCTACCCAATTCTCTATATTTTATATTGTATCACTTTAACTTTAAATTTAATTGATTTTACCCTAATGTTATCTTTAAGTTATTGAATTTCTCACATCCATCACACTTTAATCAGCATCATTTGTTTATTAATCTGATTATCCTATAAATAATTTATCATTCATAGCATCTATATCATCTTCACAATCATAAAATTCTGTGATATTTCCTTCTGATCTTTCATTTTCAAGTTAAGGTTCATCTTATTCACAATCATCTTCTATTTTTGGTTATTAAAATATAATATTTGATGAAATGTTATTTCCAATAACTTAAGAAGATTCTTAAGAACTAGATGTTTTTTTTTATTTCTGTTATTCTAAAGTACCTTAAGATAAATTATTTTAATCACATTTTCCTACTACTTGATTTAATTCATTTAACTTTTCTGATTATTTCCTATTATTTGTCTACTATTAAACTTATTAATCCTCTTCTTTTAAATTTCCTATTGATGGAATATTTTAAGTATTTTTAGATGAAATAGGTATTTGTAATGGTAATTAATTTTAAATTACTTAATTTGGACCTTATAATGGTGCTGATACAATAATAGGCTATTATTAAATAATTTGATTTTAACCTATCTATTTAGGTATATCTACAGGTTATTCCATTTTAAACGAATTCTTTTTTCCTTCTTATCTATTTTAAATTTTATGTTTTTAGTTTGATTATTCATTTTAAGGACTATTATTAGGATTAATGTTTGAACATTAATCTTAAATTTGCTATTTATCAAAATCTACTTTTTGAGGTTTTATCATATTTTCATATTATAAAAAGTATTATTATGAGAGAATAGAATCTTCTTCATTAAAAGCTAAACCATTATAACTCTATTCTGTAAATAATACAATATTTGTTTAGTTATTTTCATAAAAAAAACCCCAAACAGCAAATTTTAATATTCCTGAAACAGTACCTTAATGTATTTTAAGATCAGCTTTTTTTTCAATAATAATTTTAATATTTTCTTTTTTTTTAAATTCGACAACATGTCTTAAATATGTGAATTCTCTTTTAAACTAAAACCAATTTTTGATTAATCTTATTTCTGTTATCATTTATGATTTTTCTGATTTGAATTCTTAGATTTATGTATATTCTTTTAAATTATAAATATTCCAATCTAACTAAGTTTGAAACAATTATGTTTAGCATTTGATTAAACCTAATTTATAAAAAGAAGATTAATACAATTTCCTGGTAATGTAAGGAATACTTTAAAATTGAGTTAATTATTTTTATTGCGATAAACTTTCACTACTTGATTTTAAATTAGCTCATATTACTCTAATTAGTAAGATTTAGATCTTATATTTTGAATACTAAATTAATATATATAAATATACGCATTTCGAATTTCTTGCATTTCAAAAAATTATGGAATTTCATAGTCATAATCTCGAAGGGTTGCTACAATTAATTAAATTAATTTTACAAACTGATTTTGATGATAAACTAGGTTCAAATAAACTTTAACTACGGGGTTATTATCCACACATTTTTTTTAAGTATAACATTAGCTCATTAGCGAATTTCTCATTCTCTGATCCCATTAATATATTCTTTTCATTGATTGTTGAAACTAATTCAAATTGAAATCTATTATTCTTTCTTTCAACATTTGCTATCTATAAAGAGCGAGAATAATTTTTACTTAATAATTTGCAAGATGGTAATTTTTATTTTATTTTGAACTTTTTATTGAAAATATTCTAAGTTCTTGATCTATAATGTATTTTTTTGGTTGCCAAAGTCCAAAAGTCTTCCCTTTTACTAAAACTTCTCCTTCTAAAAGATAGTTGATTTTTGTCTTGTCCATTAATTAATAATATATTTTAGAGAGATATTTTGTATAAAAATGGATTTTTATTGTAAAACTATTATTCTATTCCTTTTACTCACTTTACATCATATAAATTTATTTTAAAGTTATATTGTTTTTTTTTGTTACAATATGATAATACAACCCAGATACTCATAAAAGATGGCAGACACATTCTCCAATAGTAAGGACTTTTATTCATTTCATCAAAAATAATTTATAGCTTAAAAACCATAAGCACAACGTTTGGAACATTTATCAATATCTCAAAGAACTAAAATACAATCTTTAAAGGATAGAACAAGTTCTGATATTCTGACTGCTTTTATAAATAGAGGATTACTTTAAACTTAATAAAAAGCATCAACAACAAAACCTTTTGATAATTCATCAAGTATTTTAATAAAGTAGAGTTATGAAGATAAAATAACAAGAGAAGATTTACTGTCATAATAAGCTCTATAAACAATTGAAGATATAGAAAAAAGTAATAAATGTATAATCAATCAATTAGATAAGAAAATTCTTCCACCATTAAGATTGTATGCTGATAAATTAAAACTAAAGGAGAGATAGAACTAATCAAAAGAAAAAGCAGAACCTTTCAAAAATTCTCTTATTGAAACGTAAGTATTCATTATAAAAATAAGCCCAACATTATAAAAGACATTAGCTAGAAAAAATAGAGGATTCATACAAAGTGAATAAAAGTCAACATAAGAGAATGAATAAATTATACATAAGATGGGAAGAACCTCATCGACGCCTTTGATGTAAAAATCAAAAGAATAAAAAGAAGAACAAGTAACAAGCAGATCTGGTACTCCTTAAAAAGAAATCTAAAATATTAGTCCGATAAAAAATGTTTAAAAGAGTTTAACTAAGTAATTAAGCATTTATACCCCATAATACAAAGCAATAAAAGAAAAGAAATTGCAAAGTGCTTTACATTAATCATAACCGTAATAACAAATATAATAATAATAATAATAATAACCTATTTAAATTGATAAAAAAATAATTCCAAGAAAAAAAAAGTAATAAAATTAAAGTAATGCTATTCAATAATAAAATCAATAAAAAGAGAAATTGACTCTTCGTCATACATCTTATCGTTGTTTTTTAAATAAGATTAATTTTTCAAATAATTAATGCATTACATGTCCAAATAAATTAGATATTCCTGCATATTATTATTATGTAGGTCTTGGAAATAATGGAAGTTTAGTCAAAAATATATTTAGATAAAGATGGTGGTGGTCAGAAGTAGAAACTTTAGATACAACAAAAGTCAATATGTCATGGACATAATTAAAATAGAATATTTGTATTGAATTATTGCATCCATATAATACAGATTCTGGAGCTTAAAGTTCAGAATCTTTTATCCTTAGTCATGAAGAAACTATTGGAGATACAAGTGATTCAGATATTGAAGTAAGACCAAAATAATTGAGTATCACAGGAGGAATATAAAAATAATAAAGTTCTTCATAGCATCAATTAAAAAAACCACCAAATTATTATTCAATTAAAAGAATACTAAACACTTAAGATTTATAAAAATTACTAAATTATATGGAGGAAACTAATTGTTTTGATAGCTAATTGATTTTTAGTGATTGTTCTGAGAAATTGCTTAAAGAAATTAAATAGTATAACACTATTTAAAGATTAGATAGTAGAAACTAAAAGATGCATAATCATATGGAAGATAATTGGCATTTAGGAAATAAAAAAGCCTTATTCTATAATATGAAAAATTACTTTTAGATAATAAAGGAAGATTATAATAAATTGCTTCCAGTTACATTTCATATTCAAAAAGGGTTGAGTGATATTGAATATTCGAGATTTTTGGATTATTATAATAGGAGAAGTGATGAACTTCGAGAACTTGAAAAAAATAGAGATAGAAAAGATAAAAAGAAATTACCTCTTAATTTATGGATTATCAAACCAGGAGAATTGACTAATAGAGGTAATGGAATTACTGTTTGTAATGATTTGAATGAAATTAATAAAATAATAAGTGAAGAATTTTAAGAAGGCAGATAAAGAACATATATAGTTTAATAATATATTGATAATCCTTTTTTGTATAACAAACGAAAATTTGATATTAGATGTTATATGCTGCTTACATCTTAAAATGGAATTTTTAAAGGTTATTGGTATTAAGAAGGTTATATACGAACATCTTCAAAAGAATTCACTACGAAATGTTTAGATAGATTTGTTCATTTAACAAATGATGCTGTTTAATCAAAAGATTAAGATTATGGTAAACATGAACCAGGAAATAAGATTTCTTATTTAGAATTTTAGAGATATGTTGAATGTAACTACCCAAATTATAAATTCAATTTTTTCATTGATATATATCCTAAAATGAGAACAGCAGCATTAGATATGATGAAGGCTACTTATGGTAAAATTGATCCTCATAGAAGAATTAATAGTTTTGAAGTATTAATTTTTAAATAATAAAACTAGTTATATGGATTAGATTTTATGATAGATGAGAATTTCAAATTGTGGTTAATTGAAGCTAATACTAATCCTTGTCTTGAATTGTCTTGTCCTCTTCTTAGTAGAATAATTCCAACAATGGTTGAAAATCTATTTAGGATCGCTGTTGATCCAATTTTCCCTCCACCATTTTTTGAAGAATGGCCTTAAAATAAAAAATTATTTATTCCTGATAATGTTATTGAAAATAATAAATTCGAACTTATTTTTGATGAATTGATAGAAAAAAAGAACATGGTTAGTTTGTTTCGAGACAATAAAATTGAATAAGAATGTTTTGATATTGAAGAAGAAGAAGAGGAAGAAGAAAAAGATTGATAAATTGTATAACTAAGTTTATAATAATTATTATATAATAAAATTTTACTAAATATATAATCTAAACTGAGATAATTTTTTATCATAATAAAAATAATACAATTAATTTTAAATTTGAGTAATTTTTAAACATATTTTCAATATTTTCAAAGTTAAAAAGAATGAATGATTAATTTATAATAAATATATTTTACATATGTAGAAAGTAATTGTTTACTATGCGTTTAAAATAATGGATGGACTCTTCGTTGGCAATAGTCGTGCTCCTTTAGTATAAAATATATTTTTAAATTGATGAGGAAAGAGACTTTTTGATAATGAATAAGATCAATAACATAATTAATTGTGCAGCATCGGAACTCATTTATAATGGAAGTGGAAACTCTCTCTGTTTCAATTGGAGAGATGTTGATGATTAAGTAAATTATTAAATAGATTTAGAATATTGTAACAATCGAAAATATAGAAAAAATTAATTAGTTTATTGAAACAGCTAATAATAATGGAGAAGGTGTCTTGTTTTTTTCACTTCGTGGATAGAGTAGAGCTTTAACTGCATTAACAGCTTATCTAATGTATAAGTAATGACCTTATTTAATTTAATAGATATAGTTGGAGCTTATATAAAACACTTTAATTCTTAAATTCAAGAAGAAAAGATTTTGAAATCAGAGCAGCATTCCTAAAATAATTAATGAATTTTGAAACTGATTATTTTAAAGATAAAGAAATAACTAGAAATTGGGATAATAATACTGAAAATCAAGAAATTTAAGTAATTTAAAATACATATCTGAATTCTATATAATAATCACCTATGATTATTAAAACACACACAAATCTTTCAATTCAAAATGGAATCAAACATAACGTAGCTTGGTCTATTAACTTGATTTAATAAATCCAAACAATAGAAATTAAAGAAAATAAATAAAATAATAAAGAATTAAAACCTATTTTAAAAGGGTCTTCTTAACTTTTATAAAAGGACAAATAATAATAGAGATCGATTTCAGCTACAGATAATTCAAAATTAAACTTTGAGGATTTTATTTTGCAAAATTTACTTACTACAAAAAAGTTACAAACACCCAAAATTAATAGTTTTAGTTTTGATAGTAAAACTAAAAAAAAAGATTTTTTAGGAGGTCTAATTTCACAACAAAAGGCTAGACCAAAACGATCTTTACATTTTACACCAGAAAAATAGAGAATCATTCAAAATACTAAATAAATAATGGATACATATTTAAATTCACAAATTAATAATATTTAAATTATGAGGGGTAGATCTATTTTCACTCCTCAAAAAGAAAGAATAAGAGCATTATCTTAATAGAATTAAAGTCCTAATAAAAGTCCTATCTTTTCTAAATAATCCTTTTTTATGGAGAATTAAAATGCCAATTTTATGAAATGGAGTTTGGCTAAAAAACAACCATAATTTAAAATTAAATGACCCTTTAATAATTCTTTTTATTGTTCATGTTGAATTACAAAATCTATTAATATATTTATTATCAGTCAAAGCTTGGTTTATTTGTTCGGCTACTTTTTATTTCAGTTATCAATTATCTACTTGTCGCAGCTTGCCCTTTTTTTTAATTTAATTTACTCGAGACTAACTTAATTATTTTAAAATTTACTCCCATTTTTTTTATTTCTCATATCTTTCATTATCTAAAAAATGTCAATACTAGTTTGTAATGTATTTTTTCTAATTAATAATATATAAATACTTATCTGACATTTTAAGTTATTCTTAACTTAATTTATGAGATTCTTCTGATTTCAAAATTTCTGATTATTTTCTTGAATTTGGATGTGGTTGCATAATAAAACCAAACAACCTAAAATATAATTATACTTATTTTACTATTTTGATTTCTTATTAGCTCCTTTTGGGGATAATTATCTGACATCTTTTTGTCTTTCTCCAAGAGAAAATAAGAGACTGGCATAAGACTTTGAATTTTCTTATTAAGTTCCTATTTTAGCATTTAATGTTTATTTAAATTTTTATGTAACCTTGGCATCTGGAGATTAAGTGGAATATGATTCTTTTCTTAAGGCTTTATTGATAATATTGGAACAATTTGTCAAGTCTTATTTAAATGATATTAATTCTCCAACAGAAGTACTATTCTTAGTACTAATTCATTTAATGAATTCTTACTGCATTTTATTATTAAAATTAACATCCTCTTTATATAATTTATTCTTTTAAAGATTATTTAACTAAAGTTATTATTATTCACCCACTGAACTATAATGAGCCAAAGGAGATATAATTCGATTTTTTTTATTGAGAAAAACATCTTGTCTTCTTTCTCCCTATTAAACATAATTAAGTGATAAATTAAGAGGATATTTTTATGAATTTAACAGACTTGTTCGGCTATCTTTACTTAGTGATTATCCTCTATTTTAGGATTACGGATAGAGTATGGGAGAATGACTTTATTATAATTTATTTGTATCCAATAGTAAATTTGTATTGATTTACAAATACTTTTAAGTTTCTAAAATTTCAATCTATTAATAGAATAGATATTATAGATACATACGTTATTTTGCAATTTCAAAATTTCATATTGAAGTTTTGCATTTTCTTATGCTTTGATATTCAATTTTTACATTAAATAAACTAATTTTTCATTCATAGATAATTTGTGAGGTATTAAATCATTAGAAAAATCAGTTATATTGTTTAAATCAGCACTTTTTTTTTGTTCAAAAATTTCAATTTTGGATTGCAATAACATATTTTCTTAGACAAGAGTTAAATTCTTTTATTTTTATTGAATTAATTCTTGTTCAAATTTTTGATTTTGAGTTTAAAGTTGCAAAATTTAAGTTTGATAGGATTATTCAATAATATTTTTTTAATCTGTTAATTCTTTAATTTGTTTAGTTAAATCATCTTATATGCTTTTAGGAAAGTTTTAAGTATTATGTTACTTAACAAGTGTTTCCTCAAAAGTACTTTGATTTCCATTATTAATAATTAAAGGTTGTTCTATACAAAGTTATTTCTTTACTAAAAAAATATTGATTTGAATTTTTTTACAACTACTGAAGCAACCACCTTTTTAAGGAAAGCTAAATTTAGTTAAGTTCTTATTTTGAGGAGCTGGAGGTTCCTACATAATATCTTTAGGACTTTATTAAGAATCAATTCTTTAACAATTAGATTCAGATTAACCAGAATTGATACTTTATGGATGAAATTCAACGAATTCAATATATTGTATAGGAAGAGACTCCTAAATTTCTTCTTATTTTTGATCACTGTATTTTTGATTAGTTTAGAATTCTTAAGACTCATGTAAATTAAGAGGCTAAGAACTAAAGGATTTCGATTCTTTAGTAAAATTGAGTTCTTAATTTTCAACATCTGGAATGTTGCTACAAAATTCTTCAAAAGTGTCTAATTCTGGTATCTGAATAATAGTTAAATAGTTCACTTATTGTTAGACTAACTTATCTTCATCACAAGATTAGATAATAAGATTAGCTGGCTTTCGTTGTTTGAATAATGGTTACATATTCAATTTTAAATTGTATTTTCTTAATAATAAAAATATCGATAATTTAAATAGTATGTCTCATAAACAAATTTTACAAAAGAAATCAGAATCATCTAATTCTCTCTCTTGATAACCTACACATTCGAGATGATACCATTAATGACAAGAATCACACTATTTTATATGTATATATTATACTTATACATATTTTCTGTCGGGATTCACCGGTTATTGACAAGAACAGAATTTTTAAAGTTTTTCTAAACCTTAAAATTATTTTTTTTCCATATCCCAACTTAATCTGTTAAAATAAATAGTGGATTCAATTTCATCAAGATCAATATATTCTTTACATGTAATAATCTGACATGAGTGTATCACAGTCTAAGCTAAAATGTAATCTTCGTGTTTTGTTTGAAATAACTCTTGATCCGAAACCCATTCATTGCTTTTTGGATTAGATTTTATCACTTCACTTTTTCTCATATACCATTATACACGACATAAACATATCAATTTAAGTGTTGTTGGTTCTTTTATTGATATAATTTATTTTATGGTTCCTATATAATCTTCATCATGAGCATCTCCACTATTAATCAATACACTCTCTCCCAACTTAATAACTTTTTTCTGAACCTTAATACAATCGTATTCCTCAAATAAACCTTTAGTTTATTTAGCTATCTTGATAAGTTGCTCCCATTTTTAAGCCTTATATAATTCTCTTAAACTTATCATAGATTGTTTCGAGATTTGCTTCTTAGTGATTGTAGAACTCTCTGGCGACTCCTTTTTTAATTTATATTTGTTTCTTATTGCTTTTTTTATCCAGTGAGAATAGTTCATATTTATTTTTAGATCAGATATTTATTTGATTATACTTTAATTAAAAAATTCAATTGGATATACAACACTTTTCTGACTCTTTTATTATATCCTAATCTTTAAATTAAGGTGAACTGAACTAACTCTTTTCATTCTCTTTTTAACTCAATTCTGTATTTATATTCTTTTTACCACTCTCCAATATGTAAGTCATCTTATTTAAATTACTTAAATGTTCTCTAAAATTTAAAATCTTTTAAGCATTCATTTCATCCATTTTTCCATTTTTATGTACTTTTTATTCATCATCCCATTAATTAACTTATTTTACTGAATCTATTATTTCAGATCGTTTTTCTAAAGCCTTTTTGCAAGTTTCTGTATCTTACAAATATTTTAGATACTTTAAATTCTCAAGCTCATTTTTCTTTAAATCAGGAGTTTCTAATATAATCTTTTAATTAGATTCTATTGAGTCTTAAAAAAACCTATATTTATATTTTTATATTATTTTACTGTTATGATTTTGATTAATTATTAGAGATTTTATTTTATTATTAAACCTTGACATTTTATTATTAAACCTTAACATGTTATTCTTAACAAAGTTAAGACTCATTATTAATAACCTCTATTGTCTATATATCATTTGTATTATCAAATAACTTTCTAAATGTAGTTTTTGGTTGTTTAATTATATCAGAACAAATCTATTATCCTTCCTCTGTTTTATTTACAGTTCTTTCAATTGATTATTTCATTTATCCACTAGCAGGACTATGAGGAGTTGATTTTGGTGAATTTTACAAACTCATTTAATTTTCCTTGAAATCTTAAGATTCTATTAATTATAATTATTTTGTCTCTCCAAGTAGATTTTATTTAACTTTAGATTCTTAATCTATTATATTCATAAACAAATCTTTATCCTCAAAAGAAACATAAAGATAGTTATTTTTTTATTTTTATTATTTTTACTCACTTACTTAATTCATATTATCAACATTATCTCTTGAATTTGAATTTTATTGTCTCTCTGATAAATCTGGTTAAGTTTCAATTCCACCACTGAAATTTGTTCTTATTCTCTATTAAATTATCAACTATTACTAAGGCATATCAAAATTATCATTCTTTTTTACAGAAGAAATTTATTAAACATTTTTTTGAATATTATTTTGAATTAATTATCGTTTCTCATCTTATAATTAATAGCTAAAATATAAACTAATTAATTTACGTTGCTGCAATTAAAGCCATAATAGGCTTAATATCTGGATTTACTAACTATTTAAGTCCTATTGTTATTTAAAGCATAGATTATGTAAATTCATTCATCTTCATTAATTCAATTTAATGATTATCCATTATTTTTTAAAATGGCTCCATTTTTATAGTTTTTAATACAGCATTCCAATTATTTTCTATATCCTATTAGATATTACTTGCCTCTACTTTATGTTATTCTAAAACAAATTATAAGATTTATATTTATTTCAAAGATTCCTACTATTACATTTATAGTGAAGTTATACAATAATTGCTAACTTCATTCAATAAATTTTAGAGTTATTCTTTAGATTCTTCACATTTTCTCATCTAAACTTCATACCAGTTTTTAATTGTTTCTATTTAGAATTTCATTTATCCTAAAACTTCTTATCTCAGAGTTTAAGAAGTTTCTAATTTCTTAAGAAATCCACTTAAAATTCTTTCTTTGAATTACATTTCAGATAAATTAACATTCCCATTTATTTCAATTAATTTAGATTAAAAGGTTGGTATCTGAGATCCAGAAGATTTAATTTTCAATTAATTTATTTCTAAAACAACTTTTCCTTAACTTGCAGCTTCAATTGCACATTGAGAACAAAAATAGGTAAATTTAGAAAATTCTTCTATTTTATACTTAGCTTTTTTATTTCTATGATTTGTGCATGTCTTAGTCGGTAATACATTCTCTAAATTATCATCACTTCCAATTAAGGGTGAATATTAACATAGTAATTTTCCTTATTAGAATTTATTTCCTAAGCTTTCATCAACCTAAATGTCTATTCAATCTTATTACACTCTGCTACTCAATTGAAACTTTAGAATGAAGATAAGTGCTGGGTGTACCAACATTCAAAATTTTCAAATCATTTTTTCTATCTTAATCCTAAATTATAGCTTTATTACATTGATCCTTGTTAATAGATTTAGATTTGCTATATTCTGTATTTAGAGTATTCGTAGTTAACTTTGTAGGAGTATAATTTGTAGTCTGTTCTGGTTTCTTAGTAAAATTTTATTTACTATTATAAGATATTGAATTTGTTGAAGAATGACTTTATGATTTTAAAGGACATCCCTATTGATATTACTTTATTTAACAAAATGATCCCAATTATTGGTAATTAGATTTTAATTTTTATTCTAGACCATTTTTAGAATATGGAACTTCTATAATACTATTTTTGATATGTTTTACTTTGATGATCCTAATTAGATGTTACTAAGCTCTCTTACAATTCTTGCGAAAGGGGAGATTTTTGTATAAATTTTTATTTATGAGATGCATCATTTGCAAAGGATGCTGGTCTTCGTTAATGTTATTCATCGTTTATTTATGATTGATGGATTAATGAATTTGGAGATTAACTTCTTTGTCTGTTAAATTTTTCAGAGAACATATCAGTAATAATATTGCTTTAATTTTACATCTATGTGATATTACTTTTTTATGTATTATTTTGCTATTATGGTTTTTAACATGGTTTAAGTATATTTTTGTTATACCTATGTGAAGGTGATTCTTCTTTATGTGCTTCACAGCTTAACTTATTATTGGCATTTTATTGTTCTGGCATTTGGTTTGAGAATTTTAACTTATCTTATTTCGAAGAAAATTATTGGGTCAAAAATTGCTGTGTTTGATGTTGTTTAAGCAGATGCTACATTTATATTGACATTTCTTTGACAGAATTTCAAATTCAATTTCTAAATTTAATAATACAAACTAATAATCTTAATTATATATAAAATATTAAGCAGCAAGCGATACTTTTATTTAGGCATTAAATATATTATTTGAATTCTATAATATATTCAATTTAATAACTAATTTTCATATACGTTATAGTAATTATCAATTTATAGTGGAATCTAATATACTCAATACTTTAGAACTCGTATACTGATATGTTGAAAATTAAGAAATTTTAAATTATCATTAACATATGTAGGATTTATATAATAATATAATTATGATTGATTAGGACATCCAATTTTATTATTTCGTAGAGCAGCCTATTTCATTTCTTGAAATCTTAAACTAACCTCTAATCTAAAGAGAGTCTAAAATAGCTTACTTAAAAATGAAATATACTAAATAGTCTAATAGATATAATGAACTGAGAATTTCTACCTAACAAAATCATTAATATGACAGCCTAATGATAAATTTCAATATTGAAAGCCCCCTTTTTAAAGTGAAATAGAAATTTGATTACAATCATAATAATCTCACAATTCATTCTCAAATCATCACTTAACAGGCTACTCCAAAATCATCACGATCTACTAGTCCTCTTAAGAGTGTTTATTTAAGCTCTAGTTTAGTAGCACGCAGATAATTTATTGGTTATGTATAGTAAAAGAGATCACCTGACCTTTATGAGCTTCACAAATAGAGAACCAAAAAAGGAATAAACAAGAAAGCCGATTTTTCAACTCTTATCTCGAAAACAACATATCATTTATCAAAATACGGTATTTGATTACTCATTTAAATATATTTATAAATCATTAAAAAGAATTAAATTGGTAATCGCCCTTTAATAATTAAATTACACAATTGATTATATTATAGAATATTTTAATTAATTATCATTAGTTTTTTAATTTGGTAACAAATGTATAAATGAGACTTAAGAGACTCTTATCTAATCATCTTCAAAAATATTATATCATCAAAATTAAAATTATTAAGAAACAATTTTATAAATTTATTTTTTTTCTTTTATTTTCTATAATTCATCTATATTCTATTTGATGTAACTTTTTTAATAGACAATATAGATCCCATGAATTATAAAAATGTTAATACAGGTTAAATGTCTCGTTTATATAATATTAGATTATGAAAATTTAATTTTTTATTTAAATGAAAAAGCTCAGAAGTTGAATTTAAAATAAAGAATTTAATTTAAGTTCATAAAAAATAGCTAACCAAGAAATTTATCTTTTTAATTAAAAAAATGACTACAAAGATTAAATATGATTTATTAATTATTTCAAACACCAAATTTAACTATTTAAATAATAAAGTAGTAATTTAATGAATGAAGTTAATTAGTAAAACTAAAAAAATGACATTTAGAGACCTAGTAAATGTACTACGCTACTAATTTCGACCTAATTATGGATCAATTTTAACTTATTTTTGTAATTTACTTATTTGATAATAAATTTCTTTTTAATTTAAATGCTTTTTTATGATTATTTTTGAAATATCAAAATAATAAGTTAAATTATTAAAAATTATTAGTTTATAGTTAATAAATCTCTTCAAGCTCTAAAAATTATTTTCTGTTTTAGAAAATTGTCTTTTAAAACTGTTTTCAACTTAATTAGTGTTGAAAATTTGATTCTAACAACTGAAATCTCAAATAAGTTGTTAGGATATTTTTTTTACAAATCTAATGATTAGCCTTAACGTGTTCATGTGTCAAGAATTTAAAAAAAACCATTTTTCATTTCTAGACAATATACAAAAAAATCTGTAAGAAAATATTAAAATTTGTATTAAAATAAAAATTAATTCAAAAACCAACCTTCAAAGATTAAAATTTAAATATACTCTTTCGTAATACCTTTCTTTGAATTTTACTGATATCTTCTGTTTAATATTGAGAATTTTTAATACTATAAAAAGAGTTAAAAATATTTATTTTTTTAGATAATAAATGTTCATTTTTTTTGTTTAAGATTCCCCCGCATTATCTTTTAACTTTTTTTCTTAATTTTCAGATTATATTTCATCATCTTAACTATTTCTATCTTATGTACCTTCTTAAGATATACCAAAAATTTATTATTCTACAATTATTCTTTCTGCTTTTTTTTCAATTATATTTTCAACTTTAATATTATTTTAAACATAATTAAGTAAAGCATTTTAATTAAATTTGACTGGTATGGCTGAAGAAGAACACTAATAAAAAAAAACCTGAATCAGAACGAAAGCAACAATAGAAGCAGATTATAAAAGTCATAATCAAAAAAACTCCACGATAAAAACCAAACTGTCTTAAACTCAAACCAAAAATTAACAATAATATTTTAGACTAAGCTTTATCATTTTTAAATTACTAGGAAAAAAGTACAGAATTAATGCAAATGTTTGTAATACAACTACTTGTACATAGATAAAAGGATTATTAATGATAGTATAAATTTTATCAGGTTAAAGAAGCTATCCTAATTGATCTCTTCGTATAAATAAAAAATAATTTTAATCTTAGAGATTAGATCACTTTAATAAAAAGAATAAGAATTGGCTTAGGAAAGAAAATAAGATTTCTCTGAGATTTTAGTTAATGTGATATACTGAGAAAAAAAACTACAGATTTTTTAGGATATTTAATAAAGATAGAAAATGTAAAAAATTATGAAGTAATTAAAATAGTATGTTAGATGAATCTATTGAATGAAACTTGATTTAATTAAGATGTTTTGAGAACAATTTGAGTATCGTTATAAATTTTGTTTAAATTAATTTAGTCTAAATTATTAATAACTAATATGTAAATAGCTACTAATTATGATAGTGAGCCATTCTCATTGATAAACACTAAAAGATAAATATTTGGTGGAGATTCGGATATAAAAATGAAATAATATTTTCAAAGAAGTCGTTCTATTGAAGAGATTGATTAAATGATGGATGATCAGGACAAAAGTGCTAAGTATTGTAAATTAATTAGAAATAGACCATCATGTTTTAATTTACGTAAAGCTAAGAGTAACTATAAGCCACCAACTATAAATATTCAAAATATTAAAAGTGATAAACGTGAAACATATATTTTTGAGAATCTGAATTTAGATTAGAAAGAGCCAGGGTATAAGTTGATACAAATAGAATAGATTTAATCCAGTTTGGAAGAAGGGTAGTTTGAAGATAATAAGATTAGTAGCTAGATTTCTATATCAATTGAAGACGAAAGCAGAAACCTTAAAGTTAAAAATGATGAATCATCATATATTTGAATATATAGATGATAAAGCAAGTGATTTTAATGAATTCAAATCAGAAAAGACAATATATGATAATTCCCTTAAGAATATTTTGTGTAGAAATCTTAAGAAGATGATTAGTTTTTTTTCAATATTAAAAGCGATTTTAGAATTCTTGTTTAATAGAATAGGAGTGATATATCCTGAGAGCACATTTAAAATTATATGGGATTCTATAGTGGTATGTTTTATAGTAATCAATATATTTTTCATTCCAATGTCCTTGAGTTTTGAGTTAGATAAATCAAGCACATTAGTATGGCTTTTTTTTGAAACTATTCCTAGCTACATTTTCATAGCTGAAATAATTCTAAATTTTAATACTGCATATTATAGTCATGGAGTTATTCATTCAACAAGGAAAGAAATATTTCATCATTATGTTTCTGAAAATTTCTGGTGGGATTTAATGATATCAATACCATATGTATTATCTCAATTAGATATTCCATATATACAATTTGTTTTATTGTTAAGAATTACAAGAGTGAAATCAATGGTTTAAAATGTGGAGGATTTATTGAATGCAAAAGAATCTGTATAGGCAGCTGTAGAATTATCTAAATTAGTTTATTTTATTATTTTTGTAGCTCATATGTGTAGTTGTGCTTGGCATCTACTAGGTAAAATTGAAGTAGATGTTTATGGGGATAATAATTCATGGTTAGTTCATTATGGCTATTATGATGAACCTTGGCATAATAGATATATCGTAAGCTTATATTGGAGTGTGATAACAACACTTACAGTTGGTTATGGTGATATTGTTCCTTAGACTTCAATTGAATAATTATTTGTAGTTATTATTGCTATGATTATTTGTGGAGTATTTGGATATTCTATTTCTACTATTGGAGAAATTCTCAAAAATTTAGAAGAAAAAAAAGGCTAATTCAAATAATTAATGAAAGAAGTCAATTCTTATATTAAAGAAAAAGAATTAAATTTATAATTATCTTTAAAAGTTAGAAAATATTTTGAATTCTATTATTAAACCTAACAATCATAAAAACGCTCTTATTAAACCTTACTTAATAATCTAAATGATTAATTAAAATAAGAAATTATGATAGACCTTTATTAAAAGGTTCTTATCTAAAGCAAATTTATTAAGGATACATTCAATGATACTTTAATTAGTGGACTTTGTTAAAAAGTATAGTAAGAAAACTTTGGACCTGGAGATGATATTATTGATATTAAAAATAAAAGTGAAAAAAAATTGATTTTTGTATTAAATGGGTAAGTAGACAGTTATTTTCATATGTAAGGAATTCCAAAAGAAACATAGCATCTTGAAACTCAAGGCAAATATTCTCGTACTTATAAAAAAGGAGATATTATAGGGGAATTTGAATTTATCACTAATAATGATTATTCTGTTTAATATAAGGCAGTTAAACTTACATAGGTTGCCTTTATCAATAGATAAGATTTATTAGAAATCATAATCTAAGATAAGGATCAGTTATATAAATTCTAAAAACTTAATGATTCTCTAACTTATTCTTAAACACTTGGTAGAACTTGCGAAATTTGCAAATGGACGCATTTATATTAGAAGTAATTATAGAATAGTTTTATTTTATTTAAATTTTAGTTGTCCATTTACATTCTATTAGCCAAATATATGGAAAATAGTTCGACAATCTTCTGCGTCTGTGAATATCAAACGAATCTCTTTTGAACGAAAGTCTCGTAAAAAGTACAAAACTATCTCAAATTCACCTGCAACTATTGAATTCATCCTAAATTTCATGTAAAAACATAATTTTATATCAGAAGAGTAAATTTATTATCATATTTTAAGACTTTTCTATAGTAAAAGATTTTAAAGATATGGAGTCAATATTAATTATAAAATTAGTTAGAGAGAGATATAGGAAATAAGTTCAGGTTCTTCTTAAATTTCAAGTAGCAGTGATTCACAATCTGAACCTAATATTAATGAATCAGCTAAAAATAAACGAACTTCTTTATAATCTTAAAATGAAAAAATAGACAAATTTGAACGTTTAAGAACTACCTTAAATATGAAAGAAAGTGCGCAAAACAACGTATTAAAACCTATCTTGTAGAAAATGAATTCTATTGGTTAATATATACGTGAAGATTCAGCTAATTAAAATTCACTTCCTAATATTAAATTGTTTCCTTAAATATATAAGAAAAAATCGTCAATTTCAAATATTAAAGCTGTTTCCAAAATTGATAACAGTGGAGCAAATGAAGTTGAAACTAATAAAGACACATTGAAATTATTCGAAATTTAAAAGGGACCTGACAATTATGATAATATCGATCTTATGATGTAAGAAGATAATGGTTTTTATCCTAAATTTAATGTTTTCAAAGTTATTGAAAACTATAATAACTATAGAATTAAAAAATTAGCTTTAAGAAAAAGATAATTTCAAGGGTAGTTAAAATCAAAAAAATCACAAAGATAATTAAATATAAAACTCATATCTCCTCGTTTATCATAACAAATAATTTGAAATAGAATATAAATTTTATTAAACAATAAACTTTTCAAAATTTTGTAATAATATAAAATACAATAATTTCAGACCAATCATTCTTATTTATTAAATTATATTAATAAACCCATTTCAAATCTAAATTAACAAATAGTACTTCTATCATCTTCATAAATATTTCATAAATAAATAATTTATTAAGATAAAATTATCAAATAATCAATATGAATACTTTAACTTAATATATTAAATATGATTGATATTATTATTATGTTTTTCATTATTGTATTATTAAGGAAATGTGAGAAATGACATTTATATAAGAAGAAATTAAATTAAAATAATTAATTTGATATTCATTTTTAAAATATTAGTAAATACCTTTGAAGATGGGATAAATGAATATAGATTGTATTATACAAATTGGGATAGAGAGCTCAAAAAGCTAGAATTATCAAATATTTAGTTTTCACAAAAATCCTACTGCTGGAAGTATTTCTAGGAATCTCTTACTTTTGGCACTTCAAGCCTCATATAAAATGTAGGCAAATACACCAATAATTAAATTTATTATAACAATTATCAATAAATTTATTAATATATTAAAATAAACTGAATTATGTATAAAATCTAAAGGGAATGAATAAAAGTGCCAGTATATTTGATACAAGTATTTGAAGAAAAAAAAAAATATCATTCTATACATAAAAAGCAGTTTATTAATAATTGATTTTTTTATTTGTTTTGATATGCTGCGGTTTCTGTGTCCATTTTTATAATTTTTTTATTCAATAAATATTCTTTATGAACTAATTGTGATTAAGGATAATTAAAGTATAATTTTTTAAATTTATGATTTCGAACAATTAAGTCTCCAACTGTAAAATGTAATAAAGGTATTTTCTCTTAAAATTTTGATTTAATTTAATCTAAAACTCTATTACGAGTAATATCTCCCCATTTATATACTTAATCCTCTTATTCTTAGAGTAAACTAGCATCAAATTAAATTATATTTTTATTAAATTCTTCTTAAATTTTGGATAATTTGGATAATATTTACAATTTATCTTGGTAAATTTCTTCTTTTGAATTAAAATAATTATATGCATATGTTAGATCAATAGATAAAATTGTAATAGGCTTTCTACTAATGACAACAGTTGAATCATTATAGAAAGAAGTACAAATATCAAAAATAACTTTAGAATCAAATTGTTTTGGGTTTTAGATTTGCTAAAAGATGAATAATATAGTTTCAACATCAGTTCCATATATGGGTAGTTTGTATTAAAATTGATCAGGAAGTATTTTTGGAAAAGTATTAGAGATATCAATAGAATCAAATATAAGTATTTTAGTAATTTTAAATTTACTAAAATCTCTTAATAATCTATTAAGCTTAATGCCTCCACATTCAACTTATTGAGATTATTATTTAGTGATGTAGATTGCATCATAAATGTAGCCATTATCTTATAAATATTTTTACCAAACTAAAGCAAAGGTCTAATTAGTAAATAGGATAACTATTAAATAAGCTTTTGAAAGTCTAAGAAAAATATAAAAATAAGTATATATTATACATTCTTAAGGTATTTTTGAGATCACTTCTTAAAGTGCAAGGACAATAAGGACTATCACATTATTCAATAACGCTACCAATTGAAAAAGAATGGCATATTTTTAGATCAATTTTATGATCCCAGAAGCTTCTTTTTGATTGCAACAATAAATCTATCTAATCCATTGAAATTTAGTACTTTCAAAATTCAAAATAATAACTTTATCTAAATATTCTTCTCTATTATTAATATTCAGAAATATGCATTTAATCATTATTCCTTTTTATAATTCTTCATATTGTTTATTTAAATAACGTAATTGAATTGCATGTTCTAAGCTCTTTTGTTTCTTGAACATAGGTTTAGCTTTTAATTAACGACTTTATAATTTCATTCTAACTACTTATTAAGTAGATGATAATTATGGCAGAATTTGTTATTCTTTTTATATAAGTTTGAGATTAGTTATATGTCGCTTATTTTCTCCTTTTTTATCAATTTACTATATTTATTAATCTTCAATATTAGTATTATCAGATATGATTCTTCTTTAACTTGGTATTTATTAAACTGAAGTTGTAACAAAGACTTACTCTTCGGGTTCCGATTGTTTACTATCATATCTCATTTTATTTCTAGTCTCTAAAATGCTAAAATTAGCATTCTTAAAGACAAAATATCCACGCTAAATGTTTTATTTTAAATGAATATGTTTGGAAAAGTATAAGGAATTCGAGATGCCATTATTTTACATATTAATTTTATTATAAAATGTAAATGTTTCAATAAGGTTTTCTGAATTATGATGAAAAGAAATCTTATCTTTGTTATTATTTTGATACTTAAGTAACCATTTATTAGATGAATGAATTCTTAGTACTTCCTGAATTTTTTAATGAACTTAACCCACTTCCAACTCTTTTTAATTTTTATGTTTTTGGTGAATTTTAACAGGATGCTGCTATACTGTTCTTAAACTAAAACTCACCTTAACCTGCTCTATCTGTTAAACATACAAAATTTTATGGAGCTTCCAATAAAGGAGTATTTAGATGAATTGGTTTACCTTCTGATTGATTCTTTTTATGCTTCGTTTATTTTACTAAAAATAAAATAAATTTAAGTACATTATTTTTAATTTTATAGATTATCATTAATATTAATATTAATATTGATAATCTTATCTTAATTAGATGTATATCTAATATGAATATTTGGTTATGTTGTTTTTCTATTAGTAGATGAACCAGCAGCTTTAATACTTTTTTAGCTTTATTATTATTATATTTAAGAATAGGCTGAGATTAAACCTGAAGTTTATTTCATTTAACTGTTTTTTTATTCTTATTAGACTCCTCTTGATACAGTTGGACTATTCCTATTTGAGAAAAAGTTTTTGGTACTAGAAAGTGGTCTATGAGTTTAGGATCCATTTTTCCATTTTAATTCTTATTCTGTGGGATCTTCTTCAATAAATAATTTAGAAATCTATTTTAGATTCAACTTACCTAAAAGTTATATATATATAATATTACCAATTGATATTTAATTATTATTTGTTTAAGTTTTTTATTTATTATGGTTTTATGTAGGAGATAAAATAGGATTCTAATTTTGGGAATTAGGTATTTGAGGAATTGACTAAAAGTTTTTTCTAAGATTTGTTAAAAATAATTAAGTTGATATTTTAGGTTAATGTTATACAATAGTTTTTGATTTTGAATTTGATGTTTAATTATCTTATAAATCTACTTTTGTTTACAAATTCTCATTACTTTATTTATTTTTTAAAAGAGAATCAACTTAATTCTTTATAAAATTTACATTGATATCTCTTTATATTTTATTCATTTACAAAGCTAGATCTGTATTTTATTTAGAATATTATGAACCAAACCTTTATTTGTTTTCTTCATTCTATTTTTAGTTAAGAGTCTAAATTAATTATTCATGAGGTTAACTTAGTTTTGTAATTTATTTTTAAATTTATTAAGTTTTATCTTTATGTTATGTTTTCAATAATGTTTATTAATTAATATAAGCTAGAAATTTGTTAAGTTTAATTTCATCACCTTTTTCCTAAGAAATTAAGAGTGATGATTATTCTAAAGCAACATTCCCTAATTATTTGCAAATTTCTTATAATGTACAAGATACATCATTTTTCTTTTTAAGAATTTAAGTTGACTTATTTAACCAACTCAAATCCTTTAATATTTAAATATTTCTTATTCTTTTAACAGTGTCTGGAGATTCCTATTCTTTTTAAGTCTCTTATGAATTTACAGGTGATGGTCTTTCTCCAACAATACCTTTTGGTGGTCTATTAGGATTTTATTTATTCTCTTCTTCAATCAAATGAGCTATTCTATAATATTCATATTTGCGCTTCTTATCAAAGTATTTATTCAATAAGGTAGCTATTGGTTCCATAAAGATTCGTGCTATATCTGTATGAAACTCTGTTAAATGGTTCAATTTACTTTATAGTATTCAGATAACAACTGGATTTTTTGTGGATACTCATCTCCATAATAGTACCTTTTCAAATATTCATCCTTAAATGAGACTACACACTTACATCATCATCATACCCAACCCAATCTTTAAATCGTACTACTGCCTTTGATGAAGCATCTCCAAGAATTTCATTGACATCTCTTGTATAATAATAATTCTAAGATTGGCAATATTTTTTAAATAAGTTTTTATTCATCCAAACTATAGAGTTCACTATCAATTCAGATTGTCTTATTCTCTTTAATGCTTCATTTTCCATGCTTTATTATACACCATTCTTCATCTTTATTTTTTTATATAAATATTTATAAATTAGTTTGATTAAATTAAATTACTCTGTGGAACATTTATCATATTCTTAAAATTAAGACATTCTATACACTCAATCAAATCTTAAAAAAAATCTTCTAATCAAGACTTAAATCATCATTCTTTTAATCTTAATCTCTATTTTACTTCAATCAAATTAATGATCCAGTATCATTAATAAGAACTTTAATAAAAAACAATTTGATAGTTTGAAATGTATATTTAATAAAAATAGTATATTATTCAAAAGGATTTTATAATTAAATTTATAAAAATATTACTATCATTATTATCTGGATGGATTTTTTTTTATTTAAATTTCATGTATAATTTTTAGTTCATATTATGAAAAATAACAACTCTTACTATTTAAAATTTTGTATTATTAATTATGCACTAAAATTCTGGCTTGACTTATCATAATGTTGATTCTTATATAGAAACAGAAGGGTTTTTTTGTTTTGAATAATATACAAGACTTGATTTAAAGAAAAAAAATTGGGAGGAAAGTTTAAATAGTTTGACAGATGATTTAATAGCACTTAAAAGTGAATATGTAGATTTAGAAAATCTTGAAATATTTATATCATTATTAGAGTTTTTAGAAAAGAATATTTAGGAATCAGTAGTTGGTTCGCCTTATTATTAATTAAGATAAGGTATGAACTAGACTTCAATAAATAATTATATAAATGATATGCTAGAAAACATAGAAAAGAGTCTAAAAGCTGAATCAGATGATTATAAAGCTATAGATTATCCAGGATTGCTGAAATTGGAGGATATACTTAACTTTTTAAAGGAATCCAAATTCATAAAATCTTACACTTAGAAAGTAGATTAATTACTTCAAATGTAGAAGGAAAAAAAATAGTATTCCATTAAAAAGAAAAAATGATCAAAGTTTACATTTTAAGAAATATAACATTCAACCAATCAATTTTTAGAATTAACTTTTTTTTCTCAAGTTATTCATCGTCATGCTTGGTCTCTACGCTTACAAAATACTCGAGCGTATAACCATTTTATTGGTTTAAGTTTTAGTTTATGAACTTTTCATAGAAGTTGGTACAAGATCATTCTTTTATGATTATTATTATTATTGTTATTCTTGTTATTTTTTTGTATTTTATTATTGTTATTATAGTAATTTCTATTGTTTAAGTTGATCTTCTCTAATTTTATCTCTTTACTATTTTATACATCTTAAAAATTTAATGAATTTTTCTCCAAATTTATCACTTGGATCAACTGGATTTTCACATAAATATTTAGCTGTTTTTTTATAATCAGTATCTAATTTTTATATTTTTAATTCTAGATCCTTAATCATATCTTACAATTTAGATTGAACATCTTTTAAAGTATCTACAATTTTATCATTTTCATCATTAGATTTTGATTCAATGGCTTTAGTAACAACATTAAGTCCTTTTTTTATTTCTGTTAAATTGGTATTAAGTTGAGTAATGGGTAATTTAGTTATAATATCAAATTTATCTAAATCAATTTCTTCATTAAATTTGATTTACTTAATAATATATTAAAGAACATTAGTTTTATTATCTTATCCTTTAACATCAGTTAATTTTTCTATTTGATCTAATTTGAATCCCCAAGCTCCTCCTTTAGCAGATTAACCATTAAGATAATTTCCAACTGCTAATGAAAACTCAATTAATTAAGTAACCCAAACCATATTAAGTAAATCATTAAAGACATCAAGAGATGTAATTTAAAAATCTAGATCATTGACATATTCTTTATATTGACAAGAGAATTTAAGAGCTTTAATTCTTAAAGAGAATCCTTTTAATTGAGAAATCTTTAATATGTATTTTTCAGGATTACCAAGTAATTCTTTATCTCCATCGAAACTTTAGACAGTTCCAATTTCATCTTCAGTAGGTGTAATTACATCTAAACTTTCTAATGTTGGTAATGTAAGTATTTTTTCATCACATTTAATTAGTGCTTCAAAAATAAGATTTGGAGGTAATTTTAATTTCATTAATACTAATTCCATATTTTTTTATCTTTCAGGTGATATAAGAGATATTTTTTAAGATTGAAGAGGTTATTATTATTTAGGATTACTATCTGTTTATTGTAGTTATTATTTTTTTGAGAATTCTTTTTCTAAAAATTAAATATCTAATTTAACATCTAAATCTTTAATATTTTCAAAAATAGTATCTTTAATTGATGTTTTTTGTGTAATGATTGTCCATTAGACAGGTTTCATAGGGACATTAGGATTTTATTTAATTTTTGAGTTTTAAGTTTATGATTGTATAGGTACACCAAAAGCAGGTGGAGGAGGTGCTTATCCTCCAGTTGTTTAAGGAGTACCAATAGGAGGAGGAAATTATGGAGGACCATTAATTTTATTATTAGAATTAGGTGGAGGTGGTGGAGGACCTCCAGGTGGACGAGGAGCATTTAGAGGAGGTGGTGGAAGTGGAGGACCTTATTTTATAGGAGGAGGTGGTGGAGGAGGAGGTGCTATTTTTGGAGGTGGTGGAGGTGGAGGTAAAGGAACAGATTTAATTGGAGGGGGTTGAAGTATTAGAGATGGAGGAGGAGCTATTTATTAATTATTTAGAGATTATATTGGTATTTATGTATTTGAAGTTAGTATTTATGATTTCTATTTTTCAAGATTTTTTATTTCATTTTTATATTTCTCTATTTCTTTTAATAATTCTATACATTATGCATCTTTTAAAATTGTTTAAGCTTTTAAAGTTTCTAATTCTTTACTTAATTTATCATTTTAATTTATATATTCTTATTATAATTAATTTGCTTAGGTAATCTTTTCATTTAATTTAATTACTTCTTATTCTTTTTAAATTTACTACATTTATGCTTATTTCTAACCTTAGAAAATAGATTTTATTTATTTTTCTAAATCTCTTATTTATTACTGAGCTTTTTCATAATCTTCATTAATTTTATCATGTTTTGGAATTTCTATTATTTCATCATCTTCTTCATCTATTAACAATCTTTGAAGAGATTATTCACTTAATTCCCACATATCATGAATCTTAATATTTGACAGAAAATTTAGAATAGATAAGAATTTCCCATAAGAATCCATCAATAAAGATTGTTATTTAATTATATCAAAAAGTTTTTAATCTGAAAATTCTATAATTTTAGTAGGCTTTCTATCAGAATCATATTCAAAATTACGAATTTCTTTAATGATTTACAATAGATCTTAAAATAATCTAAATTAATACTCTATTATTATAATTAGAATGAAACTTCATCATGTTTCTCTAAGTAAAATTAAGCTTCATTCTCTTAAGGTATATGAGTAATTTAAGTATTTTCAGATTTTGATTAATCTTCAGGGGGATCATTTAAAAAAATAGGATTCTTTACAAAAGGTGACTTTTTTTTGAAGAAGTGATCAATACTCTAGTATTTAATTAATTTATTTTAAATAGACTCATATGTGCAAGCGTCAATATTATATTCATTAATTCTTTATTCAATTAATTTAAGAATAGCTGCAAAGTTATAAGGAGAAATAACTGAAGATTCTAATTCATTTTTTATATGAGGTTAAATATTTCGTAAAAAACCTAAAATATTTACTACCATCATAATATTATCTGATTGATAAATAGTTCTTACAAATATTTCAAGTCTATATTTGAGAGAATGATCTTTACGATAAAATGCAAAGGATTCTAAAATATCATCAACATTATCTTTATAAATTAATCCATTCTCTCCAGCAAAGATTTCCAAAACTAAACAACTCATTTCAATATGAACAGGATGAAAATTAGCAAATATTATCCTAAATGCTCCAGGTATTGAAGCCAAATCATCACTTGCTTATTCTGATTGATTTATAAAATAAAAAAATCTTAGAAACGCTACACATAATTTATAGTTTTTTGATGATCTTGCATTAATTTCGCATTATTCCAATACTTCTAATAATTTAAATAATCTAAATTAATTTATAATATAAAATACCCTCGATATATAAGAAATTGATTCCATTCATTTTCTTGAGGATCTTCCAATCTTCTCTACAAATTTTGAAGCGCAACTGTAGATGGTTTAGTAACACATTCATCTACTAAATGTTAGATTTCTGATTTCTCCTATTCCTCTAGATGTGGAATCAAATCACCTAATTTATCCTTTTCTATATTATGTCGATGAACTAATCTCCATTTAATTTTTAAAGGTAATTATTCTATTATATGTTTGTCTGTTGGAAGTAAAATAATTTCGTCCAAAAATTTACGAAACTCTTCTAAAACAATAGTTTTTTTATTTGGCATCTTTGGAAATGTGAAATTACCTTGTAAATCTTCATATGTAATGGAGATAGTGCCAGATTTATTAATAATTTGATATTCGAAACTAGCATCTTTGGGAATATTATTTCCCATAATAATATATATAATATATTTATATTATCATTTAATTTGATACAATTCTCTAAGTTTTGGATCTTCAAGTTCTTTATTAATTTCATCTCTCATTTTAAATTTCTAAGGTTTTCCAGTAACAGTGTAAGGGAAATCATTTACAAATTTAACATATTTAGGAATTTTATAATGTGCAATCTTTTTATGACAGAACTAATAAACATCTAATCCAGAAAGTTCTTCTGCACCTTTTTTCATTTTAATTAATGCAACAACCTCTTCACCATATTTTTCATCAAAACAACCTACTACTTATACTTATTCAACTCCTATCATATGAGATAAATAATCTTCGATCTCTTTTGGATATATATTTTCACCACCTCTTATAATCATATCTTTAATTCTGCCAACAATTGCCACATAACCATTTTTATCCATAGTAGCTAAATCTCCACTATGTAGAAATCCATTTTCATCAATTGTATTCTTTGTAGCCTTTTCATCACCCCAATATCCTTTCATTACTGCATATCCTCTTGAACAATATTCTCCTGGAGTATCATAACCAACAATCTTTCCATTTCCATCAACTATTTTCACTTCCATATTCATTGGTTGTCCTACCTTACTTGTTTTTATTTCAAAAGAATCTGTTGTTTTTGTTTAAGATGTTACTGGACTTGTTTCTGTCTATCCATAACAATTTGAAATATCTCTCACTCCTAAAACATTTATAATTTATTTCATCAATGCTTCAGATGCCAAAGATCCAGCTATTAAACCAGTTCTTAAAGTTGATACATCATATTTAGATTAATGTCTTTCATATTCATTCAAATATTCAATAAACTAAATTAATAATATGATATTATACCATAGTGGGAACTCCATATACCGAAGTACATTTATAATTAGTAATAGCTTCTAAAGTAGCTCCGGCACTAAAACCATCACTTGGATATACCATTGTAGATCCATAATTGATACATGCCAAATTTCCCATTACCATACCAAAACAATGATACAATGGTACTGCTATAGCTATTCTATCATTTGATGTGTAATGAACTCTTTCTCCAACATATTTACCATTATTAAGTATATTTAAATGACTTAAACAAGCTCCTTTAGGTGCTCCAGTAGTTCCAGATGTAAATTAAATATTGGTAATATCATCTGGATCTTATTTAGACATTCGTTAATCAACTTCATTGACATGGGAATTACCATACATAGAGAAGAGCTCTTTAAAATTAAAAAAGCCCTTCTTATGAATATCATCAATCAATATTACACCTAATAATATTTTATATTGAATACTTCTTAATGTTGGAATCCTCTTTGAATTTAAATTCCCAGGTTAATCTAATTCAGGTGCTAGTTCTTTGATCATTGAAACATAATTGGAATGCTTGAATGTAGATCTTAAAATTAAAGCTTTACATCCAACTTTATTTAGAGTATACTCTAATTCATTAGTTTAATAAGCTGGATTAATATTCACTAAAATCAAATCAGCCATTGCAGCTGCAAATTAAGTTAATGCCCATTCTACATTATTTGGTGAAAATATTCCGATTCGATCTCCTTTCTCTAATCCTAAGGCTACAAAAGAAGCAGCCAACTCTTTTGATCTCTTGTAGAATTCACTATAACTCATTTGAATATCTTGCAATTAAGAAACCACCTCAAATCTTTAAATAGCTTAGTTACTGCTAAATTCTCAGGGTATTTTTCAGTGATATCATGTAATTACTATCCTACAGTTTTATAAGTTAACGGAATATTGGATGGACCATGAAAGTAACTCTTAGCGTATCTTATTCTTTTGAATAACATTATAATAATTAATAAATTGATATTTTTAATAAACAATGATGCAACATAGAATACAATAATAATACTCTAATAACTATTTCTCGAAATCTGATATATTTCATATGTATATTACTATAGATCCCATGTATATTTAACAAGATATGTGTGTGTCTTTAAAACCTAAGAATTTTCTTTTATTTGTTGAAATTTATAATAAACAATCTATTGGTTATCTTAATTTTCAATTCTAACAAATGTAAATAATGTGAAAGATGGTAAGAAACGGAATTTAATAATTATTTAATAAAGATTCATAAAAATCTAATAATAGATCATAAAAGCATTTTAATGTTATGCAATCCGAATAAGATAAAAAGAATACCTCCACAGAGATGGATCTAAATTTATAATATTTTAAAAATAATACGTATTTTTCTGGAATTTTTGATGAGATCATTTTACCTCCAAGTACTGCTGTACTTGTACAAATAAAGTGACCAAGTAATGCACCAACAAGTACTACAAATGTCTCTTCTGTAGCCAATGCAATAGTTGTAATTTAGCTTCTATCTCCCCATTCAGCTAAAAAGGTTAATACAATAGCAGCTCTTAGAACTTCTAAATTTGATATACTCTTTGAATCTGATTATTTAGTAAGTCTAGATTTCACCTTATTAACTTCTAAGACTGCTTCTTATTCTTCATCGTCATTTTCTTTATGATCTGAACTTAAGAATTCTCTCAACAATTTTTATCCGAAGTAAAAAAACATTATACAAGCCATAATATGTGTATATGTGGGATTCAAAATTTAAGGTAATATAAATCCAAAGAAACATGATAACAAAGTCATTAAAACCATTGCTGTATAAGAACCTAGAAACACTAAACTCATAGAATAAGTCATTCCTAAAATTGCTGTAATAAAGAATGTCTATTATATTTATATCATATACTTTATCACCTATTTCTGACACTATAATTGAGGAAAATGAGGAAGCAAATGGAGATAATTCAGAAAATAGCATTAATTAATTATTATGAGTATAAATTAAAGTTTTATTCGTTTTATCTCTTATTTTTTATGGATCTTGAAGAATAGTAAGGTCTTATTCCGAATATAACACCTGCCAAACCTATCAAATAAGTACGTAAAGTCAAATATACTAAATAAACCTACTTCAATTATTTGATTGCAATTTTAGCATTAATTATTCTTGGACTTATGTCATATATTGTAATAGATATAACTGGTTATGAAATCATGCATCTTTCATTTAAATCAACCACAAAATAACTTAATAATACCAATTATTTAACTGATTAAAAATAAGAGTAATTACAATCTGATAATACTATCGATAATACATCTTAATTAGATAATTTGTTATTAAGTGACTCTAATAATAACATACAAAATTAAGAAGCTAAAAATGAAGAAATTATTGATCAAAATATTTCAACTTAGGATGAAATCAATTATAATGAAGAACAATAAATTCAAAATTTAAATAGTTAAGATTAAACATTTTAAAGTGCCACATTAGATTTTGGAGATTCATAAGAAATTCAAGATTAAGTTTAAATACTTAATGAAGATTAATAACTTGAATCATATTCACTAATATAATAAGGATCTAGTATAATTATACCAAAAATTGATGATTAAAAATATAATTATATTGAATTGCCCAATAAAATGAAAATACTATTAATCTAAAATGACAATGAAAATGCAGAAATATATCTTAATGATTTTTAAGGATATTGGTAAACTTAATATTTTGTAAAATGTGATATATGTAAAATTACAATTAAAGAATAACAAACCTAATATTTCATTTCAACTAAATCTGATGATATATTAACATCCTTTATAGAATTGAGCAAAGTATTTTCATCAGAAACTCCTTAATTAAAATAAATAAATTATTAAAAAACATCTTGGGAAGAATTACTTTCATAAATATCTAATTCAAATCATCCACTTTCATCTAAATATTCAAAGACATCCTCAACATTTCAATTGTCTCCAAATCAAATTGTTTTAATAATCAAAGGCAAATTTAATTCAGATGAATTAATGGATGGTATTATACAAAGCGATATTGTTTTATTAAGAGATAAAGATATATAAGAAAAATAAAATATTTAAATCTTTGATAATCCTGGAAGTATCATTAAATGGAATAATTAAAAAGACTTAAATTCTATTAAAATAATCTATGAATTTGAAGATAGCAAAGAATTAAACTTTATTGATTATTTTATACAGACATCCCTTTAAAATTATATAATTAACAATAAATTAGGCCTAGATGTTTAATCTAAAGTCCTATTAGATTAAAATAACAGACAGTTATATTAAATTTAAATAGCTTTGCCTTTTTAAGATTAAATGGATTATGATTAAAGAGAGTTAGCATTTCGATTAAGTAAAATTATCACTAATTTTGCAAATACTTTGTAAAAACAACTTCTTAGTTAAGATAATTAATTATCTGAATATTGTAAATAAATGATTGATTAATTGTAATAAATTAATAATTTGAAATTTGATTATGATAATAGAGAATCTAATTATTTAGAAATTGCTTAAAATCTTAAATCAGATTATATTGAAGAAGTACTTCATTATAAATTTTTAGTCTAAATTATGCCTGAGTCTTTAAAGAAAACATTAGATAATTTATAATCTACAAAAAATTTAATCATTATTGTAAGTGATTCTTAATATCATACTGAAAATAGTTATCTCTAAATTTCTAAGGGTTCTGCTACATAAGATTTACTCTTCTTAACTTAAGATGAATTAGATATTAATTAAAATGGAATTTCTTATTCATTAAAAGAAATGACTGATTAAACTAAGTAATTTATTGAAAAAACTGAACAAGATTTCCTATTTGTTTTCCCTTAAATTAATTCATATATACCTTAAGATTTAAATTTAGTTGAATAAATTTAACCATTCAAAATTAATGATTAAGTTGAAGTTGTTGTTGATGTTTCTAAAAATTTACCAAAAATTAATGCAGAAATAACTATTTTCACATATGGATAATTTATATATGCATAATATTTATATGAAAGAATTATTATGGAATATTAAGATGCTATCAATGTAGGATATGGAATTGATGTCAATTAAAATCAATATTTTTAAATCTAATTACATGGTTGGTCAGATCATTATACAAAAATATTCAAAGGAATTATGGAAATAATTAAAGAGAAACCAAATGAAGAATTAAAAAGTTAATTACAATATAAATTTGATATGCTCCCAGAACATCTAAAACTAATAAATTTCAAAATTGAATCAATCCTTATTGCTAATTATAAAAAACCATAATTTGGAGCTCTAGGATAAAATTATAAAATGAAACTTACAGGGAACATTGAAAAAGAATAAGCCAATTAATTATATTAATTACTTGATAAAGCTTTGAATTTTAAATCTAAATAGAAGTTTGATTCAATATAAATTTATAGTGTTAGGAATAAAGAAATTATTTATCAAATAAAAGCTAAAGATAAATGGCATTTATTGATAAACTATTATTAATTTTCTTAATTAACTGAAAATCAACAAAAATTATTTAATAAAATATAAGAAAATATTTAACAAAAAGCCTAAGAATCACATATTATTTTTGAGAAAAAAACTATTGGTTGCACATAAGGTTTTTTCTTGATTGTGCAATCTTCTAAAGAATTAGAAGAATAAAAGGAGAAACTTGATAAATTAATTATCTCATCACTTAATGAATTAAATAAAGCTGATAATTAAAGCAAATAGAACAAAAAGTCAAAATATTCATAATTTTGGAAGAAAGAATCAGGAAAAATCACTTTCTTTATTGATGATTTAAATAGAAGTTCTAATTTTTAGAGTTTAGAATAAATTCAATGTAAATGAAAAGGAAAGCATCTTCTATATTTATTTTGTTCAAAATATTCAAATTAAAAAAAATAATTCAAATACCTAATATATTTTTATATGAATAAAGTTTATATATTTCTTACTGTCTTAATTTTTAAATAGCCTTAAAAGTGTGTATTATTCGAAGTAATACAAACATATAATCTGGATTTGTAAATTTTTTTAATATAAATTAACAATATTTTTGTTAAAATAATTTCTATGATAATCTTTGATGAATAAATCTTATAAATTTTCTTTTATTTAACCTAAATCTTTTTTTGCCTATATTAATTTTTTTGTGATTATCTACTCGATACAAATCAATTAATATATAATCCGATAAATTATTGTAAATAAATATTCATATTGTTTTTGAAAATATTATGAATTATAATTTCGAGTACATTTTTCTCTTAATTTTACTACATAGTTAATTAGAGAATAATAATAAATAAGATGATTTTGAAAGTAATTGATTAAAATCTTTGAAAAATTCTAAAATTATCAAATAAACTAATTTGAATTATAAAAATCTTAACTTTGAACTATACAATTTAAGGAATATGTTCAATCATGTTCATTAATACGATAAAATAAAAATAGATTTTGATTTTATTGTATATTCAATAAAATTGTCTCTTGTTACAAATCGAAAAAAATGGAGAAATGTTTTAAAAGGGGCAAATATAAACATGCAGAGAAAAATTATAATAAATAATATTAAAATCTAATTAGTCTCTGAATTCTCTAATTTTTATGTTCATATCTATTCAGAGCACATCCTAAAACTTCTTCTTGAAAATAATTCTGAATCCATTGTTAAAGAAATTCTTCTTTAAGATTTTGGAGGAGTTATAGCTGTGTCTAATGAATATAATGAGTTTCTTTAATTAGAATGCTTTTCGACTAAGATCAATTAATTTATCCCTAATTAATCTAAATAGGACACAATTGATTATTCAACATCATTTGTTATTGGAAGCCATCCTTATATAAATTGTTCACTTTTTGATGAAGTTTCATTTGATTTCTAGAATTAAGGTGATTGCATTAAATATATTTTTATATATTTTTTTATTTTACATGATTTCGATAATATTTATAAATAGCTAAATACAATGATTTCTCGAATAACTTCATAATATATATATTTATATAATAATTCAATCAAAAAAATTGAAAAATTTATCATTACAATTATTACTAAATCCTATTTATATAGTAATCAATATGAGGCTTTGTAGGTAATTTTTGATATTATTCATATAAAACTAAGGCTTATTAATAAGAATTTTAATAATTAAGTTTTTGAATAGCTTAATATATTTTAGAAATTTATAATCTGTCTTAATCTGTTAATTTTGATCTTGAAACTTTAACAGCCTTATTTATGTAATCATATAATTCAATTAAAGCATATTCATTAACTTTGATTTATTCAATTTTTTATTCAATTTTAAATATTACTGTCTTAATTGTAGCAATATCATTTGCATTGATGATTTCATTTAAATTGTCAATAGTTTTTTATAAGATTTACTTGGTTTCTGGTAATTTTAATACACTATATTATTAATTAATAAAATACGTTAATTGATAACTTAAAGCATCTTTCAAGGTATTTAATTTATTATTCAATTTTTCAATATTATTATCTTTAATCTAATAAAATGAATCATCAGATTAAAAGTTATGAATGACAGATAATTCTAAGTTTTTCGATTTTTTGAATTAATAAAGAAAATCTTCTACTAATGCACACATTTATTATAACTCTGGTTCATGTTTTGATTTTCCAATTTAAGAATACATAGAATATTCAAGGGCTATTTATGAGACTTCTTCTTATATTTTCTTATCGTTTTAGCTAATACTTTCTCTATTATTTTGTATGAGATTTAAAACTTTGTCTTTGAGATTTGTAATGCCAATAAAAACAGATGGATCATCACTAATAATTGAAAAATCACTGAGAACCTCAAAAATATAAATTAATCTATTGTACATTAGATAAGTTCTATTCATTTAATACTAATTTTTCATCTTTCTCATTTTCTGTTTTTCTTTATATTTTATATGATTAACCAAATGTAATTCTTTCTTTATCATCTTATTTCTTTTCTGATTATCGAAATGAATATTTATCAACAATATCTTAAATTGATGGTCTTGGTAAACTATCACTAGTTTAATTAACTTCTTGAAAATTTGGATTATTGAATAGCATTATTTTTAATTAATTAATTTATATTTTTAAAAAAAATTAAATCAGATAGATTATGAGGTAAAACATTTCACAATAGATTTAGTTATACATTATTAAATGGGGAAAAGGTCAAGGAGAGAATTTTATAAAAATTAAACTATAAAGGAGATGAGGATCGAAAAAAATAATTAGATTTATATTTAGATGAATTAAATAAATTAGGATTTTACATAGAATTATTACCTTAAATTGAACCAAAGTTTTTTGTTGAAAAACAAGGTTTCTCTATAAAAGAAGCACTAATATTAACAAGAGGTGAAAAATAAGTTAGACCAACTGATGAAGAAATAAATTAATTAAAATATGATGAAGAAACAAACATTTTAAAATTGGAATTTTAAAATATACCTTTTGAGAATTAGAATAAAAAATAATATATTTTAATTCTTGGTCCACCTAATAGAGGTAAAACTACTTTCATTTTTAATATTATAAATAATATATTTAATGTTTAATATAATAGTATGTATAGAGTTAAAAAGAAAGCATAAGAATAAAAAGAATATTTTGATGAATATCATATATAAATATCAGGCAAAAATTATGTCTTTGTAGATTTTAGAGGAATTGGAGATTTAAAACTTGATTTTTTAGGTTTAGATTAAACTGGGCATACTAATTTATATGTTTAAATTTTAGTTTATATCAAGGATAAACTAAAAGAGAATTCTACAATAGCTGCAATATTTTATATAAATTCTTCATCTATTAATAGATTATCGGAAGATGAATCTTATTGTTTACAACGTTTTTTTGAAATGATTCCTAAAACTATAATCTAGAATAATAAATTCTTTTTAATTCTAACTTATTGTACTGATAATTAACCTAAAATGACTATTTATGAAAAATCAAGTTCAACACCATAAGACTTAAAAAATTTAATAAGTACTAAAAATTTAGCATAAGAATTAAAATTTTGGTATGGTATAAATAATAAACCTTTATATGAACCCATAATTTTATAAGAAGAACAATAAGATTTACAATAACAATAAAAAGAGAATCAAAATGATTCCTTAAGTAAAGAACTTTAGGAGTTAATTAAGAATATTGAAATAAATGATAATGGTTGTTTAAATCCTTAAGGAGATGCAAATGATGGACATGAATTAGTTGAAAATTAAGATGATTAATAGAATTAAATTGCTGAAAATAAATAATAAGTAGAATTAGGCGAAGGATAATTATAAAAGTTTTAGTATAATTTAATGACAAATGTAATAAAAGAAATAATTCAAAAAGTTGATAAATTATCACATTAAAATGATAATTAGAAAATTTTAAAATTTTTTGAGAATTAATTGAAGTATGAAAATGATATACTCGATTTGTTAAAAATATACTAATCAAAAAAAAGTCCAGAACAAATATAAAAAGAAGAAATGAAATAATTTACAACTACTTATTTAGTTTATGAATTTAAATAGTTATAAGAAAAAGAAATAATTATAACTAAAAAAGGATCTAAAGTTCTTATGTGTAATGTTTGTCATTTGAAATGTCATCTTAATTGTTACATGAGAAGTGCTGAAGATAGAGTAAGAATTTGTAGAAAATTTAATGAAAATTTAGAATGCACAAAATGTTAAAAAAATTAAAAAGAAGGTAATAAAGTTAAGAAATGTGGACCTTCTGATCATATTCTTCTAGGACTAGGCTAAGAAATTTTTAAAAAAACATAAATAACATTAATTAATTATGTTAATTATTCAAACATTAAAAATTATTTACCTTTGAATAAAAAATCTAAGGCATTAAATCGACTTAAATAAACAGCAGCTATAAAAGCATAGCTTAGTTATTAAGATTAAATTTAAAAAATTAAAGTTAATATTTCAAGTTCTATTTAATCTAATGAAAGTGAAGAAAATTGCATCAATATAGATTTAAATAAAAGAGCAAAATATTTGGATGCCATGATGATTTAATTAGAAAATAATAACTAAAATGGTGATGGTTTTTACTAAAAATTACAAGAATAAATTGAAATTTATAAAAATTTTGAAAAATAAAAAAATAATCATAATAATAACGGTTTAAATGTTTTAGAAACTTAATTGATTAATTTATAATCTTAACCTTTGAATTAATAATAACCATAATAATAATCACCTAAATAACAATAACCATAATAATAATCACCATAATAATAATAACCATAAAAGTAAAATAATGTAAATATTCCTAGTTTATCACTTGGGAATTCAAGTATAAGTTAACAATAAAATTCATACATGTCTTTTAGACAATAATAAAGTTTTTTATAAAATAATGAATTTAATAACAATAGATAATAATAAAATGACGAACCTTAATAATAATAACTATAAAATTCTGCAATGTTTAACATCTTAAATGATTAATAACCTTTAATAACATAAAATTGAAGATTATCCCTAGTTGATTTCTATATTTTATATCATAAATATAAAAAATATAATAAAAATAATTTTTAAAGGTAATCATCAACTAACCTAAAAAATATTTATGTTAAATTGTAAATTATAAATTATTTTATTATTTTTTATTATTATTTTTATTAGACTACATAACAAAAAAATAATAATATTTTATCTTCTATTATTAATTTTTTCAAATTTATGTTAAAATTGAATTCCTTTATATATATAAATAGTTATTTATCTATAAGCAATTTTTCTACAGTGACTAAATCTACTTATATTGATAAATGGCCTTTTGATTATACTTATTCTAAAATGTTTGTTAAATTAATTCATTTTAATTAATAATTGATTTAATCTAAAGTAAAATCATAAATAAAAACGATAAAAATAAGATATAAACAAGAATTATAAAAAATATTCTATTTGAGAAATACTATAGAACTAATTAAAAAGATGAAATCAAATAATCTACCGTTGTTTATTTAGTATATGGATTTAAAGGCTAATAGGAAATTATAAATGTAAGTCTATTGATTATATTTTAATATAAAAAGTTTAAGTTATTCAAAAAAATGCATTAGAAGCATTATTAATTAATATAATTAAATTCATAATAAACTTAAAATAAGTTCTGGTATAAAGAGAAGATTTTAAATTAAAAGTTTTAAAGTATTAATAATAATTATTAGTATTTTTAGATACCAATTAATCATCTAAAAGATTTATGCCTTGATAAATTTTATAATTTTTTTAAACAAAAATAATATTTAGATGATTTTAAAGTATATAATTGTAATTTATAAATATTTTAAAAATTCAAAGCTAATCCCTAATGAATTCGGAATATAATGTATAATTGTAATTGTTATAGGAAACAATGAAAGATAATATTAATCTATTAACATAATGCAAGAAATCTGAAATATTGGAATTCAATCATTATTATGTAGGTTTTCAATATTTATTTTGTTTGGTGCATAAACTCAAAATTTTTATAATTGATAAGAGCTATATATAAGAGAAATTGAGTTTGTTGTAGAATCATTATATAAATATTCACTATCGAAGTTAGTAAATAAAAACATTATTTGATGAATATTATTATTCAGAAAATAAAGTACTAGCAATTTATGAAGAAATGAAATAAAAAATAATTGAAAAATATTCAGAATCAAACACTCCCCTATTAGACATTTCAAATGAAATTAAAAGCCTTAAAGGTGAATTTCAATTTAATTTATCAAAAATAAATATAAAAGATCAGAATAAATTATATTTTAGTCATAAAGAAGAGGATTTAGCAAATAATGTATTATTTGAGAAGGCTATGCAAAATTGTTATTCAAACTATGAAAATAGATTAGATTCATTTGTAGCTATTTAATCATAAAAGCTTATTTTAAAAACAAATTTACATGAAATAGCATTAATATAATATTGGTTATTGAAGACTTCAATTTATTAATAAAAAGAAAAGGAAGATAAAAATGAAACAGAATTAGTTATTGAAAAATAGAAGAGTATGTTTTATTTTATAATAATGAATTAAGAAAAATATAAAATAGAAGTAAATTAACAATAATTAGAGCTATTTATTTGTTTGTTGAATAATAATTTATTTGAGGAATTTATAGAATAAAAAATGAATATTTTGAATTATTTTGAACCATTAAATTTAGAACATTAACCATTATTGAGTTCAACAATGAAAGTTCAATACTATTAATTCAAGGATTGCACTTTTAGAATAGTTTAAAAATTGAATGATGATTTCAATTAATTGATATATTCATTAGAAATTTTAGGAATAGAGAATAAATTTTATTCAGTGATTGATACAGAAAATATTTAATTATTAGAATTGAGATTAAAAGGATTTCCTCAATAAGATTTATCAACTATCTTTAAAGATCCTGATCTTATTTATAAATATTTTATGAAAAAGATTTATCACAATTTAAACCCAGAGAGTGATCCTTAAATAATAAGTAATAAAATTAAAATTGGTTCAATAATTTTATCAGATAGATCGATTTATTAACATGCAGCTCTATATTTGGGTTGTGATTTAGTTTTTCATTACACAAATGAACAATTTGATAATATTAATTAAACAAGAAATGGTCATTTTTTTAAACCTGAAAGATTTGCTATTTTTATGAAAGGAACATCAATATTAACAGAATTATAACTAGTTTTTTTATTAAGAGATAAGTAAGAATTGTTAGAAAAAGCTTTAAAGAAATAAAATGAAAAAATAGAATTTGATTTAACAAAATATAATTGTGAACATATGGTATTTGAAATTTTAACAAATTTCAAGTATTCATCTCAAATAGATTAAAGTTTTTTTAAGAATATTGGAGCTAATGTAGCAAAATACTTTGGTTTTTTAGGTTCATCTTAGACATTTCAATCTAATTGAAATTGATATTTATAATAATATAAAGATTATTAATTAAGATATATTTAATGATTGGTATTAATATAATGTTGAATATATTATATTACTAATAATAAAATGTAAGATGGTAGAGAATAGAATGCATTAAAATAAGAAAAGATAGTTTTATTGGTAATATTATATATTAATTACTTAAAATATAACTTATAAATGGACACATTAAAGAATTTAGCAAATAATCTTACAAATAGAGAATAGAATAATACTACAAGTGGTAAAGTAGTTCCATTGGAAGAGAAAGATAAAGAACCATTATCAGGAAAAGGAGCTTTATTTAAGTAATATAAATTTAGGATTATGAAGTATGGCTGATGAATTACAGATGGCAGCAAGTAAAGGAATTTAAAAACTAAAATAATCTGTAGATAATGCAAAAGCAGATGTAAAATAAGGTTTTAGTTAATTGGATGATAAGTAATAGATAGATTGAATATAATGTAGATTAAAGTTGATGTTGAAGTAATATACTCATTAAATAAATTTATGGGCAAGATCAAAGGTGTTATCATCAGTAATAATAGTGATTGAGAAATTTAGACCATCAGTTAAAGAAAGTCTTAAAGATCCTGATATGTGTTAATGTGTTAAAAATTTAGTATCTAGAAATATATATTGATTAATAGATTGATGATACTGTAGATGCAACATGGCCAGAAATAGTAGATGAAGTTAAATATCAATTAATGTTGAAAATGGCAGATCCTTATACAGAAATAGAAGAAAAGTAATAAACTATTGCTTGTTTATATCCTTTTATTTGGATAAGGAATTGGTATCTCTATTCAAATTATCCATATGACAGGAGTGTTTGGAAATAATATAAAACAATGTATTTATAATACTTAATTAAATTATATTAGTTCTTATTGGTTTTGGTATTTAGTATCAGCTATCCCATTTTATGGTATTTCATAATATTTTTATGTTTTGGATTTTATAATGATTGATAAAGGAGATGAATATTAATTAGTAAAATTCATTTTAAGTTTTAAAACGTAAATTATAATAATAATATAATAGAATGTTCTTTATAACTTAAGGTGTGATGAAAGCCTTGATTGGTTATTTTATGCTTTATGCTTGTACAACAATGAATTATATTGATAATACTTATTAAGAAGATTGTACTAGAAAAGGTCCAGGAGCAAGCATAGAAGTTTTTTCAGAAGTTATAGGATAAGCTGCATAAGTAGTTTTAATTTGGTTAGCCTTTTTTTTATTGGCATGTTCTAAATAAAAAGGAAAACCTGTATTTTAATATGATGATACTCCATAAATTTAAGAAGGATGTTTTGAAAGAGGTGGACGATTAAAATATTTTATGATTTGGGATATTTTTGCATTAGGAGCTAGTATTGGATTATTTTGGTTAGTTTATTTAACTTAAAACACTAAACCTAATTTTGATAATTCAGGAGATTTTGTAATTTTTTATGAATTTATTAAAATAGATTTATTTTACTGAAATTTGTTATGGTTTACTCAGTTTTCCATTTTTAATATTTAATATTCCATTTGTTAATGGAAGATTAACCAAAGCTAAAGAAACTGCATATGATAGAAAAGGAAATTGTTTACCTGCTATTGATGGATTAAGAAAATAAATAAAAACTAATCAAGAAGAAGAAACCAATCTTTTATTAAATACACTTACAATTGATGTTGGAGAAGTTTTTGATGGGTGATTTATAATATTATTATTATTTTATCATAGAATTTTATTAATTATTATTAATATATTTTAATTAATTAAATAACCTAATAAAAAGGTTAAATTGCAGAATTAAAATAAAAATAATATTATTCTTATAACTGCAACATTTGTTTTAGTGGATAAAATTTATGTTTTAAATCATAATAATACAGTATATATTATAAATAATAAAGCATATTCTTATTAAAATGATATTAAATTAAATTATTTCCAAGAATTCACTATTTGCGAAATAATTATTAATATATGTATAATATGAATAGTAATGGAAAATCAATTTATTAAAAATACTTAATTTAATCTATAAAAATATGGGCAATCCTAAAAATCAGAATATTTTAAATGATTTTATCAACCAAAATTTTAATAATAATATACAAAATGTTAAATCTTCATTATTTAAAATATTTGATAATACCTGAAACAAAAAATCATTAAAAATTGCAAGAAGTATATGCATAAAAGATATTCCTGGTAATCTTAGAAAATCAAAAAGATAGGAAAAAGAAATAATTATGAAATAACCTAAAATAAGTAGATATTATAATAAATGAATTTATGGGATAAAACATAGAAATTGATAAAAATATTCATAAAGAAAATTTTCATTTAATGAGTACCTTCACAGCTAAGAGATCTTAAATGATTATCTAGAACATTTTATTATTAAAAAAAAATAACCAAATAATAAGATAATCTTTATACAAGATGATTTAGGCATATTTTTCAAAAGTCGAATTGGATGATACTAAGGGTTATGAGGATATAAAATAAGCAATTCGAAAATTAGTTGAATGGCCGTTAAAATATCCTGAATAATTTAAAAAAATTAGGAATTAAAGGAATTTTGATTTATGGTCCTTCTTGAATGTTCATAATTATATTACTTATGTATCTAGTGTATTTAGCTTTTATAGTAATTAAATAGTCTTGATATATTTATTAAATATCATTAAAATATGTCATAATTATTGCTATTACAAATATATCAGATTCTAGTGATAAAGTATTTTTAGACTTTGTAAGATTGATCATATAGTCTTTGCTAATGTATCCTAAATAAAGAAAATAATTATTAATGATTCTAATGCAGAAATTTATTAAATCTATAGAGAAAGTTGATATTTTTTTTTTTGAAGGATTTAATGTTCAATATAGAAATATTGAAAATGAATTTATTGAACTTAAGAAAAAAAATGGAATCATAGAAACCATATATAATTCATGGAAATCATATGCAATTCTTATAATTGGCTAAACTTTTTTAATGATTCAGAAAAATTTCTATATATATTGTAAAATAACAATATTAAATTTTCATTCTTATTTATTAATAACAGATTAATTAATAAAATTTATATTATTGATTAATTATAAAATCATACGATTAAAATGGCGATTTTAAAAAATAATAAAAAGTCAAATATTTTTACTATTTGGCTCTTAGTATTTATGAAATCTCAGTATACTTATACAATATGATTAGAAAATTAATAAAACAGTTAAAATTCATAGTCTTAAAAATTTGAATGAGGAATATAATATACTAGAATAATCTTTAATCTCCTGAATAATGGATACTTAAAAAAGAATATATATATGTGAGACTATCTAAAGTATTGTTTGATAATTAAAGATTTATAGATTCATAAGAATAAAATAATCATGAATATTTATGTATTCCTAGTATGCCTTTAACAGTGATTTTATTCTTTTCTATAGTTTATAAGCCAATTCTCTATTATCCTGGTTTAGAAATTCCAATAACAAATTTATGCTTGGCTATTTTATGACTACAGAATTCTTATTCTGGAAGGAAGTGATTTATGTCTTCTAGGTCTGTATCTTAAAGATCATAATCTTTAGTTGGAAGAGATTTAAGGGATTCTGATTCTTTATCTGTGTAATTCATTGAAATGATTTAAAATGTCTAAAATTTAAAAATAAAATAAAATTGTGTAAAGATAATATTGATATAAAAAGAGAAGATATAATTTCTAAAAATAGTATTGAAGTAATTTTAACTTAAATCATAATTTCATTTTTCTATAAGATTAATCTGGAGTTAGAATAGCACTTTCAAGAGGTTAATCCATATCTGAGTCTTTTTCCCATCTGTAAGTAGGAATATTTTCAGATTAAATTAGTTCAGAACCATTAGTATTATAATGTTTTTTAATTTCTTATTTAGGATTATCATCAGATACAATTTGTTATTCTCTTTCTTCATCTAGAAATTCATTACAATCTTAATCTAAACTAAAAGAATATGATTCAAAATATACTAGTTATTATTATTAGTAGCTTTTTGATCATCTGAGGAATCTTGTTGATCTATATCTTGATCAGTAAAATTTTATTATTTAATACAGACTTTTTGAATAAGTTTTTTAGAATAAGCTTCCCAAGCTTTATAAAGAATAAGAACTGTCAAATAATCATGTAAAATGTTAAAATTAGCTTTAAGATGTAATATAGGTGATATATTGCTTCTTTATAAGTAGTGATTTCTTCTATAATACATTAATCTTAATTGCATTTCTTTATTGAATTATTTAATTTTCTTAATAGAAGACAAGGGACCAATTTTAAAGACTTCTTCACGATAACAAACACGAAATAATTCATACATTAATTAATTATATTGAATGTATCCATAATGATCACTAATAATATTAAATATAAAATTATATACCATTATATTTAAAATGAAGATGCTAATTTTCCAACATCCCAAAGATTTTCATCAATTCCACCTCCTAAAGGTTTTCCAATATCTAAAAGAAAACGACAAAGAAATTTATAATGCATAGCTTATCCTTAAGTTTCTGATGAGTATTTACACCAAATTGTTTTAATTTTATCAACATTTTCAACATAGGTTTGAATCATAGAATTTTATAACATAAAGAATTGTTCAAATTATTCTACTAAACCTAAAACAAACAAGTTTAGGAGTACATAATTAGAGAGTAACATAAATAAGAAAAAATAGATTTGATTATATATACTCCCACAATATTATTCATCTTCTGAACAATAAGGATTATAAAATATAGTATCTGTCATAATTGTTCTCCAATCATCACCTGATGCACATTTAAATAGTGCTAACATGGCTTAGGCTATATTTTGAAAGTTTATTTAATCATCCATTACTTAACCTTTTTCTAAATGTCCATACATTTAACAACCAAATAATGCAAAAATAAACATTGTTATTATAAGAATACAAAATATTTTACCTAAGAAAGGCATTGCAAATACCATTACTCTCATTAATCTTTAGAGATTAATTAATCCCTAAAATATCAAGATTATTCTTAAACATCTAAGTGCAAAAAATAATCTTAAAAATTAATATCCTTTCTCTGCTGGAGATGATTTAAAATAAAGTAATGCCCATTCTGATTAATAATCAGCAATTATATCAATAATTGCTATTATTATCAAAAAGAAATAGAATCTTCTCCAATTATTATCAAAGTAACGATTCACTCCTAAAGCTAAAAAGTTAAATAAATTCCACACAATATACAAATACATTAAAGTATTATGAATATTATTTAAACTCTTAAAAAAGGTTTCATCCATCTCAAAGTAAAATAATAATTAAACCACAAGATCTAATAATAGAAAACAAAACATTATTTTTTGAATTGTAGAATTATTTATTAAATTAGAAGCAAACTTTCTTATTGCTGACGTAGGAGGTGATGAATAAATTGGAAAATCTTTAATAATTATTTATGATATTTCCATGAATTCAACCTATGCTTTAGTTACATCTGATCTTTCTATTTTACTTTAATTTGCTTTCAAGTTTGAAAATAAAACACCTGTAAATAAACTTAAAAAAAACATAGATCCAATAAAACAAAAAACTAAAAAAAAGAAATATGTCTATATATAACTATTAAATGCAATTGGTCCGAATTCTGAACTTTAACTATTTTCTGCAATTTATAAAATCTCACCCCATCCATCAAAAGTTGAAACTACGAATAAAGTTGGAATAGCAATTGTTATATTATCAAAATTATGTTTATAATTAACCCAAGTTAAATTTTGTTCTTAACATTCTTTCTTATTCACATTGAATTATACTTTATCTTCACAATATCCAAATTACTGTTCATATAAAATTATACCATATACTCCAAATATTATCCATACTGAAAACATTGTTATTAAAACATTCCAAATATCTGCCAAAGATCTACCTAATGCTAATCTTAATTTATCTAACCAAGATAATCTATACATCAGTTTCATCACTCTAAAATAACCAAAATACATTAAAAACTTTAATATTGGTTTCTCTTCATCATTTTATAAATAATAAAAGAAAAATGATATAATGTAAATTACATCAATTATTTACCAAATATATGTTATATATGATCCTTTATTTATCCACATTCCTTTTGCTATACTACCTATTACTATCTCAATTAAAAAAACCATATTTGCCATAAATTGCAATTTTTCTGGATAGTTTTCCGAATCTTTTTCGTAATCATTATATGTTTTCAATGCAAAAATTATTATTGAAAAATACAGAGTTAAATCCATAAAATAATTAAAATATTTTGATGTCACCACTTTACAACAAAGTATTCTTACATAATTTTCTTTCGAGAATATATATAAGGATTACTTACATTATATACCTTCATATAATTATGGATTTTTATTTAAAATTTCTTTGTGTACTTATTCTATTTATATAATAAATATATCAATACTTATTGATTTCATCAAATTTGTGATTGGTGTTTATTTGGTTTTCTTTATTGGATTATCACTCAAATGAGCTTATGAAATTAATGGTTTTAAATTTAATTAGAATTCTTAAATTTCCTGTTCTTCTGTTATTTATGAATTTTCATCTTCTTATTATTCATTATTTTTATCATCATCTTTTTCAATAGAATTGTCTTATTCCATCATTTCCTTATCTATTGCTCCAAATCCATCTAATAAAATTGCTAATACTAATCCATATGTTATATAATTCAATACTATCACCATAGAATATGAATAAATTACAGCAAAAACATAATTTATATTTCCACCCATTACATATACACCATACCAGTCATCATTAGTCATTATATTAAATATAGTCATAAATGCTTTTAATATATTTTCATATGAATGTAATTATCCAAGAGCATCTGTTTAATCAAAAAAACCTGCATACATTTCCATTCCAATCATAGCATAGATAAATATCACTAAAAACATTAAAAACGTCAAATATATGTATTATTTAAATGTTCTTTATGCTATATGACCTATTGCTACTGCCATTTTATTATATTTCAAAACTCTATAAAATAATAAACATTTTGTTCCTCTTATCAAACGTAAATTTTATTCATTTAAACTTGTCATCAATGAACTCCTCATTGTAAGTTCAATAAAATTCAAAATCACTATACATGATTATAACACATAATCAAGACTATTTGTAATATCTTTCCAAGAAAATGCAAAAAATCTCAGAATTAATTCAGAACATAAAAATATTGTTGAAATATCCTCTACTTTTGATATTGTTATTGAATTAGCAATTCCTTACAAAGAGAGAAAAGTAAAATTTATCAATATTACACAATCAAAAAATAATTGACATATTTATGATGTAACAAGTAAATATGAATATTTCTTTATTGTATCAATCTTTCCATATAAACCCAACTTCCAAATCTAAATATCAATTAAATTTAATCTTTTTAATACATCTCTAAAATTAAATAATCTTTTTTCATTCAACTTTAATACATCATTTCCTGACCATGTTTTCTTTTATATTAAACTTTGTTGTATATCTTTCCTTCTTAATAATCTATATTAAAATTCATTGGATGTCTAATTAATTTTATTCTTTTATATTTTAGTATTTATCTTTAATGAAACCCCTTCATAATTTAAATAATATCCTTATATGTAAACATAATATTGATCTTGTTTTTTTATTAAAAATGGAACATGTTGATCTATTTCATAAGCTTTTAATTTATAAGACTTTTTCATACTCAATTTTTGATTAAGGATTTTTTATTCTATTGAATTGTTTGTTTCATTTTAATTATTTTCTGTAAAATTGAAAATTATTCTTTTCACTTTTCGAATAGGAAATTTACAAATTTATTTTTTATCCAGGAACACTTGCTAAATTTTTTTTTATTTTATATCTGGATATACGATAGGAATTTTTAGGTATCTCATATTGATAATTTCTTTCTCTAATTCTTTTTTCTCACAATCAGGTAAACTAATAATGAGCGAATCTCATACTTCAAAGTAGGTAGAACATCTGCTTCACTTTTAAATTCTTATTGAATCTATTAATTAACACAAGATTGCAATTATGAAAATTAATATGATTTAAGCGAATCTAAAATCTATATTTCAATTTCATCTTCAGTATATTTTTTGATATTAATTCTTTTTTATTTTTATGACAAAATTAAAAATTTTGGTAATAAAAGATTCTTAATAGTAAAATTTTAGATAGAAATCCATATTCTTCTAATCCAATTAATCTACTAATAATAATTAACAATAATCTTTTACATCTTCAATTTATTCCTCATTCTTTTTTTATTTTGCAGATAAAATTCTTGTTTTATTATTTGACACTTTTTCATGATTAATTTCTTCTAATCTAATATTACGATAATTAGTCCTTAAAGATTATCTATATCTTTAAATAACTTAAAAGAAATCTCTATAACGTAAAAATGCAACATCAAAAACATTTATAATATCTCTTTCAGGTATTTCTCTATTTTCTTTAATTTTTTATTCAATTTTTTTTCGTTCCTCTTCTTAAGCATTTTCTTCTGTAGCCTCTGCATAATGAATTTTAATAACAGCAATAACTAAATTAAATCCAAAAAATCCACAAACAAATATAATTAATAAATAATAAAGCCAAATCCAAGGATGGTATATTCTCATTGTATAAAACATAACCCAACTCCAATCATCCATTGTTATAGTTCTTAAAACTTAACCATAAGAATATATAACATTATTAAACGAAGTTGGAAGCTTAGGAGTATATTATGAATATAAACATGACATGCCTTCTTCAAAACATAAATTTTAATTACATTAAATCCATCCATCTGTTTCATCTCCATTATTATACTAACATCTATAATTAAATAAACCTTAAAATAAAAAAACTCCACAAATTGCAAAAAATACTGAAAATAGTCCTACTATCATTAAAGCTTCCAGTAAAAATTTAAATGATTATTTTAATGCTTTTAACATAACTCCTAATCCAGCAAATATATCTCCCAAATAAAATAACAATGTAATTACTCTTAATGGAGATACATCTACTACAAATGTTTCTGGATATGTTAAATTTAAAACATATATAATTACTAATATGCAATCCATTATATCTTAAAAGTTTTTAAAGAATGCTCCTTTTGGTATTATCATTCCTGATGCTATTATTCGTAAACATAATTCTATTAAAAAACATATCATTATCGCTCTTTCCATATTAATAGTTGACTATTGATCTTATTTTGTTTATGAATATATATATAGAGTAACATTTAATAAAATTAAAAACGACATGCAAATCTTAAAAAAAACACTTTGAACTATTTTCTTACATAATATAGGTATAAATAATGAATAATATACAATACGTTTTCTTAATTTTAAAAATTATTTATCATCATTATAAGCCTAATTATTTTTTATTAAATTACATTAAGTTCATATTTAAGTCTTTCAAATCCATGTAAATCAACTAATTTTACATAATATGGATCTTCAAATGGATTTCGTTCGTATAACTTCTCAAATTTCCTTTTTATTTTATATTCTTCTTATTCATTTTCTTAATAAACGTCATCTTCGCTTTCTGATAGATTTTATTAATTTTTTTTTGTATAGTTAATTTACAATTTTGATTAAAATACATTTTTTTGGCTTACACGTGATTTTTTTAAAGACTTTTATGATAATACTTCACTATTTTATGAAATAAGCTATTAATCTCCATCACATTGTTTTTAAATATTAATATCCTATTTTCTTCCCCATTTATGTTCAAAATCAATAAATTGTATTTTTAAAATTGATCTATCTTAACTATCTGACATATCTAAATGATTAATTAAATCTTATTCAAAGGACATATTAGGTATAATAAATTTGTCTTGCCCTTAATAAAAAGAAGACTATGCTTATTACAAAATTTCTAAATTATCTCTCAATATTATAGATTAATTTGATGATCTTTTTTCTGATTCTGAATCACTTGAAAAAGATGATGAGCTTTATGATAAACCCTTATTCATAGAAATATTCACTTTTTTTTTACTTTTTATAGATGAAACTGAATGTTTACTTCCCAACATTCGATTTTTACCATCGTCTTAAAAGAAGTTTGTTATACTCACTTTTCTATTTGCAATTTCTTTAGATATTGAGAAACGTTTTTTGGAAGTCCGAATAGTTTCAGGCATCTTTCTATCAATTATTTTCTGCATTTTCCTTTATTATATATTAATGATATTATTTCAATAATTTCAATGCTGTATATATTAATATATGAGCATTTAAATAATAATGAAATCTTTAATAAAGTAATTTCTTCTTACAATAGAATGCAAAACTTCTTGTTATATATTTTATGTTATAAATTGTTGAAATATTATTATATTTTTTTAGTAAAAATACTTCTCTCTTTGTTTCTGTTCCTAAAATCAAAGTTAGATTTAAGTTTAATTTCACCAATTTTAGTTGTTGTTTTATTTAAGTTATGATGAATATAAATTATAATTTTTTAATGAATATTTACATTATTCAATAATTTATCATTTATTATTGATTATCTCTTATAATTAAAGTAAAATTTGATAATTCTATTTTTAAAAGATTGAAATTCTATATGTCATAAAAAAAAGTAAGAATTTTGAAAATTTATAAAAATATAATTAATTGTAAATGAAATTCTGAAAATAAAAATGAAAACTTGATATTAATTAAATTTTATTTATTTTATGCTCCATAAATCAAGATCAAGATTACCCCCTCAATTATTGATTACTCCTAAATATGATGAAAATCTCGTAATTTGTAAAACCTAAGAAGATGTAACAAAGGAGCATAGAAGAAATACAAGTTACTAATAAAGACCTAAGCAGTAGAAATATAATTTTCAGTTGTGCCATCAGATTGGAAAAGGATAATTTAGTAAAGTTATGCTTGTCAAGTAATAATTAATATAATGAGCATTTAGAAATGCAGGTATTTTTTATGCTTTGAAAATGATTGACAAAAAATTGATTTAAAAGTACAATATTGGTTAATAAGTGTAAAGAGAGATTGATATCTAATCATCAATATAACATTAAAATATTGTTAAAGTATTTGGCAATTTTCAAGACAATGATTATATCTATTTAATAACTGAATATTGTGAGAAAGGAAATTTATACTAAAAATAATTCTCTAAGGAGGAAATTAAAAAAATAATAAAATAAATATTAATAGGAATATAATTTCTACATTCAATGGGTATAATGCATAGAGATGTGAAACCAGAAAACATCTATTTAACATAGAATGATATAATTAAAATAGGAGACTTTGGATTTTCTAATTATAGAGGTAGAAGAAAAACATTTTGTGGTACTCCTGAATATATGCCTCCAGAGATTGTACTTTCTTAAGGTAATAAAAATTACTACTATAATGGTTATGATGAAAGAGTAGATATATGGGCTATTGGAATTTTATTATTTGAATTATGTAATAATACAGTTCCTTTTCGTGATTCTGATAGAAATAAATAACAAGATAGAATTTGTAGGGAGGCTGTACAATTTAAAGATGATTAAGATCTTAATCTTAATGATTTTATTCAAAAATGTTTAAAAAAAGATCCTAATCTCAGGGCTTCAATATAAGAGTTATTGATACATCCCTACTTATAAATTTGATAATTAATTAATTTCATTAAATTTATATAATTACTGATATTTTAAAAATGAAAACAAGTTCACTTAAATCAAAACTTAATGGATCCAAAATGGATGATTTTGATAATCAAAATACTTAAGTAAAATATTTAATAAATTTAGAATTTGATTAAACTTACAACATAGGTAGAAAGACTTACTTAAGTATTAAATATGAAAATTGAATAAGTTGACATGTTGAATAAATAATTTGAGCTTTAGAAATCAATTACTAAACCTAAGGAAATTGAAGAGTTGATCTCAGTAAATTTATTATCTAATTTTTAGACAGTTGAAGAATAAACTAAAGAAATTGAAAAATGGGCAGAAAAATATCAAAAATTACAATAACAAAATTTACAATTATAATAAAAGAATGATGAATTAGAATAAGTTGTTAATTTACTTTAAAATAATGCAACCTAATAATATATTAATTATAACGATAATTTACCATCCTTAAAGGAAATTTAGTCTAAATAAAATTAATAAAGTAATATAAGGAAAGTTGAAAATTAGAATCACAATGAACAGTTGAACAATATTAACACTCAAAATCTTTAAAAAAAATAGGAAGAAATTAATCAATTAAAATTCTAGCTATCATAAATTTAATAAGAATTGTTGAATGAAAAATAATTACATAGAGAATTAATTATTGCAGAAGAAGCAAGGGTTAGAGATTAAGAAAGAAAATCATTCAATTAATACAAATAAGACACATAAAGTTAATTGCTTTTATAAAAAAAATAAATTGATACTTTATAGAAATAATTAGATAATTCTTATAATTTTGATGAAAAATCTATTAATCGTTCTTAAATTAAAGAATTAAATGAATAATTTCCTTAAAATATCAAAATTGTTGGGTTATTAGACAATGATGTTCAAAATTTATAAACTGCTAATAGATAATCTTATATTCCAAAACTATAGAAAGAATAAACCATATCAAATTAATAATATTAATTAGATAAATTTCCTAATTTTTAACCCCAAACTTAAAGAATAGGACCTTTATAAAATACTTCTTTTTCACTTGAAGGAGTTTCTCCTACCGAATTATAATTTCAACCAAATAATATTAATTAAATTTAAGAATAAATAAATTAAACAATGGCTTAAATAGAAAAATCAATAATATAAGTTGATTTGATGAAGTAGACAAATTATCTTCAAAAGAAAATAGTTCAAGAATAAATTCAACCTTCCAATTCTAATAGTTTATTAAATTCTCAATTCCAATAATAATAATTAAATATTAAATAATTAGAACCCTAAAAAGCTTTCTCATAAGTAGGCCAATAATCAAATAACTTCTATTAATTTAATTAAAAATAGTATTTTTGATATATTATCTAAGTTGTATTTTTTGAGATCATTTTAAACTTATAAATTTATATAATATGTGTTAACCAAGAATTCTTGGAATGATAAAAAAATTACTAAATTATTTGTAAATAAACTTAAATAATTTGCTATAAGTAATAATTTATTATTACGTATTATCTCAATTATAATGAATATTTATTTTTTTTAAATCTAAATTTTTATTATAAATGAAAGTAATAAGGAAGTTTATTTTAACAGAAATAATTTCTAAAAATTATTGAATATCTGCAAAGTATTATTAATAATTAGATAAAACTACAGAATATGAGTTATTACATAAGTTCAGCAGGCTACTGTTCTTTTATAATAACTGAACTTATTTCTATAACTTTGTAATTTAATACAAAAAACAGTAATAAAAAGTTGTTGATTTAAACAACTGGAGCTAATGTAATTTTGTGTATTTAAATAATCAAAAAAAGTAGTTTTGAATTATTTATCATATATAGTAATTGTAAAGAATTAAAAATTCAATAATAAAATATATGGATAATGTTAAAATGTTTTTAAGTATGCTGAATATATAGAGTACAAAAGAGAGTGAATGTCAAAAAGATGAATTAAATGATTCAATTGATTTATATATAGAATCAAAGATTAGTGAAGTAGAAATAAAGATTGTGAAGTACTTACATGGAATGGGAGTTTAGACTAAAACAGATCCAGGTTAAAAGGAATAATAATATTGGAATTCGAAAAGACATGAGAGTAATAAGAAATTAGAACAATTTTGGAGTAGTAACAATTTATCAATGAATTCTTCATTAACTCGTTTATTGAAGAGTAGATAATCTCAAACATTTTAAGATTTTGGACAGAGTGGAATATTTGTTCAAGATTTTGGAACTTACTGATAACCAAGTTCATAAACAGTTGAGTTAAGTGATTTTAGATATATAAATTTAATTCTTATGAAATATATATATATAGGATCATTATTGTTCAGTATTTTATTGTGGTTATTAAGTGAAAAAATTAAATATGTGTAGTTTTTGAACACAAAAATATAAATTATTTTAAATGGACAAGAACTAGTTTATAGAAATTTCTAGAGCATTTAAATTTAATAGTTTTTAATTAACTAAAATATGATTACTAGTGAGTGATAAATCGATTAATGTATATGAACAATAATATTTTTATAATATTGGGAATATTTTACATTCATTCATATTCACTGACAGCTTCTAAAATGCATGCAATTGACCAAGCTTGAGCTCTACATGAAAATACATTGTATTCTCCATTTCCATTAGTCATTTCTGGTAAGGAATACCTAAATATATTTTTTAAAAAGATATACCATTCATTTTAATGTAGAGTCGTTTTGTGATTGGATAAATAAGAATAAAATAATTATCTATCGATATGTTCTTTGCCATGAATAGCAATTAAGGCCTTAATAAAATATCCATACACCCAAACCCATTCTGGTCCATTATGATAAGAGAAACCATGAGATACATTGAAGATGTGTGATTAATCACTGTTATCATAAAAATGAACATATTCTGAAGCAGCAGGATCAAGTGTCTTTACACCAATTGAATTTTCTCTTAATAGGTATGCTTCAACAGAAGCTAAATGGAACATGGCTTTTTCTTTATTGAATAACTCTGGTGCTAAACCAATAGCAATACTAGCATTGCATCTTAATTAATATTCATTTCTAGGTTTCGAAGATTTTACAAGATCTTTATATATTTGTCGATGTCTGACATGCTTTTCTACAATATGATAATCTTAGTAATTTGGATCATGTTATTTAGGAATATAATAATATTTCTCAAAATTTACAACCAAAAAATGAGACCATTCCTTAAAAAGTAATTTCTTACCATTAGGACAAATTACTCCATCAAATGGATAATGTGATGAACTATGAGTAACAAAGTCTAAACAAACTTTAAGAAGAGCAGTCAATTCTATTGGTGCTCCATCTCTACTTGTAGCAGGAATTCCTCTATTAACATCAGACGATCCCATTTTATCCATCCAAGTTAAACAATTTAACCAATTACCTCCAACAATAAAACCAGTTTATTCATCCAAACATAATGAAATATTAAATCCCTCTGATTACATGCAATTATCAATTTAACTTCCTGCTCTCCATTCTCTAAATTTAATACCTGTAGCATGACTTTGAAAGATCTTTTAAATAATTTCTGCAACAGTTTTTTTAATAACAACTCCTTATGATTTTAATTAGTAGTGTTTGTCCATATCATCATCTAGAAATACCATTTAAACCTCTTCATTTAATATTTCGGATTTTTAAGCATATTAAATATAATCTTTGACAGCTTTAATATACCACCAACATGCATCTCTGCAATTATATCTTGGATTATTAGTTGAATCTAATAAATTAGGAATAAGTCCATGTCTTAAACAGGAACCAAAAGTTAGTAATGCTTCTTTGGCTTCAGATATTAATCCATTTTCAAGATAGATTCCTTTAAAGGATATAAAAGTATCTCTTCCCCATGATCTGGCCCAACCTGTTGTAAAATGTGGTAATCCTGCTGCCATAGATTTAGAGAAAGGTAAATCTGCAATGAATTAATATGATGCTAATTTCAATTCTCTTTTAAATTATGAGGTTTAAAAATTTGTTATTGATAACATTGAATGATTATAGATGAAATCTACAAATTTACAGAAATAGGATGGAATATGATAACGTGGGATATTTTTAATTTGATTTGTGATAGTATTGATAAGTTTGGAGAGTTGTAAAAGTGAGAGTTGATATTAAACTCTATCATTTAAATAATCAAGTAACCAATTTCCATTTCTCAAATTTTCACAGATAGGATGTGCTAAATTATTAATAGTTTATGCTTCTCTAGTAGCAGAACGAGGACCAGCAAAACCAGCATAAATAAGTTATCTATAATTGGGAATGAAATATAATCCTTTGTTATTTTTATCTCTTTCTTCTGGTTCTGACATAAAGAGTAAATAATTAAGTTATGATGATGTTAATTCATTAAAAAGTTATTATTATGAATTATCATTAAATATAAGATCTAATGATTATAGATTATTTTATTATTCTGGAATAATTTGACATTCAAGTACAGCAGTAAATGAAGAAGGTAATTTAACAAAGTTTAGATGATTATCTTAGATTTCTGCAAATTCTCTAATATTTGAATGTTAAATAATTCTGACTTAAGATGCTTAAATGAATTGATTATTCTATTGAGGATGTTATATAAAATCGTCATGATAGAAGATGGCATCAACTTTAACAAGTTATCCTGGTAATTTGATAGATGTAAAGGTATTAGGGATTCCAAATGAAGGTACAGTAATTAATACTTTAGATCTGCATTTATCTTAAGTTTCTCTAGTAATGATTTGTATGGTATCACCATAATTTTAACAAAAGATAAAAGGGAAATCGGTATTAAGTTCTTTTTTAATTTAATGTAATTTGAGTCTAACAAGTTCCATGGTTGTATGTATTTTCATAGGATTAGGTTCAACAATAAGTTTTCTATTAATTTAATCAATCCAATTAGAATTAACTTTATATTTATATTCATATGATCCTTCATTTAAGGTGAGAGTGGAAGTATAAATATTGTTATTTGTAGAATTTAAAATTAATCCAGTTGACCATTGATTCCATGATCCAAATACTTCCACATATTGATTAGGTAATCCATCATATCGAAATGCAACAACAGATTATCTTTCAATTACTAATTATTCTTATGGTTAATCAATAGTGTATTATCGTCTCTCATCTACAACTGATAATTTATTTGGTAAGAATTGATCATATCCTCTAACAGATCCACCCATACAACCACTAAAAGATATTAATGAAGCTATAGGTAATTAATGTTTATATCCATGAGTAGATAATAGTGATTCATTATCATGAGATTATTCATATATCAAAGCAGGACTATATTAAGGTTAAAGTATAGTAAATGTTTCATTCATTGATTCGAATTATTCTTATAATTTAGGTAATGATCCTATTGACATTCTTCCATCTCCACTGTAATAATGTAATTCTCTGTTTAAATGTCCTGCATCATGACATCTATTAGTTTCTCTTACTAAACAATTAATTCCCATTGTTTTTGTGAATATTGAATCCTTCTCTGGTGATCCTGTAAATAACTCAGCAAACACTAAAATATTTGGATTTGCTTTTCTTGCATTCCTCATCATATATTCACTAATTATTTATATATATATATTAATTACCCAACTATCATTGGAGTAGAATGTGCATTATCTAATCTTAATCCTGCAAATATCTATGCCATCTATTAAACATATCTCTTCATATATTTCCATAAAGCAGGACTATCTTATTTCTTATGTCCATATCTTAATTTTACTAAATCACCCCATATTACTATTGTCCTTCTTAAATAATGATGATCCTAATTCTCAGCAAAATTATTCAATGGATCAAATCCTTAGATCCATCCATTATTTGCTACATATTTTCCATTACTTAATTTTGTAAAATATCTTGGAACTAATGAATCTCCTTTCTCATTTACTTCCACCTATGGATTCTTCAATGTCAATTTCCACCATGTTATCTAACCTCTTGTGGAATTCACTGCTTCTCTTATATACTATTCTGCTTCATTCCAATATTAATGGTTATAATATTACAACAACTCACGGATATACTCCAAAGACACCTTCTTGTAATTCTCATCCTTACTATATATTCTTATTTTATAATTTACTTTAAATATTCCACTATCACTTCATAATTCAAAGATACACCATACTCTTTATAACCTTTCAGAATTGTCTATTATCCTATCAATTACAACATCATCTCACTTGCACTCTTTATAAAAATATTTTAATTCTCTTCCTGTTGCTCATTCTTACCTAACACAATCTTATTACATCTTCTATGTATCTCATTAACTACTCCATTTATATTAAATTAAAAATATCCATGAATATTCAATTTCCTTATATACTCATGTTCCAATATATCCATTATTTAATTCAGATCATTCTCATTGTATATTGTATTACGTGGATATTAAGTCAATAATCCTGAGCCTAATTTATTACTAAACTCTGCTATTGCACAATCCAATTTTATTGCTGCTTCCAAATGAGGAGAATTCGCAACATTATATGTAGCATTCTCAAATTCTGGTTATACTAGCCAATTTGAATCGAATGCTGTATGATTTAACAAAATATCTATGAAAAAGTGTGTATTTGGAAATTTTGCAAAAAGTTATTTTAAATCATCATAGGTATAATTACCAAAAATATCAGTATTCAATTTTAGTTAATCAGCTATTGCATATAAACTGGTTGATTAACCCAATTACTAAATAGGTGGAAAATGAAATGCTTCATAACCCAATTCTACTTGAGAACGAATTTATTTTTCATAATCTTCAAATTTACCCAAACAATATGGTAGTAATGTTTAGATTGTTAATTCTTACAATTTTGCCACATGATTGGGTTGAACAATAATATGATTCTCTACTCCTAAAACTACAGGTTTATCTTAAGCAATTAACCAACACAATCTTAAATAAGCTGCACCAGGCAATGAAAACTCTACATCAACTTTCCAATCACCTGAAGAATCAAGTGTAAAAGGTTTAACATCATGGTGCTACTAAATTTATTTCAAAGTTTAGTTTTCCATCTCATGTATACGCTTATAACCTTTTTGCATGATCACGTAGGGATAATAACCTTATTTACGATTGCGAACAAAGATTCTAACAACCTTTTGTTGAAGTGCATAGATTGCTTTATCATGACTGCCTTCAATTTCTCCCTGTTAATTTAGTTCTAAGAAGAATCTATCCTATTGCATAAATATTATTTCTTTAATCAAATCTAGATGAATTAACATATATAATTTCAACGATTAATACAACCAAGAGAAATCAGAACTCTCCTAAAGAAAGTTTATTAAGGTTGCTCGTTTTAGTGTTAAGTTTAATGGAATACAAAATGTTGAGATTTTTATTAAATCTCTTCGAATTCTTTATTAGTGGTTTTCCTTTCAGAAACAACAGTTTAACAAGATTTAAGTGGAGAATGATTTTAATCGTCTATGATCATTGAGATATTTCTTGGATAGAAGAGATCATTGTTAGATTATTATTTTGATTTAGATAGCATCCATTTATGATTGAGAATACCCTAAATAGAAGGTCTATTAAATGGATTAGGTTGAAGAATCATAGCTATCAAAGATTTACAATCTTCACTCACAAACTCTTCATATTTCAACTATTTTCCTGATAGAATTGCGACACATTTTTCCTAATCATTTTTTCCTGTAAAAGGAGGCTTACCTTAAACCATTTCATATAGAAGAACACCTAAACACCAAATATCCAATTTGTAATTAGTACTTTAGGATTTAATCATTTCTGGTGCCATATATTCAACAGTTCCACAAAAGGCCTTCTTCAAATTTTCCATTTCAGTGGACCATCCAAAATCACATATCTTAATATTCCCCTTTGTATCTAATAGTAAATTCTCTGGCTATTTATAAAAACTTAATTAAACCTTGATATCTCTATGGATTATCTTCATCTTATGTAAGTACTCTATACCAAGACAAGTCTAATACAAATAATGAAAGGCTTCATCTTCAGATAAATGACGTTGCTTTTTAATCTTTTTAAATAGAGATCCTCCTTCTGCATATTCCAGAATAAGGTACACATTAGTCTTTATTTATAAATTTATTTATAATACCTTATCTTCAAAATAACTATCCAATTTAATAATATTAGGATGATTCAATTTACGTTAAATTTTTATTTCCCTTTTCAAATTATCAATTGTACAATATTTAAATAGTTCTTCCTTCTTCATCTATCATCATTAATTATTCAAACATACTGCTTTCATAGCAAATAATTTTCCACTCTATATTTCCTTCACTAAAGTCACCCAACCAAAAGAGCCTTATCCCAATGTTTATTACATTGACTAAAAATCACTAATTTATAATTCTTTAACTACCTATTTGTTTTCTTTTTAATCGTCCTCGATGATGCTTTGCTGCTTGATCCAGGCATATTAGTGCTAACATTATTTTATAAACATACCAATTCGAATCGTGTTTTGAAATTGAAGTGTTCAATCTTAAACTTTTACCATTACTAGTAGTCTCTGAAAATGCTTAATTAGAGTTCATTAATATAAAATATATATTTCAAATCTCAAGATCCCCTAATAAGACCTCTATATCATATCTTCAATCATCTTACATCAAATTTAGCTTTTAAATATTCAACTAGTATTCAAATATCTTATTACTTATCTTCTTGAGTGTCTATTCCATAACGTTTTTTCTTTTAATATATTCTAAGAAAATACTTTTACCTAATACTAATCAAGTTTAAGTTTTAGTAAAACTAAATTTGAATCTAGATAGTCTCTTTGAATCAGATTAAGAATCTATACATTTACAAAGGACATTAAAATCAATTTTATTTTGATTTCAATTTTTGTGTCAAAATTCCTTTAAAATGCTAATAAAAATATACTACACTTCCACCAAATATTTTATGTATAAGCTATCATTTAAACAATACTATTTTTCTAATTAACATATAATATAACATAAATACAATTTATTAAAAAGGAAAAAAAAATATAACAACATTTATTCATTCAAGCTTACTGATTTTATAATGAACTAATTTTTTTTTTTTTATTGAGGAATACCTCCGCAAAGATAATTAATTTTAAATCAAATTTATTTAGAATTTAGTAAGAGAATACTTATACTGGATTTACTAATCTATATGCAAATAAGCTAAAAATATTAAAAATAATGTTATATTTAAGAATAATTAATAAATTTATTTTCTTTATTAGAAATATATCAAGAAATATATAGCTCACTATAAAATAGTATAGTACATTTGGGCTTATCAAAGTAATAAATAGATTTAAAAGTGCATATAATTTCAATTTAAAATGTTATAATAAAATATTTTAGAGTGTTATATCATAGTTTTCATTAAAATATATTATAAAATTCAAAACAATCAGTAAATATTATTCATGCAGTTGAAATCTAGGTAATAAATAATTATTATATGTAAATATAGCAAAATTATCAAATAACTTAGTTATTGTCAGATTTTGATGAAAATAATCGATCAATTATCATTTTTTAAGGAGTTCTTTACAGAAAGTTCTTTTGTTTCTATGAACCTGCAGTTGATTGAAACTATTATTTAGTGCTTGCTTAAGGGGATTAAATTTATGGTAGCTGATTGAAATGATCTTGTTTATCAATATTATTTAATTTATATGCTGATTTCATTTGATTTTGAGATTCTTGAGAGTCTCTAAGATGTACTTATGCGGTTCTTGATTTTCTAGCTACATCATCATTAGGGAGATTGCAACTTATAAATTCATTGACAGGAGTAATAGTTTATTTTGAGGAATTAGTTCTTAGAGCAGTCTCTTATTAAGATTATTGTCCTATTGAACCATATCCAATGAATTGATTATTGTTATTTTTTTTTGCTTAATTAATTCGAGGTAAAAATGCAGTTGAGTTTGATTTTTACATTTATTCAGTATTATAATGAGATTACCCACTATCTAATAATGATTTTTGATAAGAAGGGTATCCAGGTTTATTGAATTCATCAGTTTGTTTGATAGGAATATGCTTTCGAATAGGTTATAAATCAGCCATACTAATATTAAATTCATTATCAGAAATTTTAAGTGGTGAACCGAGCTTAATGTTGGTGTTTCTTTGAAAGCCAGGTGCAACAGAATTGTTCTAGACTATATTAATTTATTCATGGTTTGTTTTAGGTTAAGGTGGTGAAAATGGTTTGATGAAAGGAACTTTAATTAATTTAGGAGGGGAGCTAATTAGATATAATTTCATACCTAAGTTTATTCATAACAGGAGTAATATGATTATTTTATGCGAACTATTTAGTAGATTTAGTATTTATGACTTTTTTTAAGGTTTGAGAAGGTCTTTTTTCTGTGTTAATCTGAGATTATAAATTCTTTTTGCCTTCTGAACTAATTTTGAAAGCTTATTCTTTAGGAGATTTGAAGGGGACTTTTTATATTTATTTTTATTAGAATCTAATGGATTAGCCTAATGAGCTCAATTATGGATTAAAAAATTAAGCAGTTTGTTTCATTTCTTATTACAAACGACTATCATCAAATGAAGCTTAATCTTGGTGATTTATCATTTACTTTAAATAAATTATTTATTTATTTATTTATCAATAACAATTATTGATGTAAGTAATGATAAGATTTGTCAAATATTTATAATAATTTGATCTGTGTAAAATAAACTTTTATTTATAATAGATTTAATAAGATATAACAAACGATAACATATAGAATTAGTCTAATAGATTTAAAGAAAGAGAAGACATAAAATATTTTGTTGAATAATTGAATTAGTTTCATTCATTATTGGTAACAATCAAAGAGATTGCAGTTCCCTCTTTGAAATCATCAGGTAATTCGACAACATAATATGATTTACTGATAGCTTTCAATGTACATCCAGTGCATTTTCTATAAATAGAGGAAAAGATTACGTGAAATGGAAATGAATTTCTTCAAAATAATATTCTCTTGATAAAAAGATCTCAGTTTATTTTCCATTACATTTATTACTGGCTCTCCAATCTAATTATAAGAAATAAGAGTTATCATCTACTCTATTGAAATTGGAATTGCTTGGAATACCACAGATTTTAGTTACATATGGTCTACTAAGAGTTTTGACTTTATTAGTATATAATTATCCAAATTCATCATAGAAAGATTCTATTTATCCAGGATGAGCCTATGTTGTTATATCAGCATAATATTTAAATTCCCAATAAGCCCATGATGTGAATCTAGATTCCATTAAATCTAATAGATAATTAAGTTCTTTATTTCCTTCTGGAGTATCAAGAATAGCACCAAATTCAGTCATAAATTTACCAACTCCTAAATTCTTAGCAACACCTTCTTTTGTAGCAAAAAAGAATGAATCCATATAATTGCATACTTATTCATTTTTTGGAATACTATAATCATCAACATTAAAACAATAAATGTGATAACTGTAAACTTCTCTATCTCTATATTCTTCACCTCCTGGAGTATCTTTAAATCCAGCACCTATAAGATCTGATGTCCCTGGTTCAAAAAAGATAATTTTCTAATCATCAAACTTTCTTATCTATTTATGCACCTTTCTATAAAGAGGCAATAAATTATGATTATTACCATAGTTTGGAAATAGAAATTCCCTTATACTATGATAAATTGATCCTTAAATTGGTTCATTGATAATTTCATATCCAATAACATTTTTATGATTTTTAAAATAATTAGCTACTACACCCCAATACTCAGCAAATGCATCAGCAATTCCTTCTTTGTTATCAAAAAGATTTTAGAATGTTTTTGATGCTTCAGCTGTTAAATAATACATAATAAACTTTTTCTTTAAACAATCCTCAATAAGTGGAACACCTTCATCATCAGTATGAATCTTAGAGAATATATAAGGATATGGGAATCTAAATTCTTTTGATTTAGTTCTAGCAATTGTCCAATCAGGAAATCCATTACCACAAAAGAATCTATTTAATACATCTTAATGTGAATCTAATAAAACTGTAATCCCTTTAGCTTCACATCTTTATACTATTTTATCAATTTCTTCCAAATATGTATAATTATATTATCCTCTTACAGGTTCTACTCCTTCCCATGCAACATGTAATCTTATGAAAGTCATTCCCCAAGAAACTAAATTATCCAAGTCAAAATCTGATAGTGAATCATTAGAATCAAATCCTTCTGATATTGGTGGATAATATGGAGGCAATTTGTATACAACATTCACCCTATCTATGATTATTATGTTTACCCATGAAACACTCGTCTTAAACCATCTGAATCCAAAATGAATTGATCATCTCTATTCACTTTAAATGATGATGCTACAAATACGAGATAGAACAATAATATGCAATATTTCATTATTTTATTTTAATAAAGTACTCTTTATTACATTTTTTATATTTTTAACTTAAAAAGGTAATCATAACCAAGATTTTATTTATAGATCATCAGAAATCATAACTTTCATTTAATCTTATTTAGCATATTTCTATAATCATGATAAAAATTCTTCAAGTACTTAGCATTGCACCAAAAGCATATGCATCAATTCAAATGAATTTTTCTAAGCACCTAGGAAATCAAAAACTCTACTCTATTTCCCAATTTATATATGACCACTCTTATTTGACATCGTTTTATTTGCCAGCAAATTAGATAATTAACTCTATTAAAGAAATTCTTATCCACATTCATACATTAAATTATCCGAATAAGTAGATATTGCATTTAATTTAGCATTCAGAGTATTTTCTGAAACAAATAACTCCTTTTATATTTCTATAATCTCCTTTCCTAAATCCTCTTTCGTAGTATTTAGTATTTTATCAACAATACTTTTGTACTACTTTCCAAAAAATAGTGTATCTCCTAATAATTATGACTATGATAAAGAATTTACAATATATTTACAATTATTGAACATTTTTCATTTAATTCAGCTTTCATTAATTTAATTTCATTATCTTTTGTTTATTACAATTAATTGCATTAGTCTTGATAATAAGAATGAGTTTCATTTTGATACTTCTCAAATTAAGCTTTAATTTAATCATGAGCAATCTTATTTTATACATATAATTACTTTATATTTTTCAAGATTTTATTTAATTTTAATATTTTCTATTTCAAATTCATGATAAAGATTAAAATATTGTTCTTTTTCTTCAAAACAAATTTGATTACTCGATTTTAATAGTTCGTATGAATTTTTTAATTGTTCAAGCTTAAAATTAAATAAAAAATTTGAATACTTCTTCAATTTTAGATTCCAATTAAGATTTTAGGGATACATTTAAATCATTTAACTCTGAAATTGAAAGAATTTATTTTTTATTATTATTTTATAATTTCAAAATTTAGTCATTTAATTATGTGATAAGCTTAGATTTCTATTCCAATTCATCAATTTGATGTTTTATAATAGTTTATGATCCATTATTTAATTAATGATTACTTTTGAGTTGATTAGAGCTTAAATTGATTTCAGTTGCATATTTATTTTAATGAAGAGCTGATTTATTTTTTTCTAAATTACAACTATTAAATCTATGATGATGAGAAGATTTATTAATAGTTTTTAAGGAACAAATATTTGCATTAGGTTTAAAGGAATTTTAAATTTGGGTTAATTAATGATTGAGAGTATCAATTTAGGTAGTTACATTCTATTTAGATTTGATTTCTTCTATGATTTCATAAACAATCGTAACAATATCCTTAACCATATTTTAAAATTACAAAGTCTATTCTTGAGTTGATTCTTATTTACTTTTGATTATATCTTGATTAAATTCTAAGATCAAGAGATAAATCATATATTTGAGTAGAATAAGATCGGTGGATCTATAAAAATCAAAGCATATATTTGAATTATCAAGACAAAAGAGTTTAATTTTAGTAATAATAGAAGCAAAAGTATTTTGATCATGGTCTTTGGCATATTAAAGTAATTTTAGTTTTTTTTCTATATGAATTAGGGATGTTACAAAGGATTAGTGAAAAAGAGGATTGGAATGAAAATGTTTTTAAGGATAAAAGTCAATAGGATTATCATTCTATGTGAATGATTTGTGTTTATCCATTTACTTAACTATACGATCAGTCCATTATTCTACATCATATTGTTTGATTTGAAGGTAGGGGACTGGTGTTGACTTTTAGAGTAATAGGTTAATTTATTTAGCGGAAATAGGTTTAGTTGGAGATTGAGAGTGTTGACTAGCTTTCTTTTAGGTGGAATACAAATTTTGAAGTTTTTGAAGCAATTAATTGCTAGAAGCTGAGTTCATTATAATTAACAGATATTTATACGAGAGTGAATTAAAAATCTTAAATTATTAATAAATTAAAATGAGAGTTCTCTTGTGTGTAGCATTGCTTTTAGTTGTGAGAAGTGCAATTACAGTCACATGTCCAAAGACTGGATATGGTTGTATAACTTATGGAGCCAATACCTTCGTTTAATCAACAAGAACAAATTCATTATGCAGAAATGGTATTCTATATTATGATCAATAAAGGGTTTTATTGGAACAATTAAGCTTGTATGCCGTGTAAAAATGCAGATAATGATTTAAGTGGATATTACACATGCAGTAGCTATTATGGAGCAACTTAATTGACATGCAATTCTGGCTATACATTGATAAATGGGTAATGCAGCAATTACTATTTTTAAGTGTCTGTATTTAAATACCTATTGGATGTCAGACTTATGCGTTGAATTCTAATTCAGATGCCTATGTTTGTACTGCATGTACATCCGATTATACACTTAAGGCAGGTGTATGTATCAATAATTAATATTGTTCTTCATGGGATGAAAATGCTGTTTGCTTATCTTGTTAAACCAAATACTTTTTAAATTGGGATTTGAAGTTCACACCATCAAATTCAAGCTCAAATTCTACAATCTGGTTTGGAACATGGTAATAATATTATTTAATGCCTGGATAATCATTTTGCAGTTTATGTACCTAAACTATGCCTAATTGTAAATCTTGTAATTCACCGTAACTATTTACATCATTTTAGATATACTTGTTCATAATGTAATGATGGTTACTATTGGTAACAAGCAGTCAGTAGCACTCCTTTGACATCTTCTAATGCATAATTTGCAGGCTCTTGCGTTAGCTGTTTAAGCAGTGGAAATTGTGCCACATGTCAAGGATCCACATGTACTTAATGCTTACCTGGTTTCTATGCTTCTAAAGATAATACTTAAACCATTATTTAATCTTGTAGTTTTTGTCCTATTGGATGTTCATCTTGTACATCATAATCAACTTGTAATGACTGTTATCCTTCATACTTTAAATTTGGAGATTTATGCTATTCAATGTAAAAATGTTCTTCTGTCAATTTACAATTAACATAAGCTGGTTCAAATCCTAAGTGTTCAGCTTGTGTTGCTGGATATGCTTTAGACTAAGCAAGTGGAATCTGTTATTAATGTAATAACTGTGATAGTTGCACTGTGCCTGCTGGATAATAAACAGCTTCTTTATAAACCTCATGTTCAACTTGTCGAGATACGTATCATTTATTATTTATATAATTATAGTTATTATGGAGTAAAAGATGGAAATGGTATAGTTACTTGTAGATAATGCACCTAAGCATCAGATTCATTTTTAAGATGTTAAGGTCCAGTTGAAAATTCATCTCTCACAGCAGTTGTACCCACTTAATGTTAAGATGGATATTATTTATATACCTTACCAGCTTCAGGTACAACAGCTGCATAAGTGATTTGTGTTCCATCAACTCAAAGTCTTTAATGTGTCACAATAGTTGCAACAAGTGGTAATCAATATACATGTGCCTCATGTACTACTTAAACTAACTTGTATAATAATACTTTGTGTTTGGCTTGTGATGCATCATTAACTAACTCATTGCCTCAAGGTTGTTCTGCTTGTACAGGATCACCTAATAATTCAATAAATTGTAATGCTTGTTATGTCAACTACTTTTTCTCAACAGGTACAACTACAACATGTACAGCTTGTGATTCATAATGTATTTAATGTGGATCTGGTCCAACTTGCTCAAGATGTGTAAATGGTTATTATGTATCTGGTGGTGGATGTACTTAATGTGGTGTCTCTAATTGTGCTACTTGTACTGCAGATAGTCCAAATTCTTGTTAAGTTTGTAACAATGGATACTTCTTATCAAGTATCAATACAGGAACCTAAACAACTTCATATTGTTTGGCATGTCCTTTTGAATGTGCAACTTGTTCTGCCCCAGGTTAAGTTTGTAATTCTTGTATTAGTGGATATGTCCTTTCAAATGGGGGTTGCATTAGTTTGAGTTAAGCTAATTGTGCTGAAGGATATCCTACATCAACTTCATAAAATCAATAAACACCATCCACTCAATCTGGTTGTGCTATTTGCAAATATGGATTTTACAACTTTTAAAAAAGATGTCTCCAATCTGTACAACCATATGCAGGAGTAATAATATATTTAATCTATCTTTAGGCTGTTTATGTTCCAAATAATTTCACTTTTGGTTCAAATCCAGGAATATCTAATTACCAGACCATCCTGTATTCAATATTCTTGGTTATTTTGTTGCTTGGATATTGATTTATTAATATAATTATGGAAGATCAATTAGAACTAACTTCACAATGGGGTTTCTATGAAATGTGCACTAAAAAGAATAACAAGTTACCATGTCTTATACCACAGACTATTATCTTCGATAAACTTATGCCTAAGGTTTGGCTCTTCAATCCCAAATAATCTTAAGTAGTCATGAAAAAGAATTCTGACAAACTCACAAACCTTGAAATTGCCAAAGCTTTGCTTGGTATGAAATTCCCCAAAGACATTAAGATCGATACTCTTAGTCAATTGTATGATCAAGCAAAGCAGAGTCCTCAATTCAAAGAGGTTCGAATATTGTTTTATAAAATTTAAGGAAACTCCAATCGCGTTCTTGTAGATGAAAAGAAATGAAGGAATACCTATGAATCGATAAGAGTTATTACAATTTTTTGTTGAAGGCAAAGATCTATCCTCTTTGGCATACATGCAATAGTACATTGAAAATCAAAGTAGCTTGATTAATAGTTTGCAGATGAAGTCTACTATGTTGAGTACCATTATGATGTTGATTTCATTCCAATAACTTTCAAATTTTTCAAGAAGACTCTCACAATTAAAAGATTGAACAAAAGTACAACTGCTAAATCCAGCAATCCCTTTTAAACTCTTTTAATGCCAGTCTAAAGTTCTGGTTAAATCCCAGTTAGACAATAAGAAGTTTAGAAAGTGTAAACAATGTTTAAGTACTGCAATTCAACTCTAAATTAACGCTTTTAGGAAGTACATAAATATATTATGTCTACTTCTATAGGAAACAAAAAAGATAGCATTTTATGTAGAAAAAGTATTCAAAGTAAAAATACGTAAGTTCACTCCAAAGTTCATTGTTGATCAAAGAGATCAAATATATTTTGCAGGTATCAAACAAATAACAATCCAAATTTAATAAGGAGGTAACATTTTACTTTTATTGATATAGCTCCATACTAAAAAGGTTTGAGAGAAGAAATTGCTAGTAATGGGTAATTTGATAATTTCATGATGGCATGCAAATAATTTAGGTTAGATAAAAATGCAAATAATGAATTCAAAAAATATCCAAATTAAATTGTTGAAGAAGATAAGAAACTTAGTAAAACTCTGTATAAGCATTTAATTCTTGAAAGATGTTAAGGTGATTTTTGTAATTACAAATTGATTGAAAAAAATAAGTATTTTATAATCATTATTTGAAAGAGGTCCACTCTAATTGAGGAAAGGATTATTGGAGACTTATAAGAATGTATTCAAAGAATCAAAATAGACAGTTACAAATATGAGTACAAATTTACCTTATGAAATATCATTATAATTAATAGTAAGGACAAGAGATGATCATAAAGAAGTCATAGAATTATTTAAAAAATATAAAATTCATTTAGAAAATTACAATCCAGAGGAGCATCCAGAAATAAAAGATGAATAATAACATCCATTTAGTAAAGAGAATTCAGATGTGTAAGCATTAATTAATTTATACAAATCAGTTAAAATTTGTAAGAATTGTTTTATAATTTATTCAATGATATAGAGGCATTTTGAATCATAATTAAAAAAGGATATAAAAAATGGAGCTTAATTTATAAATGAAAAAAAGACATAATCATTACAAATAGATGAAGAAGCTGAGAGACGTAGAAAAAGAGAAGAAAATATTGTTAAAAGACAAGAGAAATTGTAAATGAAGCCATCAACTTCAACAAAATCATTTAGAATTTTTAGAGCGCCAACCCAAAAAAGAAATTTTTTGATTACTTCTATACCTGAGAGTAGAACTTCAAAAACAGCATCACCTTAAAAATTTAGAGATGTTTGCAAACAAATAGAAATAAATAGATTGACATTGGGTTATTTGAACTATTAAAAATTAAAGTAATTTTAAAAACCAACTCAATTGGAATAATCTTAAGAGTTTTAAAATGAAGCAGATAATTTAATATAAACTTTAGCAGAATAGAGAGCTCAAAATGTCAGAAGAATTGATACAAATTAATAAGAGAGTAAAGAATTTTAAGTGAGAGCAGAGGAGATTAAGAAAATGTTGGCAAAAACTTCTAAAAAGGAATAGGAATGTAGAGCTATGTAAAAAGAATATTACAATTAAAAGATATAGGAAGGAGTAGAATAAGTATTATTAACAACATCATCTCATTATTATTATCATGTTAATTTTGATATAGTAAGAAAATTATATCAATTTCAATTAAGTACTCCAATGTAAGCATTGTCATATGATTTAAAATTTGATCAATTAAGAGCATTATAGATTGAAGAAGTTTGTTTGATGATGAATTATCCATCTCCTTGTTTTGAAATAACTTAATTAGAATATTTGGTAGTAGACTCTTAAACAGCTGTTCCCTATGCTTTATTTGAGAGTAACATAACTAAAAAGAAAGAAAAGAGTTCTTAATCAGGAATAGATTTAATAATCATACTTCATGATATTTTCGAATCATTTTTTGAGTATTCATATTATTCATTCTTAGATACTATCCAATTATAGTGGAATTGATAAATGAAGCATAAAATAAGAAGGTTTTATTATTGAATACTCCTGGATAAGCTTATACTCTCTTTAACAAAGAGCAAATCTATACTAATATATACATAGCAGGTATTCTTGATTAAATTCTGTATGAATTATAAAAAAAAAACAAAATAGATTTATAAACTGATACTTTAAAAATTTTAGGAGTAGGTTCAGGAGGATTCCATGCATAATCATTTAGTATTTATTATAAAGATTCTTAGTTGTATAATGTTAAAACACAATTCAGTTTAGTTAGATTGCATTTGTAAATTCATTTACTTCAATTTATCCATAATTAAAAAGTTTCTTCACTTAATCAATCAAGGTCTTTGAATCTCAACCTAAGAATATGCCAGAACTTGCTTTTGAATATACAAATACTATTATGAATACATAACCTATTTCTTAAGATCTACTTTCTTGTGTTTTATAACAAAATCCCATAAATCAATTAGGTAGATAAGTTATATTGGAAGGTATATTATATTTAAATTATAGGTTTATTATAAAGTCCTTCATTTATGGAGAGATTCCAAAAGTTAATTTTGAGTGTCTAAGTATACCATTCCTTAAAGAACTGTTTAGTTAATATATCTGAGGCTGATTTATTATAAACATTTTTATAGGATGAAACACTTGATGTGAATAATGTTGCATTATCAAAAAAGATTTAAATGAACAAAAGGACAATCTAATATATTGAAGGTGGACACTCTGTTTTATATGAAAATAAAGATCAATTAGTGTAAATTTTAAACAGATTAGCATGACTTATATTAATAATTTATTACAATGTATAAGTTTCTTATATTAACGTACATACTTTTCACAATATGTCAAACTAAAAAGGTTTAGAAGAGTTTTCGAATCAGAGAGATGTCAGATTGGGAATATTTGACAAAATTTGGAGCTGAAATTGGAGATTTCACTTATCATATCAAATTCAGAATTATTGGATTAGAATCATAAGAAATGAAAGAAAAAACATTTCCAATCCTATTTTAATTATATTTAGATGAAGAATGGCCTGAAGCTTTAGAAAGATCAGAATGTGAAGTAAATAAAAATACTATCTGATTAAATTAGAGAGTTTCTTTAGCCAGAAAAAAATAGACAATTAAAGTACCTGGAAATGGAGAATACTCTCAAGTATACTCAGGAAATATCAAAGCTAAAATTAGAGCACATATGTGGTATTATACTATATCTGATTGTGATCGAAAATTAAGAGATGAATTCAAAGAAGATTAGTATAGAAAACTTAAATTTGAAGTGGATATTCATATAAAGAATGTTGATAAAACTGAATTCTCTGTTGAACAATTTGGAATTCAATATTTTATGATTTTGGTAGTTTTAGTTGACATGTTAATGTTCGCTTATAATGGTTATTACATAGTTAAAAGACATGAAAAATATGAAGAATTTAGTTTGGCTTTGTTTCTATTAGTCATTACTTTATTTCTTGAAATTATTTCCTATGGTGTGAATTTATTACATTTGTGGGTTTACAGTTATAATGGCCAAGGCGTTTTTGTATTACATGTGATTTCAGTTATTGTGTAGGTAAGCATTAATCATTAGCATAGGTTGCATCATAATTTTCTTTAACTATGATTTTAATTATGTTATCTTGGGGTTGGTAAATAAATTTTACTAAATTTGATAATTTCGAAACATTCCTTCCTTTATCACTATTAATAGCATTTTTTTAATTAACTATTGTTGGAGTAGGTTTTATTGATTATGATTCTTACTATAAGGATCATAATTATGAAGGTTTGGTTGGTTGGTTGGCATCATTTATATTTATAGGAGAATTTATCTATTTTATAAATGGATTGTCTAATACATCTAAAAATAGTAGTGCAACCGTAAAATAATTTATATTAATGCTTGGAATATATGGTGGATTCTATTTTATTAGTTTTCCAGTACTCTAAACTATTAATTTGGTATTTAAATTTCAATTAACAATTTAGATAGTTGCCAGATATCTTAGGCATAAAGTAATGGAAATAGGGACAATATCTTTAAGAACTTCAGCTATTTTACTTTTGACACATTTATTTAATTCTAAAAAATCATTATTTGCTTAAATTTCTTATGATAGTAAAAGCTTTTTAGATAGAAACAAAGAAGAGTGAATATTATTTTTGTTAATTATTATTCTTATATAAATCAAAAATATTTTCTATAAAGCCATCCTGCTATTCCACAAGTAGTCAGTAAAACACCTGCTATTTTTAAATTTTTATAAAGATCACTTTTAATAGGTTCTGATATTGTATCAATTTCATCTTTTGATTTATTTAATTATTATGATTTTTTATCTATAATAATAGTAGAATCTTAAATGATTGATTCTTGTTAAATTAATTATGGAATATCATCACTATCATTCATTTCAGTATCTTTTTCTTTGATATCTTCATCTAATTATTACTATTAATAGATGTTTTGAAACTCTTCTTTTAATGTCATCATACCCATTCTATTGAAACTGGATTCTGAGGAAATAGAAGCAAACGAAGATTTATTCTTATGATGTTTTTTTATTTCACTATGAGTTTCCCATTTCTTCTCTGAATTCTTACTACTTATAATAGGAACCGCTGATTTAAAATACCATGGTTATTTATTAGATGTTAATTCATGATTTTTATTCTAATCTTCATCCGAACTAGATTATTTTACTTCATCATCTTCATTTAATTCAGAAAATGCTCTAAAATCATCATCATTCTATTTAGATATTTATCTTTATCGAATTTATTTCTCTCCCAAATTATGATGCGTCTTAAATCTAAATGCACCTGATGTCAATATTGGATCCAATTATTCTAAGTCTTATTATCTAGGAGAATTTAAACTAGAATCTTTCATATTTATTTAAGCTAATTCTTGTTTTATATAAATTAGTTAAGAAATACTTTCTAAAACCTCTTTATTAATATTATCTCTCTATATTTACAAATTCTCATATAATTCTTCAAGGTGCTCAAAATGAATTTAATTATGTTATACATGTATCTTCCAATTATGAATAATTACTGACAAAGTTTTCAAGTTTTGTCTTTCTGTTTTAACTTACTCCACTTTGATTTAATTAAACTAAGTCTTTTATTATTTTTGTTGATTTCATCATTCTATAATTGAAATTCAAACCATGCTATTGTAACTCATTTAATCTAATTAAATTGTTATCATATGTCTAACGTACCTAAACATTTATTANGACAATATCTTTAAGAACTTCAGCTATTTTACTTTTGACACATTTATTTAATTCTAAAAAATCATTATTTGCTTAAATTTCTTATGATAGTAAAAGCTTTTTAGATAGAAACAAAGAAGAGTGAATATTATTTTTGTTAATTATTATTCTTATATAAATCAAAAATATTTTCTATAAAGCCATCCTGCTATTCCACAAGTAGTCAGTAAAACACCTGCTATTTTTAAATTTTTATAAAGATCACTTTTAATAGGTTCTGATATTGTATCAATTTCATCTTTTGATTTATTTAATTATTATGATTTTTTATCTATAATAATAGTAGAATCTTAAATGATTGATTCTTGTTAAATTAATTATGGAATATCATCACTATCATTCATTTCAGTATCTTTTTCTTTGATATCTTCATCTAATTATTACTATTAATAGATGTTTTGAAACTCTTCTTTTAATGTCATCATACCCATTCTATTGAAACTGGATTCTGAGGAAATAGAAGCAAACGAAGATTTATTCTTATGATGTTTTTTTATTTCACTATGAGTTTCCCATTTCTTCTCTGAATTCTTACTACTTATAATAGGAACCGCTGATTTAAAATACCATGGTTATTTATTAGATGTTAATTCATGATTTTTATTCTAATCTTCATCCGAACTAGATTATTTTACTTCATCATCTTCATTTAATTCAGAAAATGCTCTAAAATCATCATCATTCTATTTAGATATTTATCTTTATCGAATTTATTTCTCTCCCAAATTATGATGCGTCTTAAATCTAAATGCACCTGATGTCAATATTGGATCCAATTATTCTAAGTCTTATTATCTAGGAGAATTTAAACTAGAATCTTTCATATTTATTTAAGCTAATTCTTGTTTTATATAAATTAGTTAAGAAATACTTTCTAAAACCTCTTTATTAATATTATCTCTCTATATTTACAAATTCTCATATAATTCTTCAAGGTGCTCAAAATGAATTTAATTATGTTATACATGTATCTTCCAATTATGAATAATTACTGACAAAGTTTTCAAGTTTTGTCTTTCTGTTTTAACTTACTCCACTTTGATTTAATTAAACTAAGTCTTTTATTATTTTTGTTGATTTCATCATTCTATAATTGAAATTCAAACCATGCTATTGTAACTCATTTAATCTAATTAAATTGTTATCATATGTCTAACGTACCTAAACATTTATTATTTAATTGTTTACTTGTAAATAACTACTTTTTAATTAATCGTTTTACTATCTCAAAGAACTAGCCAATTTAGTAAACTCTATATTTTCCTCTTATAACAATACACATTTCTCCTTACACATCAATATTCCATCCTTAAGATCTTCAAATTAATGTTAATCTTATTCTCTTTTATTTTTATTCTCCAAAACCTTTTCTAAACTTATTAATTCCTATTCTCTTTAATCTAATTTCTAAAGCAATTACTCTCTTTACTCTCTAATATTATCCAAAATTTAGCCTTATGTCTACAATAACTGCTCTTGTTACACTTTCTCTTAACTTATTTTCAATATTCTTTAGCTAATCAAAGTTTGCTCGAATTCTATTTATTAAAACTTGCTTGAGTAAATTTTAAGAAACTACTAAAAAACCTCATCTAGTTATTAAGTTGGATTGTTATTCTATTCATACTTACCATTATATGATATTAGTATTTAAATCAAATTTTACTACCAACCTAAACTTAAGGGATTCATCTATTTAATTATTTTATTATTTTTTATTATTCATGTATACAAATAAATCATTATAATTATTATTTAATCATCAATTCTTTTCAGCATAACATTTCTTACTCTAAATCATATTTTTTAACTTATATACGTATACATCTTATCAAAAATTACTCTCCAACCTAAATCAAATTTAAAATTATTTACAATTCTATTAAATAAACCAGAAAATTCATAATATTTAAATCTACTAAATTCCTCTTTATTTATTTCAACTCTTCAATTATACTTTATAAGAATACAATTTATCTAAATAATAAAATCATAGGTGGTAATTTATTTTTATGAACAGTATATTATTTAAATGATTATATCAAAATTATAATTTTCTAGATCCACACATAATGCAGCATTTAAATATTATTTAAGGTTCTGTGTGATAAGAATTTTTAGACAATTACATTGATCTTTAAATTCCTGATTTAAATAAATGGGACAATCTATAGGAAAGTTCATTTATAATTATTTTTAAGTTTGCGAAAATCTATGCGTTTTTGATTTTTCTGAAATGACTTATTATAATTTCTAACTTTTGCCTGAATTGAAACGAAAACTTTATTGGCAATATTTTCACATTTATAAAAAATAAATTGGTATAATTCACTAATTTAATTACTCTCTTTTTATAAGTTCTATTATATCTAAACTTTCAATTCTTTACCCTTATTCTTAATTTTAGATTTATAATAAAGTTTCTACAAATATTTAAACACTTGTATTTATTGTATCTTCAGTTGAGGTTGTGTAATTTAGTAAATAATAGAGTTGCATAATATTATATATTTCTCTAACATAATTTATATATTTAAGAAAGGATTGAGAGAAAATCATGTAAGATTAATTATATATATAATTATTATAACTTATTGATAGCCTAGCAATCAATTTTTATATATAATAAATCATATCTTGCGAATCTCAAAAAGCTAAACTCTACTATTCTGTTTATATTGTAAGAGAGGATCAACATTTTGAGGATCTTTAATATGAAATGGTAATTCAGAGTAATATGTAATAGCCATTTTATATTCTCTACATAACTCTTGAACTTTTTCTTTTTCTTACAATTCCAATAATTAGGAGATATCACTATAAATTAAAATCAATCTTCCTTTAGTAGAATCAAGTGATTCAATTTATAAATATCTATTAGCAAATTCAAAGATTGACTTTAGCATAATACCATCTGGATCTGTTACTGTATTTTCAATAGAATCATCAATGCGTATTTTAGATGCTTGAATCCAAGGAGGATTAGCAATAATCAAATTGAATTTAGCAGGATATCTAATTATTAATAAAGATCTAATTACTTAAACACTGTTAATTGATATTATAATGTTTCAATATCTGTAATATCTCCAAGTTCTGCTGTATAATTTTTATATTCTAAACATTAAGCATTAATTTTAGCTGATTTGACTGCGTTTTCAATATTGTCTAATGAATAGATATTTATTTCTTTATCCTTAAGGCTTCTCAATAATACATCATTAGCAATAAATCCAAGAACACCAGTTCCACAACCCAAATCAATCACATTATAAAGAGAAGAATGAGTCCTATAAAATGGATTATTAATATTACACATCATGTATTTTAACTAATTTCTGCATATAGGAATGGAATAAAACTTAATATTATCTTTAAGTTGGAGGAAATACACCATACAAAGCATATATTTTTTTATAGTTTAAAAATTCTATTGCCACACCTTCTTTCTCATAATTATAAGCAGTAACAATTCCCTAATAAGCACTAAATGGTAATAGATAGCTATATTTTCGATATCCTATTTGACTAATGTTTTCTGGTTGCTCTTCTAAATGATATTTCAAATCTCCACATTCAGGTAATGTTCCTTGTATTCTTACTTCTCCATTATAACTCACAATTAAACACATTCTTGAAAGCATAAGTTTTTATTGATTCTAAATATGTCTATATAAATTAAATATGTCTTTTGGACCTTTACATTTTGAGAATGGATTACGAGGTCTTTTTGGAGTACCAAAAAATTACAAATCTATTTACTTTTTAGTTGCCTAATAAATTTCAATCGCATTCCTTAAATGCATCTTTTCACAATCAAATATAATCAATGAATTCATATCCTTTTTAAAAAGACTCTTAATGAAGTTTGATCCAACTCCATCTAATAAAAAATATGCATTTGTGATGCTCTCTAATTGCTTTTACTTTAAATATGGATTCCGTGTCATTTTTAGTAAACCATAGGCTGTATCAAATAGTCCATCTTAATAATGAATATTAACTGGTTCTATTTTAATTGAGGAACAAAAACTAAGCCTGATTAATCTATTTATCATAAATAAATTATTTAATATACTACAACATACAACAAATCAAACTAATATTTTGATTTATAACACTTTTTGCATTCAAATCAATGATTTTAACTCAAATGAATTTAACTTCTTTGATTTAGAATGTAAAATTAAATTATCATAAATAATTTTGTACAATAAATATTTGTTACGCATTATTCAGTTTACAACATCAATCAATAATATTTTTTATATTAATTTTCACTCACTTATTCATAAAATAAGTATACTAATTCAATCATCATTTTATATGTATAATCTATTTTAGAAAACATAGGAATACTATTACTTTGCATTTTAAAAATTTTTAAAAACAACATTTCTTAAAAAATTTTGATTATTTTTTTTATTATATCAATATTACTTAGAACAGCTTTGTTTAAATGAATATATAAACTCAGCAGATCACAATTACAAGTGAAAAAGTTTTAAAAACTTAAGGAGACAGTTCAGAAAATGTGATACCTGATTCTGACTAAGAAGAAAATTTGTAGAGTCCTTTTTATAAGGGAATACCATCCTCATAATCCAAACCTTTCAAACATATACGATTTAGTGGAACTAACTAAATATGTTATATTCCTAGAAAGGGCAAAAAAGATCTCTCCCCATCACCGACTAGAAAAAGTTCCTAATCAATTCAATCAATACTCAAAAATAAAGACAGAGTAAATAAATGATTTATAGTTTGTTTAAAATGATTTTTCATTAAATAACATATATATAATGGAGGTTAAATATAGAAAATATTGAATAAATAATTAAGAATTAAATAGATTCATTATTTAATAATTATTATAAATAATATAAGAGAAACAAAATGAAAGCAAAAATACAAGATGAGTTGCAGAAATAATAAAATAAAAAGACTTAGTTGAATATAATCTCATCCTTAAATTGATGTTTTTACAAGTTTTCTGTTTTTAGGAACAGATGTTTAATTTGATTTAATCATATTCTCATCTTCGTCTGACTATTTAAATTAAAAAATAAATTTACCATTTAAGAGTTCTTTAACTATAAAAAAATGGAGGATGTTTGAAGTTCTAAACGAAAGGCATTCTAAATAAATACTAATAAATGTAAATACCTATTTCATAGTCAAAAGACATGTTCCTAATTGAATTGGAGTTAGGCATTCCTTGAGTTATTCCCACATCTAATCTACTTTATTAGCTTCACCTTAAATCATTTTTAATTAAACTTTAATATTCTGTATACAACTAGAATTATATTTTATATATTTTATTACTCTGATATAGTATTTCTGACACTTTATAATTTAGATTTCATTTTTTTAACTTTTACAATTTATTCTGGTTTAATTTAAGTCTTTTTAAAAACATCCTTCATCCAATCAGTATAATCACTAATATAAGATCTTTAGTACTCAGATTATTAAGCAAAAAAGTCTTTATCCTTTTCTAATGAATAAATAAGGTATTTAGTTTAAATAGGTAGACATACTTCAACCATTGAATCAAAATATTATCTTGCAGCATCATTTCTTTCTTAACTATTTGAATTCGTTCTATATCTCAAAGCATCTAANTCAATATTACTTAGAACAGCTTTGTTTAAATGAATATATAAACTCAGCAGATCACAATTACAAGTGAAAAAGTTTTAAAAACTTAAGGAGACAGTTCAGAAAATGTGATACCTGATTCTGACTAAGAAGAAAATTTGTAGAGTCCTTTTTATAAGGGAATACCATCCTCATAATCCAAACCTTTCAAACATATACGATTTAGTGGAACTAACTAAATATGTTATATTCCTAGAAAGGGCAAAAAAGATCTCTCCCCATCACCGACTAGAAAAAGTTCCTAATCAATTCAATCAATACTCAAAAATAAAGACAGAGTAAATAAATGATTTATAGTTTGTTTAAAATGATTTTTCATTAAATAACATATATATAATGGAGGTTAAATATAGAAAATATTGAATAAATAATTAAGAATTAAATAGATTCATTATTTAATAATTATTATAAATAATATAAGAGAAACAAAATGAAAGCAAAAATACAAGATGAGTTGCAGAAATAATAAAATAAAAAGACTTAGTTGAATATAATCTCATCCTTAAATTGATGTTTTTACAAGTTTTCTGTTTTTAGGAACAGATGTTTAATTTGATTTAATCATATTCTCATCTTCGTCTGACTATTTAAATTAAAAAATAAATTTACCATTTAAGAGTTCTTTAACTATAAAAAAATGGAGGATGTTTGAAGTTCTAAACGAAAGGCATTCTAAATAAATACTAATAAATGTAAATACCTATTTCATAGTCAAAAGACATGTTCCTAATTGAATTGGAGTTAGGCATTCCTTGAGTTATTCCCACATCTAATCTACTTTATTAGCTTCACCTTAAATCATTTTTAATTAAACTTTAATATTCTGTATACAACTAGAATTATATTTTATATATTTTATTACTCTGATATAGTATTTCTGACACTTTATAATTTAGATTTCATTTTTTTAACTTTTACAATTTATTCTGGTTTAATTTAAGTCTTTTTAAAAACATCCTTCATCCAATCAGTATAATCACTAATATAAGATCTTTAGTACTCAGATTATTAAGCAAAAAAGTCTTTATCCTTTTCTAATGAATAAATAAGGTATTTAGTTTAAATAGGTAGACATACTTCAACCATTGAATCAAAATATTATCTTGCAGCATCATTTCTTTCTTAACTATTTGAATTCGTTCTATATCTCAAAGCATCTAACACCATAGAAATTTCTATGTCATCCTTATTTTTTAGTAAACAAGTTTCTAATTTATCAAATAATTATTATTATTAATCTAAGAAAGTTTAAAACTAGATGTAAATATTTTTAAAATACTTTTTCTTAAAATTTGTTATAAATTTCAGTATGTTTTGTTTAGTTTCGATTAGATTCTTTTACTTTGTCTAATTCATCTTAAAGTTCTTAGACTTTAGTTTCCAATAACTCATAATAAATTTTCTTTCTAGCTCTTGAATTTCTTGCAGATTCTCTATTTTTTGCTAACTTTTACTGTGCAGGATCTATGTTACCAATTGGACTTATTTGACTCGACTATAATTCATTAGATGAGTTATCAAAATGATCCCTTTAAATTAGAGGAGATTTTCTCTAAAGTTTTTATTAACTCTTCCTATTTGAATAAAGGTCTTATTTACGACAATCTAGGAGATGATTTATTTGCAAAATCTACTTTTTTTTAGTTCTATTCAACTAATTAAGTAATTTTATTGGTATATATGCTCTTTGCTTGATTAACATTGAACAAATTCTTATTCTCTTAAATTATGTTCGAATTTATAAGTTATTTAATTTCAGGTTTAAACTTTGAACTTATCTATTCACCTGATTCTAATTAAAATATATAAGTAACATATACCTATTTTCATATCAAATTCATGTGATGATTATTGGCTGCTTTTTATTCCGCCATCTAAAGAAGATTCCTTATGTTCTTTTGAGTCCTCTTAAATCTATTGTTAAATATTCAATCTCTCCATTCCTAACTCTTCAAATTGCATCTCAAAATCGCCACTATTTCTAAAGAAAACTCCTTTTTATATTTAAGTTTCTTAATATTCATATATTTAAATTGGAGCATTAACATCTTCTAGACCAATAGAAGAACGATATTATTCGGTTTAAACTATAAATCCTGAATTCTAAACAAAACTTCCACCTCCATTTGGACCAAAACTTTAATTATCTTAATGTAATTTTCCAAAGCTTGCTCCTAAACTAATTAGAATAATCATCAATTACATTACTTTTCATTAAAACTACCAAGACCACTTTAATTTTACTGAGAAATCTCACTTCTATTTTAAATAAAGAAATCACTCATTTCTATTATTATTATATATTAATTTTATAAAATTTTAGATTAATCAACAATTGATCATTTTTATGCTATTAAATCCTTATAAACTATCAGAGTTTTATAATAATCACTTTAAAAATAAAACAATTTAAAATTATCTATATTACTAAATAAAATACAAAATAATATACATTATCTAATTTTGATTAGAAAATTAAAGTAATGTTAAATTTAATAAGATGGAATTCTTCTAATTTATGCTTATAAAATGAAATATATATTATCATTATTCATGAAAAAAAAGTAGTTGTTACTTCAACTTCCTTATTATTTGAAGTTTAAATATTCTCGGTTTTTTAAGTTTTACTCAAAGAATTATTAAAATCAATAAGATTTTGTAATCTCTCTATTTATTTTTTTTTTTCCTAAAATATAAATTGGTAAATAAAACTTCTCTTATTTATGCTTTTTATTCTTTATTGAATTTCTTATGTTTTTCATTTCTTAATTTGATATATTCTTCTTTTCGTTTTTATTTAGCTCCAAACATACCAGATAGATATTCTTTTCTTTCTTTTTCATCAAAAACAGCTGCAGACTTTGTTCTGCTAATCTTTTTGAATTAATTTTTTTTAGTTGAAAAGTTTCTATTTTTATTTTTCTTCCCCATATTAAAAATATAAATATATATAATAATTTTCATAAAAATTGATTTGATTATTCACCTTAACCTTATTTAAAATCTAAGTCTTCAGGAATAACCATAAAATGTTTCATTTATTAAATATGTTATTTTCTAACAGTTTATGGTAATCCATTAATAATCCATGGATGAATTAAGGCTTTTTCTGGTGTCATTCTCTAATCTGGATTCCATCTTAGACAATTAATAACAAACTTAATTTAATAAATAATAGTTACATCTTAATATTAAGGATCTGCTTTTTATAAATGTTAATTAAGTGTCTTAATTCCTTATAATAAATCTTAATCCTTAATTTTATAATTAAGTTAATATTTTTCATCAAAAAATTTTGATTTTCTTGATCCTTATTCAATTAATTCTTTTGGAGGCATACCAATAATTTTAGTTTATAAAAATAGTAATTCTTTTTCTGATTTAGATTAAAATAATGATTCTCCAGTAAAGAGTTCAGCAATAATACATCCAAAACTCCACATATCAATTTAAGAAGTGTAATCTAATCCTAAAACAACTTCAGGAGCTCTATAAAATCTACTCTAAAAAATTTATATAAATTATAAATATACCTGTATATATGAGTATATTTTTTGATTATTGAAACAACTAGAACCAAAATCAATAATTCTAATACCAGATCTATTAAAATCTTTGAGGAGAATATTCTCAGGTTTTAAATCACAATGTATTATATTATATTCCTTTAAATAAAGAAGACCTTAAAGGATTTAGATTGCGAATCGTCTAATTAAATCGAGATCAAAACCAACGAAATCATTTATTGCTATGAATTCGTATAAATTACAACTTAAAAGCTCAAATACCATGCACTTCCTAAATTAATTTTTTTAAATTACGATATGACCACGAAATTCAAAATAATTTAACATTCTTATTAAACAACAAGAAACATCTGCTTTATTTACTATTTTTAGAATATCTATTTCAATTAAAGCTTATTTATAAAATTTGTCTTTATTCTTAATGATCTTCAATGCCACTTATTAATGATGTTTATGATCCATCACTTTAAAAACATAACCAAAACTACCATGTCCCAATTTCTCTAACATTTCATATCTATAGGCTATCTAGTCTTATTTTATGAATATGTAATCTCCACTAAACATATTTATCAAATAAGATATACTCTTATGTATCAAATCCATTGTTTAATTGTGTTTCAAGAAATTCTTTCTAATTCTATGTTATTTATTTTGGAGCTAAATAATATATATTTTCATAATCTATTATCTCCTTCTTTTCAAAATCATTTAAAGCATCACAATAATTTTATAATATAAATAAAGCTGTCTAAGGTAATTACCATTATTAATTTTATTTATCTAATTTTTCCATTAGAGGAATTATAGGAAAAGATTATTTTTGAGGTCTTTATTTTATATTCTGTGCAAGTTTGAGTTACAAAGAAATTATTTTTTATTTGTTTTTCTCTAATTAAAGCATTTTATCAGCAACACTCAAATTTGTATTTTAAAGAGAAACTTTGCTTTTCGAATTTACAATTTTACTATATTTTATATCAGGGCTTGTTTTTATATTTTATTTTGGTGATTAAGTTAAAATATTAGAATTTATTTATGTATTTATTCCTAAAGTATATATATTTCCAATTTACTTTTTGTTTAATCAAAGAATGTTGGTTTTTCTTATTCACTGCCTAACAAGGCTTTTAATTAATATTAATAAGACTTTTGAGTAACTCTTTTTGAAGAGTCCATATATTTTAATTCATCTTTGATATAATAATAATTTTATACTGTTATTGCTAATACTAATTGGTTTGCTGCTCTTTGTTGATTCTGGAGGGGATTTATAACTTTATCTCTGATTAACCCTACTTGTTATTGCTTGATGTTCTTTTAGAAGATGTCTTGAGTTTTATCGATTAAAATTGCTTTTGTAAGGACTTTTTCCTAAAACATCAAAACTGCTCATCTTGTTTTTTTAATCTTAAGTTTTGTGGATAATACTTGCTTTTGTTTTAGGTTAATTACTCGTCATGTTTAATAAGCTTAATTATTGCTTCATTCCTGTTTCACTTTTTTTATGATTAATAAAACTAATTTAATTCAAAAGTTAATTTCATTGAATAATAGATTTAATTTATTATATGATCGCATCCTCCCTTTTTATTTGAATGTACTGTACCAAAACAAATCAAAATACCTATCAAAAATAATACGTATTTCTCTATTTTCAATATTTATATTGAAATTTTAGTTATTCTATAGCTTATCAAGAATTATTAATATAAAGGATACAAACAAAATTATCTAAAATTATTTGGATTGAAAAAAAAATCAAAGTTTCTAACTTATTGATAATGATTAAGAATTTTCTTTAACATTTTATTATTTTAAGAAGCAAAACAAAATTTGCTAAGATTCGATTTATCCATAAAAGAAAATAAACAATTCTTGAAATATTCAGCTATAATAAAAAACTGAAAGACCTTGTTGAAATTTAATTGAATAACGTGAACTAAGAGAAAACTACTCTATATAAAATTTATAAATAAACAAAAGCAATATATTTTGGTAATTCACCATTAATAAGGAAATAGATTTAATTAAAGTTATATTTTCTTATATCATAAGATATGAAATTTAAGATAAATTAAAAACTTAAATTAGGAAAAGAATAAAAATGGACGCTCTTTCTTTTGAATTAAAATAAGAAGATTAATTAAAATAAGAAGATTAATTAAAATAAGAAGATTAATTAAAATAAGAAGATTAATTAAAATAAGAAGATTAATTAAAATAAGAAGATTAATTAAAATAAGAAGATTAATTAAAATAAGAAGATTAATTAAAATAAGAAGATTAATTAAAATAAGAAGATTAATTAAAATAAGAAGATTAATTAAAATAAGAAGATTAATTAAAATAAGAAGATTAATTAAAATAAGAAGATTAATTAAAATAAGAAGATTAATTAAAATAAGAAGATTAATTAAAATAAGAAGATTAATTAAAATAAGAAGATTAATTAAAATAAGAAGATTAATTAAAATAAGAAGATTAATTAAAATAAGAAGATTAATTAAAATAAGAAGATTAATTAAAATAAGAAGATTAATTAAAATAAGAAGATTAATTAAAATAAGAAGATTAATTAAAATAAGAAGATTAATTAAAATAAGAAGATTAATTAAAATAAGAAGATTAATTAAAATAAGAAGATTAATTAAAATAAGAAGATTAATTAAAATAAGAAGATTAATTAAAATAAGAAGATTAATTAAAATAAGAAGATTAATTAAAATAAGAAGATTAATTAAAATAAGAAGATTAATTAAAATAAGAAGATTAATTAAAATAAGAAGATTAATTAAAATAAGAAGATTAATTAAAATAAGAAGATTAATTAAAATAAGAAGATTAATTAAAATAAGAAGATTAATTAAAATAAGAAGATTAATTAAAATAAGAAGATTAATTAAAATAAGAAGATTAATTAAAATAAGAAGATTAATTAAAATAAGAAGATTAATTAAAATAAGAAGATTAATTAAAATAAGAAGATTAATTAAAATAAGAAGATTAATTAAAATAAGAAGATTAATTAAAATAAGAAGATTAATTAAAATAAGAAGATTAATTAAAATAAGAAGATTAATTAAAATAAGAAGATTAATTAAAATAAGAAGATTAATTAAAATAAGAATATTAATTAAAATAAGAAGATTAATTAAAAAATAGCTAAAATATTCAATAAAGATTTTGCAAATAAAATTAAAATGTAATTGAAGATTTATAAATAAAGATAAATTAATAACTAGAACATTTATAAATAGAGTTTGACTGAATATTATATATATAATATTGAATATCTAAGTAATAGTTTATTTGTATTATTGAGACTATAATTGAAGGAGATTGTTTAAAAACATAACATTTTATTCCTATAATTAATACAACTGATTCTGATTATTGGTTGAATAAGATTTATTTGAAGTAATATGTTGAAGAAATATAAGAAATTTATATAATATTAATAAATAGAATCAAAAATTGATTGTTAATATATAGATAATAAAAAAAATTAAAATTTATAAATACATTAAGTTTTGTTAATGGTTGATATAAACAATTTAGGAAAATTCTTCTAGATTTAGAAAATTTGAAAGATTGTAAATTTATATATTCTAGATAATTTTGAATAGTTCTAGAAAATTCTAGAATAATAAATTATTGAATTGAAATTGATTGGAATAGTAATGAGAATTAATTTAATGTTTCCATTTATTAGTAACATATTTAGATCAGATCTTCCACTTTTTATATTTGATGATATATTTGTTCCAGGACCAGGAATGAGAGTAGGTGTGCCAAGACCTCCTTACACAAATCAATAATATAAAGATTAAGTTCCTAAGGTATAAGTAATGGTAGTATAGTAGCCACCTAATTTATAGAAAATGTAAAGTGTGAAAAAATCATTAGGAGATTATTCAGAAACATAAGGGCAATATTGGTGTATATTAGGAGACATGTCATTTGAAAAGGGAGATTATACAAAAGCAATATAATATTATGACAGAGCAATATAATTGACAGACGGAACAGAAAGTTCTTTTTTTAGATCAAGAGGTTTGGCTTATAAAAAGATGGGTAATTTGGATTAGGTACAATTATGAGAGTATGATTTTAGGCTTACAAAGATGCAATAATGGCAATAGAGTTGGATGATAAAAATATTAAGGCTCATTTATTATGTGGATAGGTATTGGCAGAGAGAGGGAAAAAGTAGGAAAATACTCATGAGATAGAGACAGCAATTCATAGATTAACAAAGGCTAGGACTTTATGTGCAGGATAGAAGAAATAATATTATGAAGATGAATTGAGTAAATATATTTATAGAGCAAAAAAATTACTATGGTATAAGAACAAAGAGTTGGAGGATTAGAAAAAGAGATAAGCAATTAATAATTATACACAGTATTTATAATAGAGAGGAGATTTGAATGAAGAATAAAGAAAGAATGAATTAAATGCATTTATTAATTCTATTGGAAATCCAGATTAAAAATAGAATTACGATATTCCAAGTTATTTGATATGTAAAATAACATTTGTAATTAATATATTATATTATATAGGAAATGATGGAAAATCCAGTTGTGACAGATGCAGGTCAAACATATGAGAGAGATATGTTAATAGAGGCAATATAGAAAAATGGACCAGTTGATCCATGTACTAGATAACCTATAAGTGGTGAATTCTATCCTAATCACAATATTAAATAAGCAACATAAGATTTCCTACTTAATAATCCTTGGGCCTTTGAATTCTAATAGGGTGAAAATTATGATGATATTGAATTTTGATTATAATTGATTGTAAATTATAATCCGTTTTTATTATAATTAATAAATGAGAGTAAGTATATTGTTATTAACATTTTTGACAATAGGAACAATAGCTTAAGATAATGAAGTTGTAATCTAATTATTAGCTGAATTAAGATAAGAGGCTTTTGAACAATTATAATTATTAGATATAAGATTTTAACCAATAAAATAGGCAAAGTTAGATTAAATAGCAGTGATATAATAAGCAATATCTGAATAAAAAGGAGAGTGTTATAATAGAGAGTAAGATGTATGATATAATAATAAATATATAGGTAGTAAATAAACAGACAGAAATAGATTTAGCAAATGATTATAAGAATTGGATGAAATCTCGATAAGAAAGTAATAATAATAGAATTGGAACATTATCTACAAATGTATGTGAGAAAAATAATAATTCTTTGAATAAAGTAAAGAATGCAAGAGTGTTATTAAGATTGATTGCATATTTGAGAGTAACATTATAGGCTTAATTATCAACTTCATTTGCTGAAGTAAAAGAGAACACTATATCAGAAATATCACATATTGTATCAGCTTACAAAGAGTATAGAAAGATGAATATGCTATAAATGAAATAGGAGGATTTTGAGTTGAATGGAACAATTGAATAATTGATAGAGTTATTAAATTAAATGGAGAGAGAAATATAAGATGATGTTGCAAATGGATAGAATGGTTAAGTCTAGATTGGAGTGACATTCTCAGAATTCAAAGTTAGAATTGAAAAGGAGAATGATATATTCAATAGACAAATAGAAGTCTAGGATGATCTAATCACTGTATCCATATATTCTGAATATGTAGCATTTCTAAAATTAATTGACTACTTTATATGGTCGAGTTGACAAATGTTAAGCTAGATTGAAGGAAATAGAATATACATTATTAGTAGCAGAGGAAGATTTAAAGTATGATTAAGAATGGGTTGATGAAGATAGATAAAGATTGGAAGAAGAAATTGAATTGTTTGATTGGTTAATTAAACATTATTAAACAGGCAATTTTGAGGAAGATAATGATAATCATGTTGATGATACATAAAATGGTGTTAATTAATTAAATGGATAAGTATATAGATTTGATTCGAAGTTAGGGTCAAAATGCAAATGACAGAGATGGAGTAATTGATTATACACCATTAAAAGAATAATCAAATGCTTGGGCTTCATCAGAAGAAGAATCAAATGATGGAAATTAAGATAATTAATCTAATCATTCAGATTCAGATGATTAAGATAGAGGTGATGTAATTGATTATACACCATATGAAGAAAAAGATGTAGATTGGGATTCTTTGTTATAAAAATAATCAAAAAAGACTCATCATAAATTAAAATAAAATACTCATAAATGATTTATAAATAATACAATAAAACTAGTTCCGTATATAATGGAAATTCTATTCTATATATTATCAGTTCCGGTATAGTCTAGTGGTTAGGATATCAGGTTCTCACCCTGGGGACCCGGGTTCAATCCCCGGTATCGGAATAATTTTTTATTTTTTATTGTTCTTAAAAAAATATACTTTTAATTTCTTCTTAATGGTTTTTGAAAATTTATTTTTATGAATTAAACTTGGAGATAAAAGTTTGAGAAAGATAAATAATATCCCAGACACCCTATGGCTCATAAAAATGGTAATTCACATTTTCAATATTTGAAGGTGGTGTTCATATGAATTAAGAAGATGATACCAAACTTTTTTAGATTGCAGGAGCAATGATTAAATAAATAGGTTCAAAAATAGCAAAAGGAGATTTCAATTTAGCTACTATTACAAAACCTATATGTCTAACCGCACCTAAAACAGCTAATGAATGTTTGACATTGTATTTTGTTATTAATATGCAATAAGTGATCATGACTATACTAACTTATATTTAACAGAGGCAGCTAAATGCAAAGATCCTCTATAAAGAATGTAGTTAGTTGTAACAAATGAAATTGCATATCTACATGGAACACATACTTATTTGAGATCATTAGCACCTATTGATCCTATGATTGGAGAAACATGTTAAAAAGTAAAAGAAGATGGGACTGGGTTTTATTGTGAATTTATTAAGTCTGATCCTCCAACAACATTATATTAAATTTATGGGAATGGTTGGTAAATCTATGGTTCAGAAGAGGTTTTGGCAGAAATACATCCAACATTTACATAGATAATTGGCAAAAATCTGAAACCAAAATATATAAAATTTGCAGATGGAAAAGTTTATGAAATAAAAGTACCTGCAATGATAATAAATGGATTAATGAAAGGAGATCGAATTTTGAATAAATTAGATAGTTTTACAATAAAATGTGTATAAGATAAATTGGTTGCATAAATAAATTTCAGTTATGTATATGAAGGTAGTGCTTAAAAAATAAAAAATAAATTAATGTTCTGGTCTTAATAATAGAAACCTCTTTCAGATTTGGTTGATGTAAAAATAAATAAATTAATTAATGTAATAAATAATATTATTAAAAAGACTGATGAAGATGATGAAGATTAGGTATTCACTTTATCAAAAGGATCAGGATCATGGTTATCTCATTTTGAGATGGATGGTGAAATATTATGGAGAATAGATGATCCAATATAACCATGGAAGGAACCTTAATGTATATTACCAAGTGATTCTATATATAGAGAAGATAAAGCATTGATGTTAAAAGGAGATGATGAAGCAGCTTAAAGGTATAATTATTTTATAAATAATACAAGTTCTCGTAATAAAATTGAAGAACTTGGATTGAAAGATTAAAACTTAAGAAAAAAAAGAAAATGAAATATTTGATAAAATGTAAAAAGTAAGATTAATTCTAATTATATTATCATTAAATGAAAATTATGTTTCTTATATGTATTGATTTTCAGTGTTATTCACTTTTGGTAATTTTTATTTTTATAAAATAAATTGATATAATGGGCAATTGTGTTACTAACAGAACAAAAATGTAAACTAACCTTGAGAAACCTTAAAAGATGTACATTCATTAAGCCTTTGTGAGACAAACACTTACAAATCCAGAGTATAGTTTATAATGAAAGTTTTTAGATCTCGTAAATAGATGTTGTTATTTGAAGAAAATTTTATTGAAATGTTTGATGAAAGTCCTACTTTTGGTTAAAGCATGTATTGGTTTTTACTAGGTCTATAAAACAATGAATAGAAAGGTATTGAATATGAAACAATGTTGCAAATATCAGAAGTCTTTATTTTAGGCAAATCAGAAAATGAAATTTTAAGATTACCAAACAGAGTTTCACTAATTTTATTAATAGTCTCATTGTATGGCAATCTAAATATTAAAGATGCAATCAAATAATTTGCATCTTTAGAAATTACTTATTTATAGACAGCTAGATGTATGCAAGTGTTTGTTAATATGATGTTAAGAAAACAGAATCTTAATGAATAACCTATCAAAGCATTTGTAGATGCTATTTTCTAAAAAGTTAATGGTAATGTTCCTATCTTGCAGTTAATTAAATTTTTTGATAATTACATGACATAATTAGAAGAAATTGTAGAGGATTATTATTACAATAAATTTTTAGGAGAATAGAAATTATTTCGTAATCCTTAATTATAACATCCATCTCATATTATTAATTAAGAATGGATAGCATTTATGTATTTGAGTTTCATGCACAAAGATTGTAATAAATTGGAACTTCTTTATTCTACAAATGTTCATGAAAGAAACTTTGAATTATTATCTCATCTTCTCATTGAATGTTAATCTAGTGTTTTATTTTTAATTTAATGTGATGAAGGAAATCGTAAATATACTTTTGGAGCATATACTAATTTTGAATGGAAAGATGATGCTCAACCTAATGGTAGTAAAGAAGATTGCGTATTTTAAATGTTCCCTTTATTTAAAGTTTATAAAACTAAAAATGATAAATTCACTAGATCATAGTGTACCTATTTAAATTCTAAAAATTCAGAATTAAAATAAGGAATTGGATTTGGAGGTGAATTAGCTAAAGAATTTAGAATTTTTCTCAACTAAGATCTTTTAAGTGTTTAATGTAAAAATCATGATAAAACTTATGAACCTGGAGAATTAATGCCTATAAAATAAGCCAAAGTATCTATTTTAGAAGTTTGGACCATTTAATAGATTTAAGGTACTACATAATTTAAAGATCTTATTTATTAAAAAATAGAAGAATAAATTGAATTGGAAGAATTTGAAAACCCATTAGTTCATTTAGATGAAGATATCAGTTCTTATAGATCTGGTGATCATCCTTCACTAAGTGGTTCTATTGATTAATTAAAGGAGAAAGATTCATGTGATTGGGATGGAGAAAGTTAAAATGGATTTGAAGAAGAGATCATAATTAGAGGAGATGGATTTGAAGAAGTTAAGAAAAATGAGTAAGGATTTGAAGTAATTCCTTTGAATGAAACTAGCGTAAATAATTTGAAGTATATTTATTTATAGGTCAATAAAAAAAGTACAAAAGTGTAAAATAAAGAATAGTAATATTAACAACTTGAAAATGAAGATAATCAATTCGAAGAAGTTTTGATTAAAAAATCTGATTCTTTGGATTCTTCTGCACTTCAAATGGTTTATAATGTGGTTTCAGGAACATTTGGTTAAGTTGAATCTGATGATAAGTATAATTATTATAAATCAAAAGTTGGAATGGGGATAATTCCGATTGGAAAGGAAATGGATCCAATTAAAGTAAGTCAAGTCGAGTTTAATTGAGTAAAGATTTAGCTACAATCACTGAGGATCTTAAGGAATCTACAAATACATAATATTGATTATATTTAAAAATATATTTAATACTAAAGTTTTTAAAAATTAATTTATTCATTTTACAGCTATTAGTTTTTGATATGATATTTTATATTCTTCGTATTCTTAAATTAAAAAATCCCAATTTTAAAGCTACTTATATTTTAATTCCTTTACTTAGTTATTAGTATAGCATCTCATATTATCCAAATAATATTGAATTTCATTAAGTAACTTATCTGTTTCTATTAGAAATTACTACTCATATTATTCGTTAAATTTATTTAGCATATAAATATATTAATCTCTTTTTTCATCTACATAATATGTGTCTTTTGGTAACATAATTTCTTTCGCATATTTCAAATCAGTATAACACTTATTTATATCAACTTTTTCTTATTATTCTTAATTCAAACCCCATTTTTATAAATCTTCTATTTATGAATAGTTCTTATATTTACTTATTAAAAATAAATCTTCTTTACGTTTTTCAAGGAGATGGAATTCATTTGAATAATTTTAAAATGTTTCAAATAGATTTGATTTCAATTCAGTTAATTATTATCTAGAATTCTTAAACTTAACTAAAGTTATTAATAACACATCCATAATTTATTTTGTTGATCTTAGAACAAAATCTTTTTGAGTTTGCTATCTAAATAGTGGATTCAAATTACAAAATAAGATTTAATCATACACAAAGCTTTTCCAAATTCTTAGGCTTCAACATATGATGGAAGAGAATTACATAATTATTACATCATTTCTATAGAGTAACCAAGACTTTATTAACCTTTATATGTGTATTCAGCAAATTGTTCCAAATACTTTTGGATAATTTCATAATTAGTTTATTCTCCATTTAAATAGGTTTAATAGTCTTTATATTTTTAATATTGATTTTGATTGAATTAAAAAGTAAGAGTTCCAGTTTTAGATTGTTTTTAACTTAAATTGTATTATTTTTAAAGAGACTGTTCTTTATAAAATTTCAATTAGAATTGTTTGGAATTCTCTTCATTTAAAAAGAGTAAACTAGAGAAGAGGGTTCTAACAATAGGTTTTTTGTTGTAAATTTAAAGGAAAGCCTAGATTAGATAAGGAAATTTACATTTAAGACTTTGATGATATTTTATTATTCCATCATAATAATATCATAGTCGTTGATATCATTATATGGAAATGAAGGAATCTAAATAAAAATAATTATAATAGTTTACAATGTATTCTGGGAAAGCAGCTGAGAATATGTTTCTGAGTTGAATGAAATCTTAAAGAGTTCTTTTAACTTTCCATTACATAGGGAAGATTTGAATTGGAAATACTATGGTTTTAGAAAAGAAATCTAATATGCCACCTCCTTCTTGTATGGGACTTTATAGTTATTAGAATGAAATACGGACTGATATCAAATTAGAGTTAGATGTTTTCATCAATGAAAAAATACATTTATTTACAATTGATGGTCTTTTCAAAAGGAATTATTTAAATTTTATCAGTCTAAAATAAAATAATAGAAATGAAATACAATTTTGATGGATTCTAAGGTTTATTTTTAGACAAAAGTATCTCTGTCAATAATTTGAATTTAATCAGAAATATCTGGAGAATCAAGTTCGACTAATTGGTATGAATTGAAGTTTTGTTCTTTTCCTGTAGAATAATGAGAATGGAATACTATCTTGTTGATATTGTTAAATGATTTTTTCTAATTCTTAATAAGACCATTAACTTAAATCTTAGCCTAGAAAATAATATAGAATTTGAACCTTTTTTGGGTTCTTTAAGGAGAACATAGTCTTCAAAATCATCTTGATTATAGCCTTTGGAAATGATTTCATCAACTAATAACTATTACTCCTTTGTAAATGTTTAATTCATAATTAATAAATCAAAATCCGTATTAAATTTTTTTATCATAGAATGTCTTATAGATTTAGCTATTAAATAAAATAGCGAAAACAGCAGCCATAAAAGGAGCACATGTGAATACCCATAAGAATCCAAATCTTCCCCAAGAACCATCTTAAATACATTCAAATAATTCCAAACTATAAATATTATAAAAGGAATACCTAAATGCAAATGCTGGATTAAAAAGTGATTATCCTTTAGATGATAAAACACGTGCTGCACCAAATCCTAAAGTGATAACAAGAGCATGTTCTAATTTATCATCTGTAAATTTCAAATAATCATCATATTATAATACTATAATAATCATAAATATAATTGAACCAAACATTTCACCTTCAACAGACTAAATACTTAATAAATATATTTTAATACTCCAATTAAATTATCACCAATCTTTGCATCTAAATATGGAGCATTTGTGAAATCTTATAAAACAAAGAAACAAACCATTGCACCTAATAAACTACCACCAACTTAACCTAATACATTAAACATAAATTCTTAAAATCCTATTCTAACATATAATAAATCAATAAAACTAACAGCTGGATTAAATACAGTCAAACGATCTGTCATTAAAATACTTAAAAATAATATGACTAATATTGCCATATTATTGCCTCCTGATGACAATATTCCATATGTAAATATGAATGATCCAATTGATGCTATTAATGTTGATTTTATTATTGTCTATTTTTCTAAATGAGTTTCTGATAATTATCCAACTGATGGAGATGATTCAAATCTTGTATAATTTGCTTATGATTCTCCTTCAGCATTCAAATCACTTTCAAACCTTTACATATTTATATTTTATTTATAATAATTCCATAAAAACATAAATCAAAACCATCTTTTCACCCATTATTTTACTTTCTCCTCTCCTCCTAATAAACTTTTCGAAATTGCTATCAATCTATCACATTTCGAATCAATCATTCCATTACTATAAACTATATCTTTCAATTTCTGTATGAATTAATCAACTTAATCTTTACATCCTAATTACCAAAATAACACATTCAAATATTCTTCTAAACTATTAATATTTATTATTATATTATTACTCCTAATTCAATATCCCAATTATTGTTGCTGTAAATGTAGGTATTAAATATCCATTTAAATTCACCTCTCCAATTAAATACTCTATATTTCTTGAATATCTTATCGCAAATGGATCATAAAGAATTAATTTCTAATCAATCACTTTAAATATTTATTTTTTCTAAAAGAAATTACCATTACTCAAATTTAATTACAAATTCTCCAACTGTTTAGGGGATTAACTGTTCCCTACTGTAAAACTTAGAGCATATTATACTCCAATATTTGTTACAATCACCTTCCTCAAATATACAAAAGTATCAATTGTCTTTGTAAATTTTTATATGTAATTACTCAGATCTTGCTTCTATATATAATTCTCGCTCTTTTCCCTATTGAATAATTAAATATTTTATTTACATGTAATATGGAACACTCACTTTACTATCTTTATTACTACTATTTTAATAATTCAAAGATACAATTAAATCTGATATATTACTCAAATTATAGGTTTCCTCCTGATAAGCCTCTATTTAATATATCTATTTCTCATTTTCTAATAAATATTTCTCTGTCTAAAAATGTTTTATATTTCTAATCTTTGTTTCTTTGTAATTTTAATTAAATAAATTTGTTATCTTCAAAAATTAAAAAGTTATATGCTCATCCAATATATTTTGAATAACCCTTTTTGTTTCTACCTTCTTTGTTTTCAAAAGGAAAAAGTATTTCTTTTCATCATTACCTAATAAAGCAATTTATCTTATCAATCTCTTTCTTCTTTAAAACATTATATTAACAGTTGGGAATATACTTTTTATATACACATTCTCAAATGATTAATTCCTCTTCAATTATCCTTCCTATCCTAACATAGGAATTTAATTCATTTAAAATTCATCATTCAATTCATATAACTATGTTATTTAAATTTATTTTGGAATTAAAGAATTTAATGCATGGCTTAATTATTGAGAAAATTCTTCTTATTAATTAATTTACAAACCAAATAATTTACCATAAATTAGTTTTAATGAAGCAATATAAATTGATGTGATTGCTTTTAATTAATCAATTTAAATCCATTTCTGAAGATCATTAACAGGTAAAAATTATTTCAAATATTCCTTCGTTTAATAATATTTTTGAATTAAATTTACTATTTACAAACATATCTCATTAATGTTGACAGAATTTTATTCAAAATACTTTTAATCCAATACTTTTCCACATAAATAAATTAATTCTTCTAAAGTATCCCAAATTGATGAATCATATTTATTATGAAAAAGATATGACAATGAATAGATGTTAGCTATTTTATTACTTAATTTAGAAGAGTTTTAAAAATGATCAACAAATTATAATGTTCTATCATCAGTGATAAGACCTAAACTTTTCATATATTGAATAATTTGAAGATTGTTTAAAGGATTATATTTACACAATTTATTTATGGCTTCCAAACAATCATTTTTAACTTAATCGGAAGGGGTTCTTAAAAATGTTGATATAAATTATATCAAGAATCTCTATAACAAATGCATAGGAATAAGAGGAATCACTTATGAGAAGGCATCTATAACAATTGAGTCTGTGGGATTGGTTACATTTAATATATGAAACATATACATTCCATTTATGGGAAATTTCTATGGTTTATATTGAATACTAATAGAAGTAACCTATATATAATTTTGGGCAAACTTTATGTTATTACTGTATTTTTTATGAGCTAATTGATAAACTTTTTAGGCTTCTTTCCAGAATTTCTAATAATTAATTTAGTTTTGGATAAAATATTAATTAGTTTGGCTTACCATCTATTCTAATTTTGGTTCTTCAGTTTGCATATAATTATTAATGTTATTGGATTATTCAAACTGTTATTGATCCAATCTGAGGAATTTATAACATTGATTAATCATTTTTAATCTTCTTATTTTACTAATCATATAAGATTTAAGTTCTTCTGAACTGTAAGTACTAAATTATTAAATGTTTAAATAATTTAAAATATCTGTCAATTATTGATTATTTTAGTCTATATCCTAAATTTTCATTGTTTTGAATTTGATTCTTTCTAATTGATATAATTTTGCAGCAAATACTTATAATGGTTTTGGTACTTCTTTTAATATAGTTTATTCATCAAACAATTCAGAAATTCCATTCTATTAATAATATCTGATAGGAAATAAAAGAGTTTTATAATCTAACATAGAAAGTTGAAAGCTTTTTAAATCCAAAGTATTATTGGTGGTTAATTATTGTTATCCATTTATAAATTAACTTAATTAGGTATTGAAACGTTGGAGACACATTTATAATTGTATCATTCTTTAACTAATAATATCAAATATGAATTCTTGTTAATCAGTATTAGTAGGTTATCTTTCAAAAAGATATTTCTTACAAAATAAACTGGATTAATAACCATTAAATATTTAATCTAGAAGATTTTCATAAGCAGTTTGTTGTTAATTTGGATAAGAAGGAGTACTGTTTGTATATTATTTTAGACTTTCTTCCAATTCAGTATAAAGTTGGAATTGAGATACAAAATTTAGGAATTTAAATCCCCATAATTAAGGTGATGACATCATTTAATCATAAGATTAACTTAATTTAGGTAAGGTTTTTATAAAATTATAGCAATTGATGATCTAAGCATATTTAAGATTTTATTCAATTGATTACAATACATGATTATTATTTCGAACATGTTAGTTTTATTAAGATTCTTCGGTTACAAAATCAAGCAATTTAAAGTAAGCCTGATTATAACAATAAATATCATTTTGATGTACATTTTATTTAATTTCTGATAGGATATTCAATTCTTTCCATCCTTAATCTGTTGATTCTCTTTGTCTTTCCCTAAATCCAATAATAATTTTATTTTAGACTGACTAAACTTTACTTAAATCAACTTATTTCAAAGTATTCCATTGATTGAGTTATTATAAGGATTCAGTGAATAAGTGATGAATAATTTATGAATCATATTCTTTTTAAATTCCGTAAGCTTCATGAGTATCTTATTCCAATAAGTACCAGAATTGATCTACATATTCTTAATTATTGAGTATTAATTAATATGATTAAGCTGGTTCTCTTAATTAATTGATTAAGATTAATTATTTAACCCAAGGTTAAGTGGCAGTGAGAGATTTACATCCTAATAAACCTTATTTATTCCATAAGTCTGAATATACACCTTATAATTAAACAATTATGTCTTCATATAAAAGAGAATAGTATTCAGAATCCGCACTTAGATATTGAAATATCTATTCTAATAAAAACTATGCTAATGGTAATTAATTCTTTTATCTTAGACAAGTAATCAGATTATTGAAATTAAGTTACATCTATTGGTTATCTAAAACTTAATGAATGTTCTTAATCTAGTTTAGAATATCTTGAACTAAGTAATTTGATATAGTAGTCAAGGTTCCATATGATAGAGATTATTGTTGAAGGTATTCTGTAAGTTGAGTGATTGTTTTGACATCATTCGTGATTATTTGATTGAATATTGGTCGTAGTAATCTACTACTAACATTGGCTGCTGTACCCATCAATTCTATTGCAGCACTAGGTATTATACATTCTCTAAGAGGTTATTAAGCTTAATCTTATATTGGAATAAAAGAAAGATTGTAAATAACAATTGATGGTAAATACTCACTTGTCACTAATTTTATACATGAATTATATAATTTTAACCATTATTTCTTTCTATAATATATAGACAAATATTTGTTTAGTACTTACTCTCTCATATTTGAATCTTCACTTTCAGGTACAAGTTAAACAGTAATTTTATTTGGTTATTAAAGTTAAAATTATGTAGGCTATTTGAAAGAGCCTCTTCCTAATATTAAATATTTTATAGCCATTAACATAATCTCTTCTCCCTCAGTTTGTAAAGGTTGATCTTATTGTTTAATTGTCTAATCTCCTAGTAAGAATTATAAAAATCTATCGTATGTGTAACCATAGATGTCTAATATCATTTTATAGAAGAATTATTAATAATCTAAACAAGTGCTTAGCTTACTAATCACTTAAAGTATACGTCTGAATTCTTTTAATGAACTATTCCTTTTATCAAAGATACTTTTTAATACATAAAATCCACTATTTATTGATCCTTGTTATTTTTTGAATGGATAAACTAACAATAATTCACATAAGAACATAAAATACAATTTGAGTACTTTTAAATCTTGTACTTTACCATGATTATTATCATAACTATCTGAACTACGTTAATCAATTTTTTTGTCAAATAAATTTTGGAGCCTATTTAAATCAAAGAAGAAATTCAATTAAACTTCATATGACATTTTAGATGATTTAAATAGTTAATTCTCTTCCATCATTTATAATTCTGATCTGACTTATTGAGATCTAATAGGTGACAAATAATTTGATATTGCAATTAAATAACCTTCTTTATTACTTATACCATTTATAAATAATAAACGCATTATTGAAATACATTCTAATTTAATTTCATAATCAGCAACTGATTCAATTATGAATATTAATACTTATAAAAATTCTAATTATTCTCCTTAATCTTTTATTTCATCAAAGTTATAAGCTATCATTTTTATTGTCTTTTGTAAAGCTGATCTATGCAAATGAAACTTTATTTTTTAATTATCTGGAAAATCTTCTGGAAAATAAAGCATTTCATCGCTCTTTTTTATTCCAAATGGAAAATCATCACTCATTTTATTAAAATCTGCAATATATTATGTAAGATCAGCATTAGTATATTATTTATAGGTATTTCCATCTTAATTATTACTTTCTCTAAGATTAAATTATCTTTTAGGAATAACATATTTTTATAGATTTTCAAGATATTAATCTCCCTTATCTTTGGATTTTAAATAATCAATCAACATTTCTGCAATTCTCTTTAAGGCTGGTAATAATGGTTTAGCATAATAAATATCATGATTAAAGAATAATTTCATCAAAAAGATCGACAATATATTAACCTTAACTATTTAGTTATTTATTCTTGATCCCATATATTATGTAGTAGTTGGTTAATTATTCTTTTTAAATTAAGGATGTGCTTAGATATTCTCTTTAACCCAAATAGATAAAGTATTTTAAAATGATTCACTTTATTCGTTCTATTACTCTTTAGCAACTTTTAAAAGTTTTTGAAATATACTATAAATACTAAATACTAATGGAGCATAATCTTAAGTTAATGTATTCAAGTGTTACTATTTTCTATCATTTGGAATTTATTAACAGGGTATTCTCTATTATTAATTAATTGGTCTAATCTAAGCAGGTGGCATTCTAGCAGCATTTTGTCTAGGAGCAATCTATTATTATAGTTGATCTTGTAATTAATTCAAATTGAAAATTATATCTAAATATGGTTAAAATAGTTAAGGTATTTTCTATGGTTATTGAAACTCTGCTATAATCATTAATATATGTAGAACAATCATAAAATATCTAAAATAAGACATTGCTGTTGGCTATTATTGAATTACTCTTTAATTTTAATTAGCTTATGTTATTTCTATTATTTAATTCAAATGATTTACTACATTCTTTTTTAAAGTCTCCATATTCATCTTTTGATTAGTAAGTGGAGCTATAATTAATATTTTCTTAAGTAAATATAATGCTCTTTTTGAGAGTTCTGAATCCTCTATACTATATGCTTTTAAAGATTATTTAATAAAAAATGATTGATAGATTTCACTAGATAAAGCTTCATCATGATGTTAAGGTTCACTCTAATAAAATGATTCTTTGAATTTCTAAGATTTCTGTACAATTTCAGCTTTAATTAATTTAGTCTTCCATTCAACTTACAAAAAAGCCATGTCTAGAGCTATGCGTCTATAATTCTAATAGTTTGGAGTCAATAATGCTGCAGTATTCTAATTTTAATTATAGAATCCAATTTATTACATAGAATTTATAATATGTATTGTAAATGCTTCATGATGTTTTTAGAATATTTTATGATTCTTAACAAACATTGACCAAAATCTACTGACCTTTTGAGCTGATTCTTAATCTAAACTTTATTCTTATTTCAACAATTATGAAGTTGCTTGAATCCAATCTCTTTAATCATGTATATCCACTTCATCTAATGATGGTAATACAACACTTATTATTTTCTTACATAAACTATATAATTCTTACTCTGACTATCCACTTTCATCTAACTATTTAATAGCTCTTGTATATATTTTAACTATTCTCTTATTAACAGATTAGGGATCATTTTGAATTAATTAATTTTTCTTCAAATATTTACTAAAGTATAGATTTGCATAAAAGGCCACTAATTTATCTGATTTATTGATCATATCATAACCAAAAGATAGATAAAACATTTTCAAGTCTTATGGTAGTAATTATTCTTAGAAACAAATCAGATATGAACTAATTTACAACATATCAATGATAGTTGATTTATAATAATGATTCACATCTGAAAGTTTAGAGGTTAAACCATTTATAAGTTTATATGTGAAATTCATAGGGGCATTATGTTCAATATCACTTAGAATTTTACTATACTATCTAACTAAATCATCATTGATTTCTTTAATTTTTTAGAACAATTAGAGTTAGCTAATTTGTGCTAAATCCTTTCTTTGATTAGAATAATATAGTATTGGATATATTACATAATATCCAATTGTCATTTAAACTTAATTAGTTGATTCATCTTCAACATATTTAAAATTATCCATCCAAATTTCAATGATTCTCTATCTAAGTTAAATAGATTAATTCTTAGCTACATCAATTACCCATCTCTTAACTTTATCTTAACTAGAGTAAAGTATCAACTTCAGCATTCCTTATATAGCAGATTTGCTATCTTAATTTTGAGTTATGTATTACTTTAACATACTACAATATCTATTTAGTAGACTATTGATTTGTTAATTAGATAGTGTTAATTGATTATAAGCAAATTGTAATGGATTATTAAACATACTTCTATTTTGATTATTGATCTTTTATCGTTCGATATAATCTTTAATATTGTTGAGTATGCAATTATCAAGTATTTAGGTATTTCTTTTCAGACAGGAAGGATTACGTTTACATAATTAGTAACCAAATTGTACTATTTCTATTTTAATCTCACTTATCACATTGATCACCTTCTGTATATAAGATTGATGAAAACATTATAGTTATTCTGATGTTGGTTATGTTTAATTATTTAAAAGTCCCTTCTCTAATGAACTACTTAACTCTTCAATTATTTTATTAAAACGTTCCATTCTTTGAGATAATTAAGTCTTTTCTCGACATAATTTTTCTCTTATAGGATAAGCAGTTGGTTCTGATATTAATTATCTAATTGTTTTTATATATTATAATCTTTCTGTAAGTTATTCTTATAGATTTTTTATAGATCCTTAATTTTACAATAATTAATTCACATTTTCTAAATGTTTTTGAAATTGTACTATTTAAGCAACAGAAAATGGAGATTAAAATACATCAAAATGATTTGCTGCCAATGTATTTAAAAATTTAACTAAAGGTTTATCTATTGATTGATTCAATTATTATTCTGAAATTTTGAAAATGTAATTTCTTCTTAATGTGTTTGTATCTTAAATGATCTTTTACACTATGTTATAATTCAAAGGCCCATTTGCTGGATTTGTCAATTAAGAAGTTAAATGTTAAAATAACTTTAATAATCCAGAGATGATACCCATCTAAAAATTCAATGATTCTTATGATTATTATTATTACTATTATTATGAGAATGACCATTCCAAAGTTGTACACATCTAATTAGTATTTTGAAGTTATTAAAAATTATCTAATACTATCTTTTAAAGATGAGCTTATAGTTTATCAGACAAGGTTCTATGAAATACTTTGCTGAATATTTTTAATATCAATTTCAATGATTTTAAGAATGATGGTACATAATGAAATATTTCTGATTATACACAGGTTAATAAAGGTTTCATTACTTTTTTTAATCTATCTTCATTTTCAAAATAAGTCTTATCATTTTACAGACCTTCTTATTAAAGAAGTTCTTATAAATATTTATAACTTGATTGTCTAATACTTTATTCAACTCTCAACAATCCTTCATATAAGATTTCAACAGTCTTATATTTCATTGATAAAATAGAAGGTTTCATTAGAATGTTTTTATCTATCGATTTTTGTAAATATCTTTAAATAGTAAAAATGTAATTGACAGTTGCCAGTTACTTCAGAAATCCAAAAACAGCAACAATCATATAACTCTACCATTTGATTTCAAAATCAATGTCTTCAATATTGATCTTAAAATCTAAATCATCTAATGCATGTGATACATTGATTTATGTTAATTAGGATTCATCTCCATTTAATATTAATTTAGAATGTCTAGAATATTGATCCTCATTTTATTATATGATTTTATATGATCTTTTTATATATTCTTCTATACTTGATTCTAAATGAGGTTCTTGATTAAGAGTCACCATTTTAAACAGATGATATTAATTTTATTTATATAATCCATACTTTCTAAGTAAATAAGCAAAAATTCTATAACCATTAGCATAATTCTAAGCAATAATATCTGACATCTTTTATTCTTCACATAATTTATTAATAATAATAACTAACTCTTTAAGTACAGTATTTTGAGAATATGGAGACACAAAGATTTCAGAAAATTCTATATTAACCCAAAAAGTTGGTCCATTTCCATTTAAATTATCTAATGGAATTGCTTCAATTTTATCTTCATGATTCTATATCATTTCATCTCCTAAATTCATGTAAAATAATTAACCAGCATTCTCTTTAAAATAATCTGTGATTACTGTGTCAAATAGATCAATACATATCTATAACAAAGATTTTTTGTAAGTAAAAAAATTCTAAGTTACGATTTTTATTAAACAACGTAACTTTTCCTATAATAGATGCATACTTTAATGAGAGTTTTCAAATTTAGAATTATCCAAATAGTTTAAATTCTTAATCAATTAATTTAATGTTTAATTCAATAACTTTTTAGAAAGTTCTTAAGAAATCACTCTAATTGTTTCAGGTAATTATTTTAAAAGAATAAATGAACATTCAATAATTCTTTAATCTGGAATATATGGTAATCCAATAATCTAAGTAGATGTATAGTAATCTTCAAATTTTGGTAATAAATTTTAAATTTCTGTTAAAAGTTCAATTGAAATCGATCTACAATTCAATCCTTCAGAAGGAATCATTGTACCTCCATAAGCTAAAATTATTATTTTATAAATTTTTACATTAAACAATCATTATTTTACGACGACGATCATCTTCCTTTTACAATTAAGTTTATTTTCCAAATTTTTCATATACAAATTCTTCGAATAATTTAATAATAACGTAGTAATAAACATCATATGGCCATTTTTAATTTTGATGATTTTACATATGTTTTTCAGTAATTTTTTTGTATTTTTATAGACAATTACCCATTAAAAGTTTATTCCAAATAAATTCATGTTATTGTACATAAAAATCTTTAAAATTCATATTTTCTTCTGCAGTCAACATATATCTTTTGTTTAATCCTCTGAAAAGATAAGAAATCCATTTAATTGATTAAGGTTTTTCTATTAAATAATTTTAAACTATTTATTCTGTCATAGCATATAGTGAATTAATATCTGGTTTTGTGGTATTTATTTTAGAAATCATATTACAATGATCATCGGCTAATTAAATGAAAAACATTTCAGACAATGTTGTTACTACATTTTCAACATCTTCTTTGATTTTATGGAATGTCGCAGCAGTCATAGTTTATATTATATTATGAAAATTGCTTAGACCTATAAAGACTTTAGTAACTGCAGATATCAATTCTTCATCTTAGTAAATCAATTAGTCTTATTCACATTATCGAGATTTCAAATACATTTCTAATGCCATCCCTTAAGGTATTTAATAATTATACAAATCATGATCAAATTATATAGGCATCTAATAGTATCCTAAAAGTACTTATTTTACTATAGAATAACTATGTTATATTGAAGATTGTTTGAATAAATAGGTTGCTAATTATTATTCTAAAACTTTTTATAGAATGTCTACTGCACATCGTACAGTTTCAGTAAGATTAATTTTAAGTGATGATTATAATCCTTCTATTTAAATTTCCAAATATTGATTTCTTTTAAAAGGATTATCTGCGTGATTCCTTTTGACTTCGATTGGCCATTCTGATTTTCTAACTAAAGATCCTAATTTTGATAGTATTTTCAATGATTTGAAAGATGGATCTAAAAATAAATTCACTTATTTTGAATAAATATCAGCCATTTTATATTCAGAAGGAAAAGTTAGTAATTTTTCTATAAATGGTTATAGAAGATCTCCAAAAAATTCTTTCATTTCTTCCATGCTCAAATTTGTTACAATATTTTCTAAAATCATTAATGTTTTTTAAATAACTTAATTATCAACTGTTGATATATTATGTAATGCTCTAAATAAACATTATGCAAATACTGGATACTATTTTGCTAAATTTATTTATATTGTTTTTGATAATGGCAGATTAGCTATTATTTCTGCAACTATATCTTAAATTTCAACAATTCCAGTTTGAAATAATTCAAACATATTTAATACAATATTCACTCCACTTAAATTTAATCTATGATAGAATTCATATTATTATCTATTTATCATCTATTACTTATCATTTCTATCATATTTCTCACATAATTATTAAAAATATTTTGATAAACCCTCTCCTTAATCATTATATTAGATTCTCTTTACTAATGATAATAATAAACCTAAAAAATCAATTGGATAATAGGTTTCATGAGATTTCTTTATAAAAAATAGTATTAATTATTTTACAAATGGTTTCACAATTGGTTCATCATTTTATTAACATTTTACTCTTGGGAATAATCTTATTGGTATTCTTAATAGTTTTTATATTAAAGATATGTATTCATCTTAATCTTTTTATTAAATTTAATTTTTTATCCATTTTCCTCCTCTACAATAACCAAATTTGGATGGTAATTCTGGTGTTGTTTATAATTCTTTTAAGTATAAATTTAATAAAAACTCTATATAAAATTTAATTGATTGTTTATGTGGATTTTAAGAATCTGTTTATGGATTGAGAATTTACAAAGGATCCTATAATAATTAAGGTAAACAATGTGATTCAGGACAAGTCTTAATTAGATTAACAGATATCTTTAATAACAATTTTGAATTTGGTTCAAAAATATTTTTAAAATTGATTGGATCTTAAAATTAAATAAAGAATTGCATAAACTAAAAAATAGTCTTTTTCTTATAATCAAGAATTTCAAAGTGATTTCTTTAATGATCATGTAATTCATCAAATATCATAAGTCCATTTTTCATGATTTTTGACATATAATGACATTATAAATTGTTTAAATATGGTTTATTTTCATTAGTTGCTTAAATTAATGGAGTAGCTCTTTAAGGTATATTATAATTAGTTCTACTTTTTTATTTATTGACTATTTCTTTATAAGTATTAGTAACGAATAATAATAACTTTTATAAAATTTCATTAAGTTAATCAAAGATCTTGGATTTTAGATCTTTAGCAAATTCAACATATTAAGAATAAGTACTGATACTTATAGAATTAACTTAATATTCTTCTTCATCATCATAGATGTAAACTTAGGTAGCAGTTTGATCTTATTAGGTGATTATATTTTATTCTATATCAATATCTGACTCTAGAATATATTGCTCTAATTTAGAGATGTAGTTTTCATTAAGAGCTTGAGTATTACAAGGAATAGAAGCAATATTAGTTTATGGAGTAGTTTTTTTTGAATGACCCCATCGTTAAGTTCGAATAAGCATCTCTTTAATTTATTGAATTTATTTTCTTATTTATTTTAATTTCATTCCTATCACAGAGAATAATCTATCAAGTAATTTATATTTTGGACTATGTGTAGTAACTTCTTTTAAAATGGATTCATTTTATTATTATGAAGGTTAATCAATATAAAATTGAAGTAAATTTTTATCAATAAAATATGATGGTTACTTACTAAACTAATCTAAGAAAATTTTAATTAATTCCAAGGCTTTTTCATGAATAGGTAATTATAATGATGAATCAAATAAGACTTTAAAAATGGTATTAAATATTTTTTCTATATATGTTTGATTATTAATAAAATCTACTTACATCTTGTCAAGATTAGTAAGATTAATAATTTATTAAGAAGTTTGATCATATTTTGGTAAATAATTTAATACAACATGTTTAACAATATCTAACCAATTTTGATAAAGACTTGTTTTTTAGAAAGGAGGCATTTTAAGATTTTTACCAACAATAGTTTCTTCATCAATTAATTCAATAACATTAGCATTAATTTCATTGATTTTATCTTGCATTTCATTAGTTAATATAGGATCTCTTTTTTAAGTCATAGCTTATTTAAGTCGATTACTAATATCAATTCTGATATTTATAATATCAATAGGACAATATTTAAGTGTTTTAATAATAGTCGCCACAACTTAATCTAATTTAATAGTATCGGATAAATCTTTAATAATTTTAGATTAATTTTAAACTTGGCTTTCATCTCTTTTGATAGTAAGTGCTAACAATTGTAAAAACTTGGAATAAGCATTATAGAGTTCTTGGACTATATTTCTAGGTACTTTTTGTAACAAATCTTAGAAATTGGTTTCATTGATAACTTAATTCATGGTTTTAAGTGCTCTCTTTAAAACTTCCCTCATTTATGTTTTGGTCTAACTTTTATTGTCTTTTTTACCTCTTCTTTGACTATGGAATCAAGCAAAAAAATAGTGTAAATGAAAAATGGTGGAATATTGGTCACAAACGATAAACTATGGATATTTAATCTAATTTCTTTATCTCTTTTATCATCATTTTCATATTATAATACATAAGATTGATCATTAAATGGATTTATTTAATTATCTCCCAATAATTTCTTATATTAAGATTTCTTTAATTCATTATTAAATTTAACTAAGAATTCTATTCTTTATTCAAATAAGTTGTATAATTTTAAGAGTAATGCATCTGTAAAAATACTATTTGATCTTTAAAACTAATGAGGTTACTATTAATTATTCTTTAGTAAATCATTCATTATTCTAATTGCTGTAGCTGCATTGTTCTCATTGTCTTTCTCTAATACTATTGTTAATTAATCAACCACTTATTATGTCATATGTTACAATAGAATCTTTTTCTATAGTAATTCAATTGTGCTTGCTCTAATATTGAATTTCACATTTCGACATGTTTAAGGTTCTACATGTATTAATACATAAACCAAGAAGTTTAAACTATTCTCAATAAACCACTTTTGATGATTCTGTAAATTTTACTATATATTTTCTATTATCAATATTCATACATGATTTGGATCTCGACTTCGTTCTGTATTACATTCTTCTTAAATCCTCACTAATTTATCACGCATGTCGTATATATTCCGTTCTGAAAATAATTCATGATTATTTTTGTTATTTTGTAAGAAATTATTCAAGCCCTCTTTTTGTTTCTCAAAATAACCAGGATCAATTTATGACATTTTTTATTTTATTAATAAAATCAACATTAAATATATTTTAATTAGACACAACTAAATCTATTAATTCATTAATCTATTTCTCTTTCCTACTATACATTCAAAATATTATTATTTTATACTTCCACCATTGTTTTTACTCCATTTCAATTATATATTATAGTATTCATAAACATAATAGATCAATCAATCTATCTAATTCTATTGTTATTTTCAATATTTTAATTATCTATCTATAAATATCAACCAATACCTTCATTTAAATATCTTTCATAAATTAATAGAATATTCATATTTTTACTATAATAACTCTAATTAATCTCTAAATATAAAGAGTCTTAAATGTAAATAAAATAATTTATTCAATATCTAAGTACTCAATAAAATAATCATAATCTAAAAAAATATCTTAAATCTTAATAATCATAATTCTTTGTATGTAGAGTCTCTTTAAGTTTCTTACATTCTTATTATAAAGGATTGCATATAAAGTTAAAGAAATCCAAATATCAATAAAAATAGTAAATTTTAGTAATAAGTTTAAGAATTAATAAAAAATAAATGAATATAGATTTAATTGGATAAAAATAAATAAAAATTGAAAAAAATAATAAATATGGCTTAAAAATAAACATAAAAAGAGAAAAAACAATTATTCTCAATTTTTAAATAATAAATTTAAGGCTAAATTATTAATTATTGATATTAAATATAATTAAAAAAAATTTAAAGATTATCATATTGATTACAAGAACCTAAAAAATATAATTAATCATTTCGTAAATAGCTAAACTATTTTATCTTTTAAATAGAGAGTATCAAAGAAATCAATTCTTCTAATAATCGAATAAATTAAGATAATTAATTATATATAAATATCTATTAATATTTAGTCTTATTAATTTATATAGCTTTTATTGTTTTAAAAAGGATGTCAAAATAATTGAATTAACATAGAGAGCTCAAAGTAAGAGTTGATAGTCTGCCCTCAATAGAAGTAGTCTCAAGTTCAAGATCTAAGAACTAGTTAAAAAGAATTTTTAAACACTCAGAACTTCCAGTAGCATCTTTTTAAAAACCTTCAGATTCCACTAGATAGCATAGGAAATTAAAAATAGAAAATTCAGATTATGCAATTGAATCTAAACAATAAACTTCAACAGCAAGAAAATCTCCTTAATTATCAAAATATTAATCTCCTTAATTTTTCTCAAGAAAAATGCAATTTAGAAATAATTCCTTAATTAATTTAAACATGGAAGTTGCCAATTAAATTAAGGAAACTCCTTTTAAAGATACTACTTTGTTTTAGATTATTAATAAAATAAGTATAACTATGAATTAGTTACATGAGTATAAGAGTGAAAAAGCAATTCTTTCTGCAGCAGATAAATTGATTAAATCTCATATTCGATTTTAAGAGATAGAATGGATATTTAAGAATTTTAAACTTAGAGATTGGTAAACTGTGGATACAATTTTTCTTCGAATACTTCAAAATTTTACAATTAATAATGACAATAAACTCATTTAAAAAAAAAATAAACCAGATTAATTTTTTTTATAAGTTCTATATGATTTTTAGGATAAAATAGAAGATCTTTTTAAAAAATTATGTGATGATTCTTATCGTTAGTTAGAAAAAACAATAATAAATTAAAAATAAAAACTTTTAAGTATGTTTTATTAATAAATCTTCAGATAAGGAAGTTGAAGTAATGCATTAATTTTCGAAACTAGGTAAGAAGGAGAGTTACAATTAATTTAAATTAATTTTGGACGACTCTTACAAAATGAATACTCGAGTAATGGAGAGTTCAATAATGAAACAATTGACTGAATTCGAAGATCGATTTGGAATGTTTAAATAAATAGAAAATAGTAATAGATTTATTTCCAACAGAATAAACGATTTAGTTTATGATATTAAAACTGTAAATATATTTTGAGTTTATTTTTAATAACTTATCATAAAAATTGATAGATAAAAAATAATATATTAACCTAGATTCTATAGAGGCAAATTTTAATAATTTATGAAAATAAATATAAAATGATCTATAATAATAATATTGGGATCTCTTCTTAATAATAATAAGTTATAGTTTTTAAACTAAATTAATTTATATTTTGTTTATTATAAAGTATTTTTTGTTAATATAATTGTTATGTTGATATTGATAAATGGATTGTATTAAAATTAATGAGTAGGATTGAAGTTTTGTAATTTTAAGATTTAAATAAAAAGTATTAATATTGAATAATTATTTGTTTTTTCTTATTAAAATAATGGCAGATTTTTGGAAACCTACAGCTGAATTATACAGTGCATTATTTGAAAAGCCAAAAATGTCATAGAAATTACTTGAGAAGCCTCCATTTAAATATATATTTGATATAATAATGGAAACAACTAAATAAACAGGTTTCAAATTTAAATTTATATTAGGTTATGGAAAGGGACTTTATACAGGAGATGAATTGGATGGAAATACATATGATAATAAAGATAAGAAGCTTTAATTCTTATAAAAAATAATAGATTTGACATCTATGATGTTAAAAGAGGAGATAGCTGCAAAGCCTGGTAAAATAGCTGCAGGTTTAGAACCTGAGAATACAAATCTATTATTATAAGCAATATATAGAGCAGCTGTAAGTGGTAAAAATAGTGATCCATTTGTAAAGAAAGTATTATTATTGTATAATGAATATTAAGATTTTAGGAGGAGGAGGAGCAAAAGATCCTGAACCTTAAAAAAAAGAATAGCCTAAGTAAGAACCAAAAGTTTAATAACCTCCTCCAAAAGAATAAGCAGCACCACCATAAGTAAAAGAGGAAAAGAAACCTGAAGAAAAAAAAGTAGCTCCACCAAAAGAAGATCCAAAACCAAAATAATAAGTATAATAACAACCAGTTTAATAACCAAAAGAAACTTAAAAATAATAATAATAACCTCCTCCTTAATAATAATAATAATAAACATAAGAAGGAAATGTAAGACCTTCTACTGCTAAAAAAAGACCACCTTAATTACCTAGTAATCAAGTTTAAGTTGATTAAAATTAAAAAAAAGGAGGAACAGCTAATGTAATTATAGAAGGTAAAGGANTAACTTATCATAAAAATTGATAGATAAAAAATAATATATTAACCTAGATTCTATAGAGGCAAATTTTAATAATTTATGAAAATAAATATAAAATGATCTATAATAATAATATTGGGATCTCTTCTTAATAATAATAAGTTATAGTTTTTAAACTAAATTAATTTATATTTTGTTTATTATAAAGTATTTTTTGTTAATATAATTGTTATGTTGATATTGATAAATGGATTGTATTAAAATTAATGAGTAGGATTGAAGTTTTGTAATTTTAAGATTTAAATAAAAAGTATTAATATTGAATAATTATTTGTTTTTTCTTATTAAAATAATGGCAGATTTTTGGAAACCTACAGCTGAATTATACAGTGCATTATTTGAAAAGCCAAAAATGTCATAGAAATTACTTGAGAAGCCTCCATTTAAATATATATTTGATATAATAATGGAAACAACTAAATAAACAGGTTTCAAATTTAAATTTATATTAGGTTATGGAAAGGGACTTTATACAGGAGATGAATTGGATGGAAATACATATGATAATAAAGATAAGAAGCTTTAATTCTTATAAAAAATAATAGATTTGACATCTATGATGTTAAAAGAGGAGATAGCTGCAAAGCCTGGTAAAATAGCTGCAGGTTTAGAACCTGAGAATACAAATCTATTATTATAAGCAATATATAGAGCAGCTGTAAGTGGTAAAAATAGTGATCCATTTGTAAAGAAAGTATTATTATTGTATAATGAATATTAAGATTTTAGGAGGAGGAGGAGCAAAAGATCCTGAACCTTAAAAAAAAGAATAGCCTAAGTAAGAACCAAAAGTTTAATAACCTCCTCCAAAAGAATAAGCAGCACCACCATAAGTAAAAGAGGAAAAGAAACCTGAAGAAAAAAAAGTAGCTCCACCAAAAGAAGATCCAAAACCAAAATAATAAGTATAATAACAACCAGTTTAATAACCAAAAGAAACTTAAAAATAATAATAATAACCTCCTCCTTAATAATAATAATAATAAACATAAGAAGGAAATGTAAGACCTTCTACTGCTAAAAAAAGACCACCTTAATTACCTAGTAATCAAGTTTAAGTTGATTAAAATTAAAAAAAAGGAGGAACAGCTAATGTAATTATAGAAGGTAAAGGAAATAATGATGATGATGATGGAATTGTAGTTTAAAATAATGTTAAACCAAATGCTGATATTAATGCTCAAGAATATGGGAAATTTGTTAGAGATAATATGAAAAATTAAGATAAGGGAAAAGAAGAAGAAAAAGAAAAAGAAAAAGATCAACCTAAAGAAGGTATTATTATGAAAAGAATAGGAAAAGTTAATGTTCAAAAAGGTATTTATTTTATTTCTATATTCAGATAAAATTAAAGAAGAAATTGCATAAAATCTTGGAACTTCCTAAGTTTCTGATACTCTAGTAATGCAAAAATTAATCTAATCTATGAGTTAAAATGTCAATCCTTTAGCTAAATAAATTGAATTTATTTAAGATGATATTGAAAATATGAATAGAGAATTACAATAATGGAGGAAAATCTATAATGTTTCTAAATAAAAAATGGTTGATATGAATAGAGCAACCGAAGAAGTAATACATATTTATTAATTTTTAGGCTTAATAACCATTGTATGACAAAATTGCTGAAGTAGAAGAAGTTATTAAAGAAAAAAAATCTAAAATATAAAACATCAAAGCTTAAATTATAAAAAATAAATTACAAATTGACTAATTGCTAAAAGCAGTTTTAGTATAAAAATGAGAAAAAAGTTATTAAAATATTAAATTAATTTTAAAAATTATTCTTTATCATTAAGTTACTTTTGATTAAATTTAAATAAAAAATAATAATAAATAAATAAATTCAAAATTTACCTGATTTCCTCATTCCCCTTTTAGGTGATGCATCAGGTTGTTTTTCTTGTTTGACTTTAGCATTTAACATAGCTGAAATAAAGGAATAAAATTTTAAAGCTTTTCTTTTACCTACTAATTGTAAGGCACGAATTTTTTAATTTTTCTATATAACATTCAATCTTTCTTCTGCATCTAAATCAAGAATCAAACCAAAAATTCCTGGAATTTAATTTACTAATTATCTAATTGCTTCTAATTCCATACTAGTCCATTCATCTTATACTTTTTATAGATTTTTTAGCATTTATATTTTATTAAAGATATTAATCAAGTTAGTAATCATTTACAATAAAGAATAAATATTGTAAGGATGAGCAAATAAAGCATCTATTATTTAATAATATTTATTTAATTCAGCATTTACATATTCTAAACCCATAGATAAACAAACATTTTATATTAATTTTTTAGGTATTTAATTGTAGTGATTATAAAAATCTAAGTAAGGCAAGTTAAATTCACAATAGCTAAGTTTATAAAATTCTACTTATGGAGGATGCATCAAATATTGTAATTACAATTATTTTATAAAGAAATTATATTCAGTGGCAGCAGTAAAAAATGATTCTGCAGTTACTATTCCATCACCACACATATGTGCTTCTCTAAAAAGAGAACAAATTTCTTCTTCAGATGAAGTTGGAAAATTAAATTAAAATATTTTTCTAAAATTTCTATAATTAACCCCATATTTTCCAAAACTTTGCAGAGACAAACAAGAATGAAACATTTCTTTAAGAACAGCTAATCTGGTTTATCTTTCTTATCTATAAAATTCTAATAATATTCTTAACACATAATGACCATCAACTAATTTAATCTTGTTTTTTGTAATAATCATTTCTTTTATCACATTTTTTGTTAAAATAATTTATTCTACTGGGTATTTATGCATAATTTCTTCAATTAATTATTCTGCTTATTCTTATCGTACATACATAATTGTTTCAAAATTAGATCTGGATAAATTCTTTACTTAGCCTTTAAAAAGCATATATCTACAATGCAAATAATAATATACTTCATCTAGAGATGATTACTCAAATAAAAATTAACTATTTATTTTAATTTAAATACTTAAATGTTATGACTTCATGTATTTAACCTAATTTTGGATTCAATGTATCCATTAAAAAATCTAAACGAATATTATCCAATTATTCTTAATTCACTTAGATAATTTATTTAGTGTATTTATCTAATGTGAAAGTACTAATCCAAGAAAAAACAAAATCTGCAAATTTAGAAGCAACTTGTAAATTGTCTAAATATTAAAACTCATTAAATTTAGCATCTAATATTGTTCTAATAATTGCAAAATAATTTAGAGAAATTTTATGTCTGTTAATATTTTTATATTCTGCTTCGATTAGTTTAATCTAACTTTCATAAAATACTAAAAATGATTATCTTGGATAAGTGTATTTATTGAGTCTATCCATATAAATATGATCAAGTTTTAAATTTTTCATAAATTAATATTACTATTATTCTTATTCATTTAATTTACTCATTTTATCATATATGAAAGCTTTCATTTGAACCATATGAAATTTCTCTTTAGTGAATAAATATAATAATTTTTATAGGTTTTCTTCAGCTTCCTTATTAAATTCTGGGATTTCAACTCTTTTGCTTTTTTCTATTTTAATTTAATCTAATTCTCTTTAGAGTGATTAAAGTTTTTTTTTAGATTTAGCTTCTTCGGCTAAAAATTTTTAATATCTCATTTATTAACTTAATAAATCTTCTTCTAACATTTTTGAAACATCTCTCCAATAATATCTTTCATTATATACAGACATAAATGTTGTTTCCATTGAAGTAAATCTTTCTTAATTGTTATTAATATAAGTTTATAATTCATCTATTTTTTCTTCATGTTATTAAATAATTGATTTTAATTATGCAATTTTTTACAAATGTTTGATCAGTTATTAATCTCTATTTTGAATTTCAATTTTTAATTCTAAAGTTCTTTATTTTAATTCTTCTGTCAATTCTTTAATTTTTTATTTCAAAAGATCTACATCCATACTTATTTCTAGATTTCTTAATTTAGTTGCTAATTGATTAAGTTCAATCTACAATTTATGATTGATAAGTTTTAATTCATTATTAATAATTTAAGTTTCTCTATCTATTTTATTATTAGATTCTTTCATTAAAGCTAATGAAAATTTTCTTTAAATTTCAGTTTCGACGACTTAGGGATTTAATTCAATTTTTTTTGGTTCTTTTTCCTTAATGATTTAAAGCATAATTTGTATAGATTGAGTAAAAAGATTAATAGAGCTATCAACTAATTAACTATTTTTAGTAAGTTCTGTTAAAGTGATACCCATTTAAGATTATTAAATGAATTTTTTGACTTAAGGTAAAATATTTGGATATGAAAAAGACACTTATTATTAAAGGATTTCTTAAATTTCTAGAAAAGTGTTATTGGTTTTAGAATTATCATTTTGATAATTAAAATGAGACCAATTAGGATTTACAGATAAGGCATTTTTAGAACCTAAAAAATATAAGTTAATTTTACTTTATGGTACTTGTACCTTAGGTAATCTAAACATAGATGATAAGACGATTTCACTTTTTGTATGTTTTTTTCTTACTTCTTCCATAGGACCTAGAGATTCAACTCTTTGATGTCTCATAGAAAATAATAATAAAATATTATATTGTAATTTAAACTCATTATTCTTAGACAGCATTTTTAATAGCTTTAAATAATTGAGTTGCTTCTTAGATGGTAGAAAACTCTAAGCAGAATCCTTAAAGTTCTACATAAATTTTCTTAGGATTAAATGTCTTTTATTTGATTAGAGTCTTAATGAAGACTGAAACTAATCTAACTTATCTAGCTAATTATTATTGATTCTTATTTAATAATGATATGATTATAATACTTATTTAACTTCTTCACATGTTACAATGCATCTAGTAATAAACATATTTAAGAATTAATCAGGGAGCGTAATATTTTTAGTTAGTTAATTGACTAATTCTAATGTTTGAATTGTGACTTTGATTTAAATGAGGTAATCTAAATATCTATTAAATATGAAATGAAAATGATTTACTCATTAACATTAGTTCCAGATTAGTTTAATTTAGTAATCATATCACTAACTAATTAAGGATTATGTTCAACAAGATTATTGAATTGTGTAATATCAATTTTATATTCAGACTTGAATAGAGTCAATATAATCTATTGATCTTAAATAGAAAGTTTGGTGGATTGTGCTTAAATTAAGTAAAATCGAAAAAGGAATGGATTGACATTATAATCCCAAATTGGATGAAGTATAAATTGAGGTGAAATATCTTCCCATGATGATGGTGTTAATATTTAAGGAATGGGTCTCAAATATTCAGAGGATATTGATGTGAAAGGGGAATCAATTTATTTCAGTAATTAATCTAAATCTTACCCATACTCTATCATACTGCATTGAGAATACATATTTGATATTGTTTACTATGTTCCATTCTAATTAATTGTTACACAATTCTGTCAAACTCCTTTTCTAATTGATCTAATGGACATTATATAAATATTATAATCTTAGATGTTATGGCAAGTCCTTAGATATTTATTTAAAATTTATTTTACCTATTCACTTAAACTAGATAACATGAAATTGCATATTTCATTTATTCCCTGCTCTTTTATCATTTTAAAGTTATCTTCAAGAGTCTTATGGATATCCACAGGGACTTTAGGATTTGTTTACATTAAACAAGTGATTTATTGAAATAAATTACTTAAATATATTAATATATTATTTTTAATATAAATATGATTAAAAATAAAGAACATTGGATCTATGGAACTGCTGTTATGCTTGCTTCACTTGGTGTATTCAAATATGCTAAGAAATCTTAATAATTTAAATCAAAATATAAAATAGAATTCAGTCTCCTTCATCTACAATACTTGATTATAATAAGAAACCAGCTGGTATTGTTAATAATGGAAATACTTGTTTCTTAAATTCAATATTATAAATATTATAAATTTCATAATTAGTGTCCTTAAGTTATTAACCCAATTTCATTGAATATTTGTTTGAATTAGTAACACATATAAATGGATAAACTACTTTAGCATAATAAATCTGTTTAGAATTAGCTAAAATTATGAAATATATAAATTGTGATTTGGAAGTAATCAATGATTCTGATTTAATTTATCGACTCTCTGAAGATGCTGATTACTCATTCTTTTATTAATAATAGATTCTCATGAACATTTTAATATGCTTGAAGCTAATAATTAAGTTAATCATTTGATTTAACCATGTTAAAATCTTAATAAATGAAATCTAAGAATCCATTTCTTCATCATACTAAAGTTTAAATTATATGCAATACTTGTAAATATTCTGTAATTAATTCTTATATATAATAGTTTAATTCACTTAAAGTAAAAATTAATTATGCCACGACTGTTTAAAAAGCAATCAATAAAAACCTGAAATAATCACAGAATATATCTGTCTCCATTGTTCTTTATAATTTTTGAATTAGAAATACACACTCAATCAATAATATATTCTAATTGATTCTTATCTCTAAAACAACATTTATGACAATGATTCTTTTACTATTATTAAAAAATTATTGTGTAATTAAATGCCATTTAAGGTAATTAATACTAAATTAATCCGTAAAATAACTGTTATACGTTATACAAATATTGCTAAATATCCTGTAGATTATCTCATCTTAATTAGAAAACTTTTTGTTTTTTTGTCAATAGACTTTTTCTGCAATCATATCATGGATTAATTAAATTAGATTATCCTGTA